GAGGGGATAATGATACTTAACATGTTGTGGTTTTTTTTCCCTTTGGGGCAGGTCGTGTTGGAGATAGAGGGAGGGGGGAATTCCTGTGACTGGAAAGGGCTTGGGACGGAGAGATGGATCTGCACAATGGCCTTCGTACTAGGTGCAGAGTCTTTAGGAACCCGAAGTGTCCCGCTGGTTTAACGTCGTTGCTCCTCTTGAGGATCAGGGGGCATAAAGTCTGTGGCACATAGAGCTTTGTCCCCTTCCATGCTAGGTCATCTCTTTTTGTCAAGAGATGTTGATTGTCTCGGAACCAGGGGTCTGTCACTGTCTCATTTTTTAGTCTTGCAGTTAAGTTGCTTGCAGGTTGGCCCTGCTGGTCACGTCGTTGCCGTCTGGTGATCATCTGACCCGCTGCTTGGGTGGAGGGGATGATGGCATTCACTACCTGCTCCCGCTCACTGTTGTATTGGAGCATCCGGGAGAGGGCGTCAGCCAGGAAATTCCTCCCCCCTGGAATGTGCTTAAGCTCGAAGTTGAAATGATTGAAGTATTGAGCCCACCAGACTTGCCTGGGCGACAATTTCCGTGGGGTTTTGAGGGCCTCCAGGTTTTTATGATCAGTCCAGACTTTGAACGGTTTCTGGCCTCCCTCTAGTAGGTGCCGCCAGGTCAACAACGCCCATCTCACCGTGAACGCTTCCTTCTCCCACACCGCCCATCGCCTCTCCGTGTCGGTGAGTTTGCAGGAGGTGTAGGCGCAAGGTTGTAGATTACCTTGGCTGTTCTTTTGGAGCAGCACGGCCCCCACTGCCACATCACTTGTGTCTGCTTGGATGACGAAGGGCTGTTCAGGGTCAGGGTGTTTTAAGACAGGTTCTTTTGCAAACATCCCTTTTAGCGTTTCGAATGCCCGTTGGCAGGTCAGATCCCACTGCAGGGGTTTCTCTTCTGTTGGGTGGCGCATTTGGGCCCTCGTTCCGGTTGTGCTTTGGGCAGTGGAGCCGGTCCCGGTCTAGGGGTTCCACACCATGCTGCTAGGTGGCCAATTCCCCCACATCTGTAGCACCTCAGTGGGTTCCGTGGGGCAGCTGGCCTCTGGGTGGGCTGTGATGTTGATATGTATCCGGGGACATTACATGCTCATACTGACGGACAACGTTACCGCAAAGGCACACATCAACTGCCAGGGTGGAACCTGATCTCGAGGCCTCATGAAGGAAGCCCTCAGCCTGGGCAGGTGGCAGAAGCCAATGTAGCCTCCCTTAAGGCAGAACACATCACCGGCAGGATGAACACTCAAGCAGACTTCCTGAGCAGGACTATGGTGGACAACGCTGAGTTGCATCTCCACCCTAACATCTTTCTAGACATCTGCGCTCGGTTCGGACGACCACTAGTGGACCTCTTTGCCTCCTGCCTGCCTGAATGGGGTGTGCATCTGAATGGGATGTGCATCTCCCTCGCTACATCATGAGGTTTCCAACCCAGGGGATGGAAGGGACCATGCCATTGTTTTCTTCTTCCCTTGTGAATTTTATTCCTTTAATGATGTTGTTGATAGTTTCATGTGTCTTCTCTCATTGTTCCTCTTTTATTATGACAAATATATTATAATATATTATATTAAATATAATATAATATATATTATGACATAATATATATTATGTCATATATATCTTGAATCTATATTTTGAGTTCTATGCATGGGAGTCTCGTAGATTCTAGGTGTTTCATCATGGTCTCTGCTATGAGTCGTGAAAGCAATAGGAATAGCACTTAGACTTAGATTCTGCTCCATAGTGCTTTGCAGCACTCTCTGAGCACTTTATAAATGTCAGCATATTGACTCCAACAATCTGGGTCTTTACTGACGGATGAAGTCTGAGTCAACCTTGATACTGCATTCATTTTTTTTAGCTTTTTATTAGCTTATAGTATAAAATATAAAAATTACAAAAGCAAATAATAGGAAACAAAATGGAGGGAAAGGGGAAGAGAGAAGTATAGAAAAGAAGGGGAAAAAGAAAAAAATGTGTTGACTTCCGATTCCCTCTAGTACAGAAGACTAAGACAGTAACATCAAACCTCAACTTTTTACTTTTCCATAATAGTATAACTAACCATTTCTATAACAGCAAATCTATCTAATCAGTAAAACCCATAACCAAAGTTTCATTTTTTTCCACCTCAAGCACAAAGTCCAGAAGCGGTTTCCAAATAGAAACAAAAGTACTTATGTTCTTTTCTTTGATCAAAACAGTCAATTTAGCCATCTCTACTAACTCCATCAACTTTTTCACCCATTCTTTCATTGTGGGAATTTTTTTTTTTTTAATTTGATTTATATGCCGCCCTTCTCTGAAGACTCAGGGCGGCTTACAATGTGCTCAGCAATAGGAATTGAAATGTCCTTCCATTTTTGTACATAAAGTAGTCTTGCTACCATCAACATATATAATATCAAAGTTCTAAAAAAAAATTCCAAGTCTTTTTCCATTAAGCCCAAAAGAAAAGTTTCTGGTTTTATGTCTATATTCACTTTGAGAATTTTCTGTATTAGAGTATTAATCTTACATCAGTATTTCTTTGCTTTATTACATGTCCACCATAAATTGTTTACATTTACAACAATTATTTGAAATACCTTTATATTCTAGATAACTTATCTGGTGTGAAATACCAGCGATACATCATCTTATAAAAGTTTTCTTTTAAATTATAATTTAATGTAAATTTTAAACCTTTTGTCCAGATATTCTCCCATTGTTCAAGCATAACATTATATCCAAACTTCCTTGCCTACTGAATCATACTTTACATGTTCACTTTCCAAATTCAATTTCAATAACATTTTATAAACCTTAGCAATAATATGTTCATCACAAACACACAGCAAGATTTCCAATTCATTTTTAACAAAGTCAAACCATAACTCTTTTTATCTAATTTAAATCTTTCTTTCAATTGTAAGTATGTAAACCAATGGCAGACATGACCTTCTGATTCTAACTCTTCCTTAGACTTGAGGGTGGGATCACCAAAATTAAAAGATATCATTTTACCATAAGTCCACTAGTCCAGCTTCGCCACCATTTATTTTCTGAAAAAGACTTTTTGCGGGGACACCCAAAGAGGCATCTTTATAGAAAACCTTGTTTTATATTTATTCCAGATTCTTAGAATGGCACATCTAACAAAATGGTTGTTAAAATCAACATTTACTTTTTAACTTTGTCATTCCATAAATAACCGTGCCATTCAATCCTTAATTCATGGCCTTCTAAATCAAGTAGCCTCTTGTTCTGGAGGTTCACCCACTCTTTTAGCCACACCAAGCAACAAGCATCGAAATACTGCATTCTAACACTGTGCCACCAATTTTGCCATCAACTCTGAATAGAATTTGATCTAGTTGAGTAGACCGTACTTGTCATAAGGTTGTTCTAGATTCTCCTTCTTGATTTCTTCCGATGACTGATTTAATTATTTTTCTTTTGTAGAAATGCATGGGGAACTAAACTTTCCCTGGACAGTAATGCTAAAATTATAAATAATCAGTTGTGATCTTGCTCAATTGGTGGGCAAGATAAAGCAGCGTTTTGCAAGCTGTAGAAAGCACTAGAAAAAACCATTGCAGAGTATAAACCTTGGGGGGTGGGTTTAAGAGATTTTATTTATTTATTTATTAGTCCAATTTATATGCCACCCTTCTCCGTAGACTCAGGGCGGCTTACAATGCATTATAGCAATAGCTTGCATACTTTTTTGTATATACCTGCTTATTAGGGCTTTCGGGCCCCCCTAAGCAATGTTGTTCTGTACAAAGTTGGCTTATTTTAGTTTATCAAAACTATTAGAAAACAGTCAATTGTTTAAAGCAGTTTCTGTCATAGTGAATCATACAAATTCTCCATTAACTATGCCATATTGAGTTTCTGAGAAGATTTAAACTAGTTGGAGCTGATAGGCAAGTTCTAGTTTTTAGAAACACTGAGAGTGAAATTCTGGTATATCATTTTTGAAGAATACTATGAAGTAAATTGCACATCTTAATCCAAAAATAGCCTTATTCTTTATAGTTATTGAAGTGTAAATGAAACCATTTAGAGGGTCTTATCATAGCCCTTTGAAGTAGGTAAAGTCAAAAAACAAGCAGGTACAATATGGATTCCAAGAATGCTTTTTACTTTTGTGGGATGAAATAGCAAATCTTGAAATTCTGTCAGAGTTTCTCTCTACAATATTCTCTACTCTACTTTTATTTCAAAGAAAATCAAGTTGGGAGTAGTTTGAGTTTCTTTCTCACCCTTTCCTCTTTTTCTGGGCTCTAAATTTCCCATGTTAAACACCTCACTCATTCCCTCTCCCTTCCCAAGGCCAGGTCTACATTCCTTCACATTTGCAGATCTATTGTTCTCCCATATGAATGACTATTTTAACCCTATAATTTATAGCTGAAAGGAAATAATGTGTCAGCACTATGTTTGTCAAGGCATAAGGTAAGATGATATAATGAAAGAAAATTGACTAAACTCTCTGGCTTTCAAAGCTCCATTCCCTAATACTAGTACTTTTTCTGGATGCTCTATAATGAGAAAAAAAGAAAACCAGTACACAACTTTCTGGATATATACCAAAAACTATAAACATTATCTTCCCTCCTTGATCAAAGCTATTTTTTCTATTATTTCCAGTAGTTTTAACAGTGCTTGGACAATGCTTATTTGCCTCGATAAGAAATAGTTTGATTTGCATTTTATTTATATATTACAATTAAGTTTTAAAAAATAAAAGAATCCTAACTCAACTAACAAAACATCTAAAGAAGGAGTTACTTGCATTTCCATTGTATTATGTGAAGAAAAATTGTATTTTCTAATTCTTCTTTATCTCAGGATAGAATTTAAAAAATTGACATATTTTGACATTTCCTTGTTCCTGGAAAAATGCATTTTCATGAGAGATGTACAAGAGTGATTACTATCATATTGAATTTTCCGGACTTATTTTTATAGATTCCTCCACCAAGTATTAACTTCACCCTGCCCTCTCCAGTGCTTGGAATGCCGTCTGTCCCCATGTTTGACCCTCCATGGGTTCCCCAGTGCAGTGGGAGTGTGCAGGATCCCATCAATGAAGATCAGTCTGTAAGTAGGACATTCCTTTTAGAAATGAAAATCTAACTGTGGTAGAGGGTGAAGTCACAGAGGAAAAAAATATAAGGCAGCCTAATAAATCATCGAGGCATCTATTTTCAAGGGATCTCTGTAGAAATAAGATTGGCTGATATGTGCTTAGTCTTTTGTTTCTTAATATGCAGTTTAATAAATTCTAGTAAATACTTCTGGAACTGTTTTGGTTATCATCCTTCTACAGCTGTTCTCGATTACACAGATCTTTTGTGTAATTGAGTCTAGACATAACAATCTAGAACATCATTAAAAGAATTTATTCTTTTCCTCATACAGAGAAAATGCTGCAAAATCAACCAAAACTGGCTAATCCAAATTTTACATTTAGGCTCCTTCTCATATGTATGTATGATAAGTGGGATCTGGAAACAAAAATACACTAAACATTATTATCTGTTCCGGAAGACTGAAAGTCTAATAGTTTATGAAGGAGGATTTCACAGGATGTTATAAAGAAGATAGCAATTGCTTGCATATTCTTTACATATTTCAGTGCATTGCACTTCTAAATACTTCATCTGAGAAAATATTTGCCATCTGCAATTATTTTGTGACATTGTCTAAATTATTACTCAATATGTTCCAAGTAATCATTCCTTTCCCCCCTGATTTCTCTCCATCCTGGAATTGAAATAATAGAGAAGTGTTGGACACAGTTTTGGCCAACTTTAGTTACAAAAGTATCTCTTTTTTTTCCTTTTAATTTCTGTGGGTGGCTATCAGTCCCATTCTTCAGATATTTAAAAATATCTTGTCAAAGTGAACCAGGAAGATGCTTATCTTAATAATATAAAGGGTCTAGTTAAATTTTCTATCTGCTTCACTTCCATAACACATATTCCATTTAATTTCCCTAATAATTGTTAATATCTCTCTCTTCTCATCCCCAGTTCAACATTTGGTGCCAGTTCTCATGATTTCTGGCACCTCTTCACTTATTTTTTCCCAAATCAGATCAGATAACCTGCAAATCTCAAGGTTACCCAATATATCACACACACATACACACACCCTTTGTATGTTTTCATTCTTTCCTTTGGTGTGATGGACAATAAATTCTGATAGTTGATAAATTATTTACAAAAATAAACCTGAGTTGTGTTTGGTAAAGTAGTATCCATGCATGCAAATGTCTTTATAAAAAACAACTTTTTTTCCAATGTCTTTTTTAATGATTTGATTGCAGAAGTCATTTTCAGCCCGGGCAGTATCACGCTCTCATCAACGAGCAGAACACATTCTGAAGAACCTGCAACAGGAAGAGGAGAAGAAACGTCTGGGCCGAGAAGCTAGTCTCATCACTGCCATACCTATCACCCAGGAAGCTTGCTATGAACCCAGTTGTTCCACAAGCTTAGAGCAGGAGGAAGAAGGTGCACTCACTTTGTACTCTGGAAGAGTCCTCATATAGCAAAGGATAAAGTCATCATATGAATACATACACCACATAAGAAAGGCAGATTTTTTTTCTATATTTATATTATCAGTTATTTCTACTTCCAAGAGCTGCAATTGGCCATTACTGGTTAATAAAGCTGCAATCTTTCTCCCTAGGTTTTGTTGTTGTTGTATGAGGAAGCAACTTAATATACCTATTTTCCATGTTTAAAAAAGAATAAATAATGCGCTGGAATTTAACAGTGTGATTTGGGGGCAATGAGGTGAAGGCACCAAAATAAGGCACCTGCAGACTGCAGGTCATCCCTATCTTAAATCATTGGTGGTATGATTTCTTCGGACTTCCTTAATTAGTTTCTGCTACTGAAGTGCCATAGGACATGATATTGTATTGTTACATGTAACTCTAGGAAGAGCTTCAAAGGCCCCTGCAAATTTGTTAGTGTCTTTGCAGATTTTTGTTTTTTAGGGAAGGACAAATGCTTGTTGTTTTGTCAATGACCATGATTCTGCTGTTGGCAGGCCTGAAAATAGATCTGGGAAGAACTGATACAAAATCTTTTCATATACTTTTATAGATACAATACAATAAAATTAAGTATATTATTCATTATCATATAATAAAATGGTTTTCATTGTTGTAGTAAATCAGTAGACTACATAAATAAAAATGTAAACATCTTCTATTGATTTTATTAGTAGAAGAAATCACCAACCTGGCATCACGCCGTCTGTCTGTGAGTCCATCATGTACTTCCAGTACATCACATAGAAACTATTCTTTTCGACGTGGGTCAGTTTGGTCAGTGCGTTCAGCAGTCAGTGCTGAAGGTAAGGGAATTTTAGATTGGGGGTTAATTGTTTTATGATTCTTATTGATTCTGCCTTAATTTTATTTCTGTGTTAAAATGTGTTGGAAAAGATGCTACTAGACTCCAATTTTTTTGCCACTATAGATTAACACAGCTGTCTTCCTACAGTATTTAAAATATATTTATGTAATCTTCAATGCGAGGTATCCTAATTCTCATCATGATGAGAACTTTCTTATCCAGGGAATCATCTCAAGTTAAATCAACAATTTTTAATGTGGATATTATCTTAAGCTCCAGTCTGGGTCCATCCAAGAGGTTTACTCTTCTGAGCTTTCAAACTCGTGCTGGAGCCCATTCTCAGGGAACTTCTCTCTAATGGAATGTGTTAGACATTCTGTTCTGTCTAGTATTCTGTTAGAGAGAAGGTTCCCACCCCAAGGATGGGCATCACCGTAAGTCCAGAAGCTTGGAAGACTAAACCTCTGGTCCCAGTGATTAACCTAGATTGGACCTTAAAATAATATCCACATTAAAAAATACTGACCCAAATTGGATCTTTCATCATTATCCTGGACATGTATGTTTGCCTTCATTTGTGATATTATTTTAGAACCTATTATCTTTACATTAAAACAATGGCCATGTTGCTTGTGCCAGATCTGTTCCCATGATTAATATTGTTCATTTTTAGTTGGTTTCTTTCCCACAGAATCTTGACAAAATCCATATAAGCAGCTAATCATATAGAAGAGTTTCTGATTCCAGTAGCAAACACATCTTTAGGATGATATGTGAATCAAGCATTACAAAGAGTGATTTGTGTTTTGAAACTTCTATCCCTTTATGAGTGTTTAAATAGTTTTGTCAGTAGACACAAAATTGGTATTCATTTGATGAGTGGACTTGAGGTAATCTGTCTCTTATTCAGAATGGGGTTTCTTACAACCAAGCAGTAGTTATATAGATAAAGAGGAATAACTATAGATGAAATGTAAGAATTAATTTGAACTTTACTTCCATATCTTTTTATAGATGAAGAGCATACAACAGAGCACACACCAAATCATCATGTGCCACAGCCCCCACAGGCAGTGTTTCCTGCATGCATTTGTGCAGCTGTACTTCCCATTGTTCACTTGATGGAAGATGGAGAAGTTCGGGAAGATGGAGTAGCAGGTACTCTTTTAGTTTAAAGTTTTGGAAAGCAATTAAAAATATCTGTACTTCTTTTAACAGCAAGCATTGTTAGCTGATAGATAAATCTTTGTCTTATACACTAGACACATGTTTCAGAAACTTCCTACTTCAGTTTCAGATTCCATTTGAAAATAGTGCTTTGGAGCACTTTTCAGCAATTCTTTGAAGTAACTGTGTCTTTTCTTCGGATCACACAGCAGCTGCAGAGGAGAGATGCAACATTCACATGACTGCGCTGAATGAAATAGCTTTCCCAAATTTTTCTCCACATGCTGCACAGTCCTTATGTAAATAGACAATGTCTGTGCACAGAAGCATAAACACCTTTACTACTGGTTTGTAGCAGGGCCACGTGCATCCGCAAAAGCGTTTTGATGACATCGGGGTCGGTGGGCGAAGCCTCCCGACGGGTTTACTACTGGTTCTATAGAACCATGCGAACCGGGGGCAATCCACCACTGATAGACAGTCAGTATAATATAGTGTATGTGAGAGAATACATATGACTGATAAAATTGTTAACAAAAATTCTATGTAGATTTTTTTATTGTTCCTCTTCAGTCAAAAGTTCTATTAAAATTTTTATTTGCATTTACATTGCCTGATAGACTAGTAAAATTTGAAATCATTTAATATTCCCTAATAATCTTTCGTATGTTTTTCCATCTCCTTCAATATTCTACATAAGCTTTACCTTTAACTGTCAAACTTTACATATTTTACCCCTTTCCCACATATGGAATGGGGAAATTTAATTTACTGTTCCCAAGTTATGTTGATGAAAATGTAATGACAATTTTTGCTTTATTATCCTGTTTGGCTACATATTGAAAAGCATCTTTAGCATAATAAGCAGGTAAATATAGCTGTACTTAATAGCAGTCCCACAACACTGAAGATCCTAAGCAATCCCTCCCAAGATTTCATGTAAAAATATCTCAGGTTAACAGTTTCTAGTTTTTCACCATACTGCATGTCAGAGTATTAGCATGCCTTCTTAGAGAGCCAGATTGATCTATAGGAGGAATGGGTCTGGCTTCTTTGTGTGGAGCTACCCTGATCCTCCATATGGATTCTGATAGAGTTTGACACTGACATATGGAATAGCCTGATTGGAGTAAGTGTTAGAAATCATGGTAGATTGAATTCTATCAAAAATTGCAGATACTGCTTTATTCAGGATAATCTCTTTTTCTTCTGAAGAAATTTTTCCATGAATGTGGAATTTCACACTGACTTTTAATCAAGGATTCCAGCTGACTTTTCACAGTCACTTGGATAAAATCCACGGTCAGAAGGTGGCTGCAATGGAAGAGCTGGCAGTAGCAAAGGATCTGAAATCAGTATCTCATTAGCATCTTTTGGTGAAGGGGAATCCACGGATATTTTATTTTAATGGACAGAAGGGCTTGCTGTCTTGTTTTGTGTTCCAGTGATATATTCCTTGAAGACATTTGTGCCCTTTTCCTCTTTTAGAAAAAAAGGCAGAAAAAAAATATCTCCCACAATAAGCAAATGTGAATTTACAGACAGTTATGCTTTCCATCATAACTGAGTTCTCTCTTCCCATTTCTATTGAGAGCAATATACTAAGGTCATACCCTTTTCTATGCCATAAAATAGCATGTTTGTATTTGGTTAAGTATCCACTGTCATGTGGATACTTACAGTTTCTTTCCATATCAAATATTACTACTAACTTTAATAGGTATTTAGGACCAAATTGGATACAGCTTGCATTACCAAACAATGTTGTGTCAAATTTAGACCAATAATATACATGGTATAGGGTTTGGCAAGAACAGATTTCTTTGCTGTGAAGATTGAAAGTTTCACTAATGGTTACATTTGAAGGCACTGATTTATCCAGTCAGGTCTAGATACGTTCTCTCCTTTTGTCTTATATAGTGAGTGCAGTGGCTCAACAAGTCTTGTGGAACTGTCTCATTGAAGATCCGTCCACAGTTCTTCGACATTTCCTGGAGAAACTCACTATCAGTAATCGGCAGGTAGAGGTTCTGCTTTCCATAAACACATGTATTCAATCACTCAGTCAAAACTCTCTTCTAGGGGAGAGTAACTTGCGGTCCCACGATATTGTTTGTTTATTTGTTTGACATGTATTCCAATCACAATCTAATGGCTATCAATTGTTTCTATAGTATATAATGTAACAATCAAAACATCCATTGATATCTCTCAAAGATAGCGTAAAACAAAATAAAGTAAAATAAAAGCAACAGCAACAAATGAAAAAAATGAAAATAAGTAAAAGATGGCATAGTTTTTAGATTACAAAAAATACTTACTTTTTTCCAACATCTCCCTAAAGGTCAACAACAATGGTTCAGCCAAATAGCCACAGGGAGGCTATTTCAAAGTAGTTTTTTCTAATTCACCCTCCCTCACCTCTCAGACGTGTGACCCCAAAAATAGTTTCTTCCTAAAGGAACTAATGGGTTAGATTTATTATAGCAGGAGCAGGCATTCTTCATGATACCCAAGTGCCATGGCATGAAGGGCTAAATAGTGAACACCAGCATTTTAAATTGTACCCAGAGACCAAATGGCAACCAATGCAGTTTGCAGAATCAGTAGTATACTGTATGCTTGCAGCACCAAGAGCCAGTGAATATATTTGCCACTGCATTTGGTCAATTGGCAATTTCTGAGTAATTCAGAAATTGAGGGTAGCTCATTTAAAGAACTGCATATTGCAGTAGCCCATCTGGCTGGTAATGAAGATGAGTCATTCTATACCAGGTAGGATTGAAATTGGTGCACCAGCCAAAGCTGGGCAAAATTTCCACCTTTAGTTCTAACAAAAGTCCAGAAGGATTCCTGAATTATTAATCAGCTCCTTCACCTGCTTCTTAGTGAATGCCCATACAGAGAGAATCCTGGTGTTGACAGAAAACCCTGATGTGCATAAAGCAACTTCATCTCATTTGGATGGAAGAAAACAGCTTCAGTCTGTTTTTTCCATTCAGACCCTCACAGTCTCTAGACTCCAAGACATGACATTGACAACATCTCTCTCGCAACACAGTGGCAATATAAAGTTGTTATAACAACTATTATAGTTGTTAAGTGGTGGTGGGGAGAGAATAGAACTGTGTGACACCCGCAATGCAAAAGACGACCAGTGTTTGTGTGTGTGTGTATCTTTACGAAGTCCTAGAGACCTCTCCAAAGTTGTCACCCAGTTGTAATGTTTAATGTAACAATGGGGAAGTTATTAAAAAATTAATCCTGTACTAAATAAATTGTATTTAAATCAAATTAAATTTTATCCTGGCCCTGTTCATGTTGAAGCATGGCTTCTAACAGATGGAACAAAGATGAAATCTGGCTCTTGGCTAAAAAACAAAACAAAACCCCAATGTGTTCCTGTCCTATTTGGAACTAATAATAAAATAAAATTTATTAAGGCCTAATAATAAAATACAATTTAATAGATCTCAGATTTGTACTGTCTCCCTTCCTTCTGCTTGCAATATAGTTGCAAGGAAAAGATGAGGAAAATATATCTGTCTGAAATTCACTTCAGATTAACTTGACTGAATCCAAATAAATAGCAGTGAATCTTTACTATGTTTTATTGAAATAATCCAGTTTAAATTTTTGACTTATTTTAATAAATCATATTTAATATTAACCAGATACAACTGGGAGACTTATATTAGAATTCAGTGCATTCAATTTAAAATGAAGGCAACATCTCCAGTCTCCTGCCAATGCCAGAGAAGGATGCTCAAGGTTCATTCAAGTTAGATGATTAAACTGGTTAACATCTAATACAATAAAAAAACATAAGGAGTTCAAACATTTGAAGATAAGACTAGACTTTTATCAAACTAGGGTTCTGTTCAGATGTTCTGATTAAGTTTTATATCTCTCCTGTAAGAAAAAGCTCTCCCGTGTTCTTTATGGGAAAACATACATAATACTGCAACTTGTAAGAATTCTATGTTACGTTAAAGTATAATAATTGATCCCTGTGCAAGTAGTGAAATTGACTGCTATGCTATAACAAAATTGGAAAATTCTGCTCTAACTACAGGATGAATTGATGTATATGCTGAGGAAACTTTTATTGAATATTGGAGACTTTCCTGCTCAGACATCCCATATCCTCTTCAACTACTTGGTATGTTCTTCTGAATCCTGGGCAGAACCCAAACTGTAGGCACTAATGATGCCCTTATCCAAAGCATAGACAATTGGGAATTTTGAATTAATCATAATTAGTGTCACATTCAAGAAAGAAATACACCTCCTGCACAGTTTTTCTTATAGTCAATACGTTTTCTAGCTTTTTGGCTTTGATTTTCTGAAGATCAAAAATGTAACTGAATTTCTCTAGTGTATACATTGAACTTCAGGGAGTTATATTTTGAACCGTTAATGCTGAGCTCCATCCAGTTGCCCTGACTCTACCCCAAATAGGGATTACAGGGCTGTAAAAAGGAAGGTGTTTTTTTTTAAAAAATCAACCATTTCTTTTTGCTGAAGAAGTTACTCCTTGTGGTAATCACATCTATGATGCGTATTTCAGAGTTAGTAAGACCCTCTATGTACCTTTCCAAAAGATAAAAATTTTGTGTGCATCAAATTTGAAATGCTCAGAAGCATATAATTTTTTCATCCTAACTTCTTCAAAAATTTGGAGCACAAATTAGATGTACAGAAAGCTTTAAAATCTATATAAAGCATACTGCCTTTTTCTTGTTTACTGCCTCTGTCTCATAGAATCATAGAATTAGGAAGTTGGAAAGTAACATAGGGATCCAGCTCTCTGCAATGCACAGGAAAACCAATTTATCTAACCTTCAGCAGCATCTGTCCATCTCTTCTTTGAAACAATGAGATGGGCAAAATATAAATTTAATAAATAAAATAAATAAATAAAAAATAGCTGTAATTTTTGATGTGGCACAGTTATATAGTCCTTTTTTAGTAGAATGCAGTAGTTTCACAATTTTTATATGATCAGATTGCCTATCTTGCTTTCTTCACTCTTCTTTGAAAAATTAGCAATAGACACTGTGAAATTGGGGGAGGTTCCTACTCTTCATGGAGTTATATCTGATTGATACAAATATTAATTTTCTCATTCTGCTGGGAGCCAAATAAAATGGCTTTTCACAAAGATACATGCAGAGACTACTGAGAGGAGGCTTTGAAGGAGCTTCATTAAGCTAGAAAAAGATGTGGTTGTGTCAGTGATTTGAAGACAGGTGCTTTGTTCCCATGTACAGCAGAGCATCTTTTTCAAAGGATTTGCACAAGCCTTAATGTTAACCTTGCCATAACATTTTCTAGCATTTTTTTGCAGTGGGTTTTCTTTATTTGAACTTTAGGGAGAAGATAAAAGTGAGATTGATATTATAGACGTCTTCTAATTTTTTTAATTCCATCATGGTATTTTAATTAAGTTTGCAAATTTCCTTTGGTAGGAATAGCCACCCAGATTTTCAATGCACAAACTACCATTACTAACAGAGAAAGACTGGCTCAATCTTACACATGTTCATATTTATCACTGGCCATCTACTTAGCTTCTGCTATAGATTGGAATAAAGATTGTGTACTTTATGATTCATAGGTGGGGCTGATCATGTATTTTGTGCGCACACCATGTGAATGGGGCATGGATGCAATTTCAGCCACTCTGACCTTTCTTTGGGAAGTGGTGGGCTATGTAGAAGGACTGTTCTTCAAGGATCTCAAACAAACTATGAAGAAGGAACAATGTGAAGTGAAGCTTCTGGTTACTGCCTCAATGCCAGGTATGGCAGGCATTATTTTTATTTCCCTAGGGACTTTTTCCTGGTATTTGATCTTTATTTTGTAACAACAACAACAACAACAACGTTTCTGTCCAATCGTTTTCTAAATTCATCAACATAGCCTGAGTAAAAGGGGAGAGGGGATGTAAATCTTAGACTCTGTATATGGATTTCTGCCTATCATTGACATTACTGTATGAAAGGAAAAGCCTGAAAGAGATCTTTAAATGTGTGTAAAATCTTTGTTTTATTTTTGCCTTTTTGTCTTTACATTAGCATTACCTTTAAGAAATATACCTAGTAACCAAAATATTCATGAAATATTTGGTGAGAAAATGATGGTCAACTTCTTTGGCTGTCCTTTACTCCTTCCCCAAGTCTATTGGGCAAATGGACTGTATCAGCTGTAATATGCTGTGATCTATGCTTATATAAGGAATTGACATTATAGTTCACCATCCTGTGTGATAGTCTTTGAGCCTTAATGAGACAGAAATAATCTAGGAAAATGGTTTGTGTTAATGGATATAATTTTGCTGGATTATCACCAAGGAGAGTTTCACATAAAAAGCTCCATGAGTTGCAATACATATATTGCATAAGTTCCTTAGTGTGAACAAAAGAAAACTTTTGATAGAAAGTATTCCCTTTGATTTGAAGGAGCAAGCCAAACAAATAATCCACGTTCTTGCAAATTATATTCTGCATTACATCCCCATGGTTATTTTTTAAAATCCCATCTATATTAATAACAATAAAAGAGTGTTTTACATTTAGCAATTACAGCCTGAAGTGGGTTACCTTCTCTTCCTAGCTATATCCACATGCTTGAAGAAAGAGGTCTGCACATGTATGAAAGCCAGCATTGCATAATATTATAATACTGGACATGGTAAGAGAGAGGGAGAAATTCTCAGTGAAGCATGAGGCTTCTCTGAATATCCCTGTACAATACAGTCACTCTTTTTCAGCTGAACTATACTGTACAGAAGCAAAAATGATAACGGATTAAGAACCGTCTAAAATGATCTGAGCAACTCAGAAGAAGACTAAGATATAAAGTAATTTATTTTTATTTATCCAGGATTCCAAAAATATATTTTTTGTAAACAAACATTTTATTATATCAATGCTTTTAAAGGTACCAAGACCCTAGTAGTTCATGGGCAGAATGAATGTGATATCCCAACTCAGCTACCAGTCCATGAAGACACCCAGTTTGAAGCTCTTTTAAAGGTTGGCAAATTATTAAAATAATTTTGACAAAAAAGTTTTGTTGACTTCCAGTATTAAAGCTCCTTCATTAACCTCCTTAGGTTGTAGGAGAAAGATTGATCTGGAATAATACGCAGGCCTGAGGTCTGGTACCTATTTATGAATTAGTCTTTACAAAATTATCTATTGAAAGCCTGATTTCAGTGATGGGTTGCTCTGCCCGCTCACCCAGATGTCTCTGTGGATGTGCAGAGGCTTCTGCCCATGTGCAGAAGCATCACACACGTGCGTGAGCGCGCACGCACTATTAGCAAACTGGTAGCAACGGGAAACCCACTACTCCCTGATTTAGCAGCTTCTTTACATCTTAATATGTGAAAAGGTCATCATTACATGTATTCCACCTATAATATAATATTCGTCTTACAAATTACCTCAGATACATAGTAAACAAAGCAGTTATATGGGTGACCTGTTATCAGTGACTTTGCTGGACATTTAACGGTTAATTAGCTAGTTAGATATTGCACTTTCAGTTACCCAACAGGCTCATTTCCATAGGCCTACTATATGAAGTAAGCATATTATATCACTTTCAGTTGTGATTTTGGACCTTAATTCAAGATGACAAGTGTTACAATCTAAGTGGTATCACTAATTAACTAAGAACTGCCTTAGTAGCAGGGTAAGGCTTGACATCTTATTTTTATTAAGATTCCAACTTTACGGGTAGGAACAGAGATATAGCCATAATTACCTGAGGAAAATACTTTTAAAATAAATATCTTTCTAAATTGAAGAACATGTGATCAATCACTATTACCTTATGCTTATGTCTTTATGTGCTAGGAGTGTCTGGAATTTTTTAACATACCTGAATCCCAGTCTTCCAACTATTTTTTAATGGATAAGCGGTGGAATCTTATTCATTATAATAAGGTGAGATAGTTTTATATTCTAATGTTACTTATTAATTGTAATTGAAAATCTTATCAACAAGTGACATTTTGGATACGCTAATATGCAGGTTTGATATAACCTAATAATAATATGCACGGGCCCTGAACGTGTGGGTTCTCCAATACTGGAAGTTTTTAAGAAGAGATAAGACAACCATTTGTCTGAAATGGTATATACCGTATTTTCCGGCGTATAAGATGACTGGGCGTATAAGACAACCCCCAACTTTTCCTGTTAAAATATAGGGTTTGGGCTATACTCGCCATGTAAGACTACCCCTCTTCCAATGCACACCAAATAAAAATTAAAAAACATCAACTGGCTCACCTACAATGTAAAAGCAGCTGTGCTAGTCCCAAAATGGCCTCTGCAACAAGCAGGAACCTCACACAGCCACAAAAAGCCCCCCAAAAAACTTTCACACTCTACACATACACAACACAACTGGCTCACCCACAATGTAAAAGCAGCTGTGCTAGACCCAAAATGGCCCCTGCAACAAGCAGGAACCTCACACAGCCACAAAAAATCCAAAAAACCAACTTTCACACTTTACACACACAAAATTCCACATACAGCTTTGTGAGATTTTGTGTGTTTGTGTAGTTAGAGTGAAACACTACAAAAACACACTAAATCTCAGAAAGCTGCACAAATATTATTTTATTTTATTTTATTTTTATTTTTATATGAAAGCTAAATTTAAAACTTCCTAAACTTTAAATGGCTAAGTCTAAAAAAGAACAACTAAAAAACCCCCCAATTATAACCCCAATTGACTATTTTTTTTAAAGCTCCCAAAGGGGGAAAAAACTTACCCAATAGAACAGAGATCTTCAAACTTGGCAACTTTAAGACTTGTAGACTTCAACTCCCAGAATTCCTCAGCCAGCTTTGCTTTGCTGGCTGAGGAATTCTGGGAGTTGAAGTCCACAACTCCCTGCTTGCTCGATTGCAGGCAGGAAGTTGCTTGCTGATGGAATAGATTCAGGCAAGGAAGCAAGGCAAGCGTTGCGACTAGCAGCTGAGGTAAGCAAGCTGGAGGGGGAAAACTTTTTTCCTTTTACATGGTTTCTGGTGATCCCAGCTGAGTTGCAGGGAACTCAGCTGGGATCGTCAGAGCTGGGATCGTCAGAGTAAAAGGGAAAAAACTTTTTTCCTTTTACATGGTTTCTGGCGATCCCAGCTGAGTTGCAGGGAACTCAGCTGGGATTGTCAGAGCTGGGATCGTCAGAGTAAAAGGGAAAAAACTTTTTTCCTTTTACATAGTTTCTGGCGATCCCAGCTGAGTTGCAGGGAACTCAGCTGGGATCGTCGGAGCTGGGATCGTCGGAGCTGGGATCGCCAGAGCCATTTAAGGCTCGTCAGAGCCTTTCGGGCTGTTCTGCCTGGTTACAGGAGAACGACACCCGGCGTATAAGATGACCCCCGACTTTTGAGAAGATTTTCATGTGTTAAAAAGTTGTCTTATACGCCGGAAAATACGGTACAATATTCCAAATATAATCTCAACACAGATTTGTCAGTTCTTTTATTGAATAGCCCGAAGGCCTTTTCAAAAAAAAGAAAAAAAAAGAAAAAGATAAAACAAACAGTTACAGAAATAACAGTCTAAAAATATATGATATATGACATTTAAAATTTAACAATATTGAAGTTCAATAACTAGATTTCCAAAACTAGATAACCCAAATAAGATAGCTCCTCTCTAACTCAGCTCATCTTTCTTACAATCAATGAAATTCTTTTCGATATAACTGGCTCGTATTGCTGTCATCCTTTTAAAATAGCGAGTGATAGCCCTTACCAGGGGAGGAGAGTCTGCCTTCAATAGAAATGATAATTTATGTCTTACTTTCCAGTGGTGAAATTTATTTATAATTGGGGACAGATATTGTAACCATAGATTTATATAAGGGCATTATTCTATTTGCAGTTCTATTTTCAACTGCTTTCCTAATGGTTCCAAACATGAAATTGTCTTTTTTAAAGACCCCTTTCTTGATCAATCACTAGCAATTCAAATCCCATTCATATTTCTATGAAACTTGGATATTTTGGGCTAATATGCATAATTTTACATGCCATTTTGAAGCTCATTGCTTCATTCTGGAGAGGTTCTTGAGAGGATTCTCACAATCCCTTTTATATTTTACCACTCTAAATACTATGGTATTATCAGCAAATGTAGTACATTGCTCAACTCTCACTTTTTATACCATTTCTATATAAGGGGGAGAAATCCATAGATTAAACTATAGAATAACAGATTTGGAAGGGACTTTGGAAATCTTCTAGTCCAATCCCTTGCTTGAGCAGGAGATCCTATACCATTTCAGACATATTGCTGTCCAGTCTCTTCTTAAAAGACTCTAGTGATGGAGCATCCACAACTTCTGAAGGCAAGCTGTTCCACTGGTTGATTGTTCTCACTGTTAGGAAATTTCTCCTTAATTCTAAATTGCTTCTCTCCTTGTTTAGTTTCCACCTATTATTTCTTGCCTTGCCTTTTGATGCTTTGAAAAACAGGTTGACCCCCTCTTCTTTGTGGCAGCCCCTCAAATATTGAAGCATTTCTATCATGTCTCCCCTAATCCTTCTTTTCACTAGACTATACATACCCAATTTTTGCAACCATTCTTCATATGTTTTAGATTCCAGGGCCCTAATCATCTTGGTTGCTCTTCTCTGCACTCTTTCCAGAATCTCAACATCTTTTTTATATTATGGTGACCAAAACTGGATGCAGTATTCCAAGTGTGGTCATACTAAGGCCTTATAAAGCAGTACTAATGCGTCACATGATCATGATTCTATCCTTCTATTAATGCAGCCTAGGATTGTATTGACTTTTTTGGTGGCTGCCGCACATTGCTGGCTCTTATTTAAGTGATTGTCCACTAGGACTCCAAGATCTCTCTTGCAGTTACTACTATTGAGTCAGTTTTCACCTAATCTGTACTTATACAGTTGGTTGACACCCCCCCACCTCTTCTTTTTCTTGCCTAAGTGTAAAACTTTGCTTTTCTCCACATTGAATTTCATATTGTTAGACAGAACCCAAGGTTCAAGTCTGTCAAAATCCATCTGGATTTTGAGTCTGTCTTCTAGGGTGTTGGCTATGCCTGCCAGCTTAGTCCCATCAGTCCCAATATTGATCCCTAGGAGTTCACACTATGCATATATCACCAGTCTGAAAGTTGACCATTTATTCTTTTTCTGTCTCCTGTTTCTTAACCAGTTATCAACCTATGTAAAAGAAAAACCCAGAACGGAGAGATTTTTCTCCTTCACTATACTGTTATGACTGAAAAGTAGGACTATTTCTGAAATTGCAATTTGCTAATGTGCTAGAAATATAATTCATTTATAAAATACAGGCTTTTTAAAATTATCCCACAGACCTATGTCCGTGACATTTACCCATTTCGTAGATCAGTATCTCCACAACTGAATCTGGTACACATGCATCCAGAAAGGGGGCAAGAACTCATTCAAAAACAGGTATGTTTATAGTAAACATCAAAATGATGCATCCTGACCAGATTAACATATTGGTATATGATTTGGAATGGTCTAAAAGATATTTTGTGGTGCAGAAGCCACAAGCTTATTCATTTCTATATTTTTGGTGCAAGATACTGTAGATATACTGTGTCTTAATAGTTACAATTTACAAAAATATTTGAATTGAATAAGATATTGTCTTATCTAGGAAACTAGGATTCCTAGACGTAGATTCCTGGGACAGTCTCTTGGATTTGTGGGTGCATAATATGGTAGCTCAAAGCAGTTTTGGGATGCATTGGTCCATTTACCTATTGATTTCTGCTTATTCCATTCAATTATTCCGGGTGCGCTTCAAGGTGTTGGTTATCACCTTTAAAGCGCTCCATGGCATAGGGCCAAGCTATCTTCGAGACCGCCTGCTGCTACTGACGACCTGTCAGCGACCCGTGCGCTCCCACAGAGAGGGCCTCCTTAGGGTGCCATCAGCCAAACAATGTAGGCTGGTGACCCCCCGGGGGAGAGCCTTCTCTGTGGGGGCGCCTACCCTCTGGAATCAGTTGCCCCCAGAGATAAGGAGAATCCAAGACCTCAGTGCCTTCCGCCGTGCCCTTAAAACCCACTTTTTCCAGCAAGCCGGGCTGGCTTAGGAAGAAATTTTTTAAAATTTTTAAATGTTTAATTGGTTTGTGGTTTTTTAAATTTTTGGGCCAAATTTATATATATTTTAATTGTTTTTAATATTTGTATTTCATGTTTTTAATTCTGGCTGTGCACCACCCTGAGTCCTCAGGGAGAAGGGCGGTATATAAATTGAAAAATAAATAAATAAATAAATAAATAAAATAAAAAATATGCTTAGAGTTAGGATGGATAAGCTTGTGCCTGATAAGTCATTCCCATCACTATGTGGAAATATTGCTTGGATATATGTTTTGTGCTAGTCCAAAACTCTTTGTGAGATGTAGTTTAGATCCTGTTGCTGAAATATACATATTTGATATGTATATTCATATTCATATAGTCTATTTTTCAAAACATGAATAAATTAAATTAATTAAAACATGTGACACTGTAAATTAGATTAATTAAATTACGTTAACATATTCCATCTAACTATGATAATTTCTCCATTCTTTTTTCCACTCCAGATTATTTGCTTCAGATCCATGTTCTAGATGTAGAGTAGTTATTACTAATTATTTATTCATTCTGATAGTTCTTAGTGACGGCTCATAGAGCATAGAACTAAAATTAGTTACTTATTCCCAGTTCTCAATTCCTTATCTGGTTGTTTTTTTTAGGTATTTACCCGTAAATTAGAAGAAGTGGGTCGAGTGTTGTTTCTCATTTCTTTGACTCAGAAGATTCCTGTGGCTCACAAGCAGTCCCATGTGTCTTTGTTGCAAGAAGACCTTCTTCGCTTGCCTTCATTTCCACGTAGTGCCATTGATGCAGAATTTTCACTCTTCAATGATCCACAAGGTACCACTAAGTCTCCCTCAAGCTGAGCTTGACTCCAGGTGGCTAAATTTTTTGACAGTAGCAAACAATTGGTTTGCCATTATCCTCTTCTAAGATGTTTTTATCTTGCTTTCCAATATAGGCTACTAGGCTTACAATATAGGGTACTAGGATTTCCTGTCTTTATCTCCTACAAGTACTAACTAGGTCTAACTATATGGAAAACATTTTACTGATATGCTACTGAACCACCAAAATGAGATTGTAATTTGGTTGCTTAGAAACAATTAAATATCCATAGATAGCATCACCATAATTGTTTAATAGTACTGAATGGGTTTAATATGAGATTAGCAAAACAGAACAAGAATCTATGATCTCTTTGAATAATCAAGATTAATGCAGCAAGCCCTATTTTAATACCTTGGTCTATGGATACCTCTAGAGATTTTTTTTAAAGAAAGCTCTGATAGTTCTCTTTAAAATAAGCTGCTGCATTTTAACATAACATTGTTCTCCTTGTTCTCTTAGCTGGCAAGGAACTGTTTGGTCTGGATACACTTCAGAAAAGCCTATGGATTAAATTGCTAGAAGAGATGTTTCTGGGAATGCCCAGTGAATTCCCTTGGGGGGATGAAATTATGCTGTTCCTGAATGTATTTAATGGAGCCCTGATCTTACATCCAGAGGACAGCGCATTGTTGAGGCAGTATGCTGCTACTGTAATCAACACAGCTGTACACTTCAACCACCTCTTCTCTCTCAGTGGTTACCAGTGGATCCTTCCCACTATGCTGCAGGTAAGCTTCTTAAAAAAAGAAAATTGAAAGTCCTAAAGTAGTCATTAGGCTATCCTGCCAGGTCAGACTTTCCGAAAGATCCATTGATGATCTCATTGTTCATTGCACCCCTTTAATTCTTTATCATGACTGCTTTGAGTCACAGTGCAGCTTTTGAAAATGATCCTTCAGCCTCTTGGTAACAAATCAAAACTCCTAAGGATTTTCTTATTTCCCAGGTATACGCTGACTATGAGAGTAATCCACAGCTCCGTCAAGCAATTGAATTCGCCTGCCGTCAGTTTTACATTCTACATCGTAAGCCTTTTGTGCTGCAATTGTTTGCTAGTGTTGCTCCACTTCTGGAATTTCCTGTGAGTGTCAGCCAACTGCTGTATGAAAATTGTTTTCATTGTTTTCTGACCATGCTGAAATTGCAATTGAAGTATGATAATATATTTAAAGAATTGCAATGTTCTGGGCAATTCATTGATCATTGTGTTTCTGCTCAGAAAAAGAAGCTGCTGGAAAATCAGTTCATGAGTTTAGGATTATTAATCTTGACAACCACACTAAGGTCAACATTACTTGCAACCTCCTAAGGAGCTACAAGCCAAAGTTTGAGAACACCCAGACAACAACAACAACAACAAAGTCCTTCAGTGGGTGGGAGAAATGATACATGGTTCCTACATCAATCCTGCATGCTTTTTTTCCACTGACTGTCTTATGCAGAGAAGCTTTAGCTTCCATTTCTGAACCCACAACTTATTCCTTGAAGGCTTGCTCACATTTTCAGGAATTCTGGTCTCCTCTCTAGAAAATTCTCTCCTCCAAGGCTGACATTCTTCCATTAACAGAATATTGATATTACCCTGCACATTCAGCTTTTTGTGCCTACATGGAGAGACACATCTGTACATAAATTAAATGGTGTTATACATAAATAAAAATCTTCTAATGCTGTCATTTTTGCCTAAGCATGCACTAGTTAAAGTGAATATTTGGACATGACAGAAAAGGCATAGTTCTAAGTGGGAGTGGTGAACCGTCACCTTCAACTTCACATCTCAGTTTTTGATACTTAGAAATGTTTAGGCCATGAAGACTGTGTTGTACATGCTAAATGGGAGTTAAAATGTGAACATTCTTCAAAAGATGCTCACTTGATTGTGCAATTTATAGATACTGTTTTAAAATTTCTAAAATTACCTGTTGACACATCAATATTAATAAAGTTTCTGAAACCATTAAAACTCTTAATGAAAGCCACTTAAAACAATATTTTATTTTATTTATATTTAAATATTTAAAACAATAAAAAATGAAATAATTTGTTCCATCCTCCAACAAGGTTGCCCACTCATCACCTTGATTTTACATAGCTCATTTCACAAAATCAGACCATCTTGGGATTTCTTAGATTTTGTTATCTAATCTTCTATATATAGGGATTAAAGTTTGTAACTCTTGTATAAAATTCTCACATATCCAAAACTGGTGTTGCTTACTTCAGTTGACAAAAACACATGAGTGGAATATAAGTGGTTTTCACTGGATATTGAAGTTCCTTTTTTAAAAACATCGCGCATCCTCTTAAAAATTGTAAGCTACCCAGAATGTTTTTGGAGCAGGGCAGCCTTGAAATCCAGTATATAAACAAACAAGAAACAGAACAACGTTACTTTCTTCACTGCAGGATGCTGCATACAATGGACCCAGCAAGGGAGTGTCTGCTCAGTGCCTGTTTGATCTCCTACAGTCCTTAGAAGGAGATACTTCTGACAACCTAGATATTCTAGAATTGGTAAAAGCAGAGAAGCCCCTGAAATCACTAGGTACTGGTATTTTCAATTTGTTTTTTAAAAATTGCCATTTTTCTTGTGAAATAAATACATTTCTGCTTTCCGATAACATAAACACTAAAATGTTAAATAAAAAACAAATTTAAACATTTTTTTTAAATGGTCAGGATCATACTACGTTACTTACACTATGCAGGATTTATTGGTCTGCCCCTATTCAGTAAATGAGAAGCCAATCGTTGCTTTAAACCCTATGATTTTCCTCCACAAATAAACCTTTTACAGATAGTCCTCAACTTACAACAGTTCATTTAGTGACTGTTCAAAGTTGCAACAGCATTAAAAAAAAGTGACTTATGACCATTTTTCACACTTATGACCATTGCAGCATCTCCATGTTCACATGATCAAAATTCGGAGGTTTGGCAACTGACTCATATTTGATGATGGCAGTGTCCCAGGGTCATGTGATCACCTTTTGCGACCCTCTGATAAACAAAGTCAATGGGAAAGCCAGATACAGTTAACAGCTATGTCACTAACTTAACAATTGCAGTAATTCACTTAACAACTGTAGCAAGAAAGATTGTAAAATGGGGCAAAATGCCTAACTTAGTAACAGAAATTCTGGGCTCAATTGTGGTCATAAGTTGAGGGCTATCTGTGTTTTAATTTTTAAAGAAACAAAATTCTAAAGAGGTCCAAACTGGCTTACAATTGTATTATATAAATTGTTTCTACCTATAGGATTTTATATTCTTTATTTTATATTCTTGTATTGTATCTTGTTCTTTATATTTTCTAATGTTAAAAGTTTTCTTGGAAGTAATTCTCACTATGTTTTAATGAATTTTCCTAGTTAATTTTACTGTGTAGTCACATAATAACATGTTTCCTCGAACTACAGTCTTCAGTGGAGTTAAGTGCCAAATAAATAGTAATAGGGCCAGCCTGATCAGGTAATCCTACCCATATTTATTCAGAAGTGCTGCTAACTTTTTTTTTTTAGATGAATGTCTATGCAAAAGGCAGCCTTAAATTCTAAAGTGAAAGGAATTTTAATAGAATTAATCATATATCGCTAATGATCCAGTCTACTTTGATACAATGTATAGGTATTGTATAAATGTACAGATAGAGATTGAACAGGAATTAGTTGATTTTATCTCTCATGATACAATATTTCATATTGTTCATACTCTGTTATTGTTCTTCTCCAGCTCTGGATCCCAAAGAGTGTGACACGCACAAAGCTCCAAAAACTCTGCTTAATACAAACAGACCCCTTTTTAAATACAGGCTTTCAGTGCAAATGTCCTTATCAGCCTGCTATGAATTATAGAGAATAAACAAAGTCTGACAAGGGTTGGCAACCAGCCCAGAAACCAAGATATAACAAGAAACTCACTCTCAAAATGCTCTGTGTAGTAATTAAATGTTGTTTCCAGCAGTGTGTGCTATCTGTGAGCAAACTTAAATAGGCTAAGGGAGTGGCCAATTAGCCCCAAGCCTTACTCTCGAGGAGACCTCCTCCTGAGTAGCCACTCCTGCCTTTTGGCAGCCCTGTGTGCTCGATCATTTAGAAGAGGCTCCTTCACTTGAAGGAGCCTCTGGAGGTTCTGAAGGCCCTGGCTGAGTCTCTGCCTCTGGCACCACATCCTCTTCAGCCTCCTCGCTGTCCGACTCAAGCACCGGCTGCACAGGCTGCTGGCGTGACACCACACCAGCCTCCTCATCGTCAGGATCAGCCACAATCAGTGCAGGCTGTTGGCGGGCCACAACACTTATGTTCTATTTTGTATCTATTTCAGATTTCTGTTATGGCAATGAGGACCTGACATTTTCAATCAGTGAAGCCATCAAGTTATGTGTAACAGTTGTGGCATATGCACCTGAGTCTTTCAGAAGGTAACAACTATTTCTTGCATTTTCAAACAAGTATGATAACAATCTATCATTCAAATTTATATATTTTAACTTTGCACAATACATTTATTAAACTGTTTAAAACATTCCTCTTGTTTTAAGGATTATTCAAGGACTTTTCTTTTTCTTTTATTTATTCTTTCCCTGAAATTAAATTTTGTCTCTATGTCTAATGATTGGAAGGTCATTACTATTTCCAGGTATAAAGATTATTCTATCTGGCCTTTAAACTTCTACCTATGTTCATTGTCTCCTCAGTGCTTATTCTTTCTCAGGTTTAGCCATAGAACTTAGTTAGATGATGCCTGGCTTCTCTGAGTAACAGGGAAAAATCACTTATTGCTGGTTGCTTCAACCACACCACGCTGGAAACAAACATCTCCCTCTTTTTGCCTTCTCAAACTGTCTTGGTGTTTAACATTTTTTTCAGTTACTTCCTGTTTCATGTAATTACATTTTTTGGAAGATGTTGTTATTGTTAAAAAAAAAAAAACAAGATTTATTTTTTTTGCAGGTTCAAATTTGTTCTGACTGTGATGGTGTCCTAATATTCACAATAACTAGCCACAGAGTACTGTGCACAGTCCCCTTTCCTGCAGACAAAAATGGGTTTCTCCTGAAGAGAGGGGTATTGTACTTCCGGATATAACCTCACATTGATAGCATTGTTACATGATCTACATTGTTTCAGTCTTCAGATGCTGATGGTCCTTGAAGCTCTAGTGCCCTGCTATTTGCAGAAACTTAAGAGGCAAACCTCCCAAGTGGAAACCGTGACAGCTGCTCGAGAAGAGATTGCTGCTACAGCTGCTCTTGCAACATCCTTGCAAGCACTTTTGTACAGTGTGGAAGTTCTTACTCGGTGAGCTATACCACCTACTTGCCATGACCTTGCAAGGGTCCAAGGAGAAAAAAGATGAGAATTTTATGTTCCTGCCCATGGTGAAAACAATTGTATGCCATTATATCTTTATATAATGTATGTATGTACATACAAGAACAAGAATTTAAATGAGCAATATTCACATCCGCATTATAAAATATAGAAGGTTGCATTTATTTATTTCAAAATTAAGTCCTCACCAAATCTATTTCACAGAAAATTAAACCAGAGGTGAGGGGGAGTGTCAAAGTAGGATCTATCTGATGGATTTTAATCACAGATTAATTAATGCAGATTCAGCATTTGCCATCCAGAATTTATTTTCCTCCTTTTCCACAAAGTAATACAATGACATTTAATAAAGATAAATGCACATAAAGATAAACAGTTTCCTAGGTTGAGCTTGACTCTTGAGACATGTATGAGTATTGTCATTTTGGAATTGCCTATTTATAGTGTGATTATCCGCTTGTTTGTTTACTTACTTAGTTCAAACAATGTCCTGTATCTCCATAGTTTCCTGGAGTTCTTTCCAAGTCTGTCCCTCTTAGCTTTTTCAGGATCAGCCAAAAAGACTACTATAACACAAAAAGACTAATGAGGGTGCATCAATAAAAACAAAGTTTCCACATCAAAAGAAATAACAGTTCTACTTTATTATTTTATTTATATAGTCAGACAGTATTGTGAGTTCTATGTTGATTCTGGAGGCCTTACTTAGAAGGAATGAGATAATTAATAATTAAGGCCTATGAAGAGAGATTGAAGGAACTGAAACTGTTCAGTTTGAGAAAATTGAGAGTACGGACCTGATTGTCCTCTTCAAATACCTGAAAAAAGATTACATTAAAAAAGTCAAAGACCTGTTTCCTGTTGCTTCTGAAGGCAGGATATTATCCCGATTACCGCCTTTTGGCCTTGGCATGGGGGAAGGGAGATTGCAGGTTCGGAGGGAGAAACTGAGAGTCCTGGACAATGGCTGCTGCTCCATCTGCAGGAAAGGAGTTGAACTCTGCTGGCCTTATGTCATCCAGCCGCTGTGAGAGAACGGCTGTGGCCATTTGCCTGCACTGCAGCTATTTGATCCAGACGCCCCATCACTGTGAGAGAGTGAGGGGCTCCAGTTTGCTCATATCCAACCGTATTGCCATCTCGCACCTCTAGGACCATCACTGACACCCAGAGTGACTCTCCCTTACCTCGTCACACTTATATGGCTTACACCTTGGCGGATCTGCTTGCGCTGCAAGATGCTCCCCTCTCGCGGTGGTGGCCTTCCACTCTATTGAAGGCCTACCTTAAGGACGGGCTTTGGAGCCCCGAGAGGTGGCACATTCTAAAGCGGGAATTGAGGGTTTTTTTAATCAGGGTTTTTAACGATCTTTTACAGGGAACTGGGAGGGCGACCAAGGGGGATGGGGGGGGGTAATCCACCAAGGTCGGAGCCAAGCCCAGCATGGGGTAACAGTTTGGAGGGTGCAGGATGAGGGGCTTGTGGATGGGAGGGGCAGATACGGCAGGAGCAGGGGGCCATATCAGTGCCGGGGGTGCGCACTTGCTGTTTGAGAGCAATTGTGCACCCCGGTCCCCAATGCTCCTCTCGGGTACTAGGTTGCACAGATACTCAGGACCTGGGCCTTCAGCTGATGCTGTGCAATGCCAGGTCGGTGGTAAATAAGGCCCCCCTAATTTTACGATCTTATACAGGAGGGGGGAGCGGACTTGGCGGGTATTATGGAGACCTGGTTGGGCCCGGAGGGAGGGGTCCCTCTGGTTGAGATGTGCCCACCAGGCTTCAGAGCATTCCATCAGCTGAGGGCCCAGGATAGGGGCGGGTGGGGGGGTTGGCGGTTATTATAAAAGAAGGTCTTGGTCCGAGGGAGACCACTGTGCTACAGATTGCTGGATGTGAGTCCCTCTTTGTGAGGTGGGGTCATGGGCTTCAAATGGGCTTGTTGCTAATGTACCTGGCTCCCTGCCACGTGCCAATGGCCCTATCTGAGCTACTTGATGTGATAGCCACGGTGGCAGTTGATACACCCAGGCTTATGGTCATAGGTGATTTCAACCTGCCATCTGTTGGTGAAACATCCAAGATGGCCCAGGAGTTCATGGCTTCCATGATGGCCATGGACCTGACCCAGTTAGTTCATGGCCCCACTCACAGGGGGGGAGACACACTCTGGACTTGATTTTTGTCTCTGGCCAGTGGTTGGGTGGTCTTCTTATAAGGGATATAGAAATGGAACCCTTGTCATGGACAGATCACTCGCTCCTTCGCCTGGACCTTCGAACCGCTACACCCCGCCACAGGGAGGCGGAACCGATAAGGTGGGTCCGCCCGAGGCGCCTGATGGATCCAGATAGGTTCCAGACGGAGCTTGGGCCATTTCCTGAGGACCTGGCACACGACTCAGTTGATGACCTGATAGTTGCCTGGGACCAGGCGGCTGGGGGGGGCTCTAGATTGAGTTCTGCCTTTGCGGCCTCTGACCCGGTGCCGATCCCATGGGGCTCCATGGTTTACCGAGGAGCTGAGGGAGATGAAGCGCCGGAAAAGACGCCTAGAGAGCGGTTGGAAGGCCAGTCTCGCTGAATCTGACCGAACACTGGTAAGATCGCATATTAAGACCTACCTAGTGGCGATAAAGGCAGCAAAGTTTAATTACTTTTCTGCCCTTATTGCATCATCAGATAATCGTCCATCTGCTCTGTTCAGGGTGACCCGCTCCCTGTTACATCTGGGAGTGCGGGAGGATCCCCTGGAAGGCAGGGCTGAGGAATTTGGACAATATCTGCATGACAAAATCGCACAGATTCGGGGGGATTTGGACTCTAACTGGGTAGATTCAGGCAGGGTGGTGAGGAATAGTCTTGAGAATGTTATCTGGGAAGAGTTTGACTCTGTGACCCCTGTTGACGTGGACAGGACTCTGGGGAGACTTAGTGCAGCCACATGTTTATTGGACCCGTGTCCCTCCTGGTTAGTACTGGCTTCCCGGGAGGTTACACAAGGCTAGCTCCAGGGAATTATCAACGCTTCATTGAGTGAGGGTTACCTCCCACGGCCTTGAAAGAGACGGTGGTGAGGCCTCTTCTCAAGAAGCCTTCCCTGGACCCGGCAGTGTTAGCCAACTATTGTCCTGTCTCCAACCTTCGCTTTGTTGCGAAGGTTGTTGAGAGTGTGGTCGCATGACAGTTTCCACAATACCTGGAGGAAACGTCTTATCTAGATCCATTCCAGTCGGGCTTCAGGCCCAGATACAGCACGGAAGTGGCATTGATCACATTGGTAGATGATCTCTGGAGGGCTCGGGACAGGGCTTGCTCCTCTGTTCTGGTCCTGTTAGACCTCTCAGCGGCCTTTGATACCATCGACCATGGTATCATGCTGCGCCGGTTGGAAGAGTTGGGGATGGGGGGCACTGTATTATGGTGGTTCTCCTCCTTTCTCTTGTACTGGTCGCAGTTTGTGTTGGCAGGGGGGCAGAGGTCGACCTCGAGACGCCTCATATGTGGGGTGCCTCAGGGGTCAGTTCTCTCATCCCTTTTGTTCAACATTTATGTGAAGCCGCTGGGTGAGATCATCTGTGGCTTCGGGGTGAAGTGCCACCAGTACGCTGACGAGACCCAGCTGTACATCTCCACCCCGAGCCACCCCAACAATGCCCTTGAAATGATGTCCTGGTGCCTGGAGGCCGTGCGGATCTGGATGGGGAGGAACAGGCTCAGGCTCAACCCATCCAAGACTGAGTGGCTGTGGTTCCTGGCATCCTGATATAGTCAGTTGACTCCATCACTGACTATTGGAGGGGAGTCATTGGCCCCCACGGAAAGGGCCCGCAACTTGGGCATCCTCCTGGATACATAGCTGTCCTTGGAGGAACATCTGACGGCTGTGGCCAGGGGGATTTTTTATCAGGTTCGCCTGATCTGCCAGTTGCGGCCCTTCCTAGATCAGGATTCCTTGTGCACAGTCACTCATGTCCTCGTCACCTCTCGCCTGGACTACGGCAATGCTCTCTACATGGGGCTCCCCTTGAAGAGCACCCGGAGACTTGAGCTGGTCCAGAATGCAGCCGCGCGGGTAGTGATGGGAGCTGTATGGCGCTCCCACATAACACCTCTCCTGCGTGAGCTGCTCTGGCTCCCAGTGGTCTTTCAGGTGCGCTTCAAGGTATTGGTCATCACCTTTAAAGCGCTCCATGGCATAGGACCTGGATACCTTCGAGACCGTCTGCTGCCACCAACGACCTCCCACCGACCGGTGCGCTCCCACAGAGAGGGCCTCCTCAGGGTGCCATCGGCCAAGCAATGTAGACTGGTGGCCCCCAGGGGGAGGGCCTTCTCTGTGGGGGCACCTGCTCTCTGGAATCAACTGCCCCCAGAATTCAAGACCTCGGTGCCTTCCGCCGTGCCCTGAAGACCTTCCTTTTTCAGCAAGCCGGGCTGGCTTAATGCTTTTTAAATGTTTTTAATATGTTTTGTTATTGTTTTTTAACTTTGGGTCCAAATTTATATATATCTTTTTAAATTGCTTTTAATGTTTGTATCTATGTTTTTTACTTTGGTTGTACACCACCCTGAGTCCTTCGGGAGAAGGGCAGTCTATAAATTTGATAATAAAAATAAATTTGATAATAAATATTGAATAATAGATTTAAGATATGGGTTGGCTAATTCCAGTTGAAATTTAGAATAATTTCCCAGCTCTAAGAATGATCTGGCAGTGAGGTCAGTTGATGAGTAAGGTGGTGAATTCCACTTTGCTGGATATGTTAAATTGAGGCTCGACAAGTTGAAGCTTTAATTTTAATTTAAGCAGAGGAGACCCAAATAGCTTTTCTAATATTAAGATTCTTCTATTACTTCTACTAATTACTGTACTGCTACTACTATTGCCATTAACAGGCCAATGACTGCACCTCAGATGAGTCGCTGTGATCAAGGCCATAAAGGAACCACTTCTGCTAACCATACTATGTCAGCTGGAACAAATACCAGGTATTTAACAGAGGCTGCCCTGCAACATGTTTTTTTTTGACAAGTTTTATTGGTTCCGCCCCCCCATGCACACCCACATATTTTTGAAATAGAATATTGACCATATCATATATATATAATTCATCATATTCAAATATATTTTACTTAGTTACAGTTTGTGCCAAAGTGTTCTTTTTTCATATTTATTAATCAAATCTTAATTTTTCTATTCTTATTTTTCTAAACAGTATCTTCTTTCACCCCAAATTCTATTTTTTCTATTCTTAATCATATACATTCTCCTTAATTTTATTTTTATTAATTCAATCTTTATCTTAATATATTTAAACGTGTTCGGGGATGCCTTTGTTCCATTTCATCTTTTTTGTTTTACAGCAATCTTTCTTCTCTTTCTCTTCCTCTCCCTCCCTTCTTTTGTCCTTCCTACCTTCTTCTTCCCTCCTCTCCTATTCCCCTTCCTTTCTCCCCCTCCTCCTTTCCTCCCCACTATCTTTCCTCCTACTCTTATTCCCCTTTCCTTTCTTCCTCTCCTCTTCCCTTTCTTCTGTTCCACTCTCTCCTTCTCCCTTCCTTCAATCTCCCTACTCCTTCTTCTATCTCTCTCTATTGCTGTATTCATTTTCAATTCAGTGCTTTTTTTTCTATGGTGTCCAGCAGTGGTGGGTTGCCCCCGGTTCGCACTGGTTCTATAGAACCGGTAGTAAAACCGGCGGGAGGCTCCACCCACTGACCCTGATGTCATCAAAATGCTTCTGTGTATGCGCAGAAGCTTCTGCGCTTGCGCAGAAGAGCACATGCACAAGCGAAGCAAGCGAGCGCATGCAAACGGCCCCATTGCGAACTGGTAGTAAAGGTAAATAGAACCCACCCCTGGTGTCCAGGCATCCCTGTTTTTCTCTCCTTTTATTGCATATACTCCTCAAAATTCCCATCATATTTTAAAATTCTTAACATTATGTTTCAATTTGTTTCATTTTTACCTTAAAATCTTTCAACTTAATTAACTTTCCACCTCTTATTTTCATTTCAATAGTTATTTTTCTCTTTTCCTAATATTTCAATTACTTCTTGATATTTTAACATACAGACCATTTGTATATATGCTGGTCTACTTACAACAATCTTACATCATTTATTTAACATTTCAATTTCATTTCTTACTTCAATTTCCTTTGTTTTTTCAATCCTTAGCACACCTTAATTCCAATTAAGTATTCCCTTTTATAGTAATCTATATATTTATTCCAGTTTATTTCTTACATACCACTTCTACTACTAATGCCATTCCCTTAAATCAACATATCACTGCTTTAATTCCTTTCTACTACATTTTTTTCTTTCCCCTTTTAACCATTTTCTTTTACACTTTCCTGAATTCCACTTCTTGATATTTTCTCCCCTTTCTCCCATTCACTTATTTCTTTCTTCCTCTTCTTCTTTTTGTGTTTATTATATCCTCCTTCCTGCATCTTTTCTCTAATTTTTAACTTTGTTACCCTTTTAGTTCTCCCCCTTTCTCTTTTCCCATTATCTTCTCTTTTCTTCTTTTTTGAGAGATATTCCCCTCTTTCTATTTTTATTTTATCACTTTTAATCTCAGTGTGATCATCTATATTTTTTCCTTCAATTATTTTCTTTCCCACATTATATTCTTGCTTCTCATTTTTCTTTTCTCATTTTTTCTTTTTGTATTCTATCCAATCTTCCACTTCTTTGTTTCCCTTAAACGCTTCTCGCATCTTTTGCAACATCTCCCTCAACTCCTCGTACTCATGTTCCCAATTTTCCATATTTTCAGAAGAAATAACTTTTAAAATTATTTTTATTTTCACTTATATATAGTTCGAATTCAAGTCCATTTAATGTCTTTTTTGTTTTCTTTCTTCTTTCCAAATAGTATCCAATTCAAATAGTTCTTTTAAGTCTCCCCGGTTCAAGGTTTTAATATTTCAAGTTCTTTTTGTAATCTTACTGCAGCTGTTTAAACAAATACTCCCCATACGGCTTCTCACGTTGATTTAAGTGCAATATTTCTTTTCCACCAGCAAATGACTCTCTCCAATCCACAAATCCCCAGGCAAAAGTATCAATTGTAAATCCATAAAAGTAGTGCTTTCTGTTCTTCAATTAGTTCCTTTTGTTGTTAAATAAATGCTTTCTCTCAATTTCCTTTTCTTTATATTTATACTTAATTTCTTCTAAGTCCAATTTAAATCCAGGTGGTTAGTTCTCATTTTAGGGCTTTCGTTTTTAAAGTTCCTCTTTTTATTTTTTCCTTCGCTTTAAATTCCTGGATGCCAATTAGCTGCTTATTTCAGGTTGGGACCTCTTTTAAAGTTTTTTTTTTAAAAATTCTTCTTACCTATGAGTTGGCCAATCACTCATTCGGATAATACTCCGTTTCATCATTGCTCCTAGTTCTTTCTCCTTTATCTTGCGTGTGGCCGCCTGGCTTTTGACAGCTCCTAAAGACTGTCTTCCCTCGCTGCTGGGTCAGAGGCTGATACAAACACTTCAGGGAGTTTGCAACCTCCCTGTTCATGCCTGCCTGTGCTTCCGTTCTTCACTGTCCCTACAGGACAGCTATGATCCCTGGGGATCCCCTAAAGCAGCTGAGATATCAGCATTTTCCAGGAGCCCTGGAATTTGCTGTACTGCCACTGGCACCGGCCACACTCCTCCTCCCCTGCAACGTATTGTTGAAACCTTACTAATACTAATGTTTTTTGCGTAGTCTATATATTGTACATAGTAGTCTATATATATATTTAGTCTATATATATATGTAGTCTATATATATATTTGCATAAGAAAGTGAATGTTGGGACAGATAGGGACAGAATATAAGATCTACCCTATTAGATCAAACTAGCAAATGAATATGGGTTTTATTTTTGTTTTTAGCAGAAGCCAGTTCAAAACTCACAATAATCTAACACATAATACATGATAGAAAAGACAGTCATATGTCAAAATTTATTTCTATCATTTAGTAACCTGAAGTGCAATTGCTATAAATATATCTCCCCATGAAAATATGCTTATATCCAGAGTTTAGCAATCTCACTGCCCTGGGGTGAGAAGAATCAGACTACTATGCAGTATGACAAATGAAGTTAGTCTGAAACTGGAACTGGGGTTGGAACTTGCAGCTGCCTGAGGAATGGTCTGAGTCCTTCTCAATGCACTTCATGACATACTAAACTGGGGCAGAAGACAGAAGTAGGTGAACTTTTGAATGTTATTATTCTTAGATGTGATGGCAGAATAGACATATATTCTCTACATCTTCCTGTCCACTTCCACTATCCAGATGAAGATGGAACCATTTTATTTTGACTTCACTCCTGTAGTTCTGAGTACCTAGAGTAGGAGCTTCTCAATTGACCTTGTGATGTGTTTCAGACACAGGGCTTCTCTCACAGAGTGGGTAGGATTCTGGCAATACCAAACTTCAGGTCATCCACCAAGGTCTGCCCTAGCTTGTCAATAATTTTACATAGAGTTGTTCTCCATTGTGAAGAAATTGTTCGGTCTTGTAAAATATGGGGAACATTCTTTTTTATTATTCTACCACAAGCTTCTGCTCTAAGCAGAAACAGATGATGGGATTGCATGATGGGAAGAAATTTGTGAAAATTATCTCCTTTTCCATCTGCCTATTGGAAATTGGAAATTATATGGAAATTTACATTAGTTTAAACAATATATCATAATTGGATAACTTTCATGAACTAAAATACTGTTTTTAATTACAGTGGTTAAAAAGCCACTGCTAGACTTTATTCTTTGTGATTTTGTCTAGACTTTTAAATAACTTATGCCTACTCTGGTAGCTAATGAATATTTATGAATATGAGGCAATCAATTTAATGATTCCTACATAATAACCTTAAATGTAGTACCTGAAGGAAAGCCCTCGCACCTTTTCTTCTGCTGAAATTTCATTTGGACTTTCTTCCAAGTATGTGTGATTCAGTGACATGCTACTGTTTGTATAGAAATGTTTCCCCATTAGAAAGCAAAGCTCTTTTCTTCTTGTGAACAGACCGAGATGCTGTTTTCCTCTGTGCTCACTAGATATGTCCATAGTCACAGCTAATCATTGGCAAACATAATACTAAATAGAGCTGCGTGTGTATTAAGTCCAAATTATGTAGATCTAAACAGAGCTATTGTTATCTCAAAGAAATGTGCAGAACAGCAATCTAGCATGGGGTTAGTGCATTAGATTTCATGCACATACAGCACCACATCCAAATATGACTCTTGTGCAAGAGGAAATTGCTTCACATACAGAACAGGTGTTATCAGGAGGGTGGACATGAAGAGGAAAGCATCCCCTCATTCTTCCATTGCTACTGCATGTATTGTGAGTATTTGATCTAGACCAAAGTGTACCTTGCTTTATGATTTTTGAATTCCTCTGTCTTTGTTTTTGTCTTCTAAATTCTAGGTATCCAGAGCAAGGAGCCAAACTGCATTTTATCAGGTACTGGAATATTGCCGCCAGCCTCTTTCTTTAGAATTTGTAATACATTCCTTTAATACAATCTTCCCAAACTAGGCTTTATTTTGAATGGTTTTATACCAGAGATTCCATACCAGGAGAAAACAGCCAAAAGTCCCTTAAGTAACAGCTTCTGCCTTCTCTGGCTGCTTCTCTTATGAGAAATATCAAGCAATGATTTCCCTGCAAAGGTACAGTTCCTGTAAAGGTACGTTCCATTAGCAGGCAGGATTCATGACAATGATATCACATATCAGCCCATTGTTTTCTCTTGATTTCCATATTCTGCATTTCCTGTTTGTTATGTTCAGAGAAAATCTTCATTTGCTAGAGGAAGGCCAAGGCATCCAGCGGGAGGAGCTGGATGAACGGATTGCTAGAGAAGAGTTTCGGCGACCTCGTGAGTCCCTACTGAATATATGCACTGAGTTCTACAAACACTGTGGCCCCCGACTGAAGATCTTACAGAACCTGGCTGGAGAGCCCAGGGTGACTTCTTTAGAGCTGCTGGATGTTAAGTCTCATATGAGGTATTATTTTTGAATGTCCATAAATATTTGACTGTCCCTTAGCAATAAGTGTGTATGACAACTATTCACTATAATATACAATACAGAATTATAAGCTTCTTTCAATTGTAAGTAGAATAAGATTTTTTCTTTTCCAAATTACTTCAGGTAATATCATAAAAAGGAAAAGGGAAATCTGATCTAAATACTTCAAATATTGTGGATACCAAGAAATAGAGTAAAGTCACAACGGAAAAGCTGTTCTGGTGTAAACACCCGCAGCATCATCCTTTAGCTCAGTGGTTCCCAAACTTTTTCAGTACACCACCCCCTTGGTACTACAAACTCATCCTCAGTGCCCCCCACCCAGGGGTGGGTTCTACTTACCTTTACTACCTGTTTAGAGCAGGGCCACGCGCGCACGCTCACTTCGCTTGCCCATGCACACGCTCTTCTGCACATGCGCGGAAGCGTTTTGGTGATGTCGGGGTCGGTGGGTGGGGCCTCCTGCTGGTTTTACTACCGGTTCTATAGAACCGGTGAGAACTGGGGGAACCCACCACTGCCCCCACCCCCACCCCCTATAAATAGCATTGTTCGGAATAGTGGTTTGCATGACCCACTAAGGAAGATAGTAACAGTAAAATACACAGAATACAGCCATTTTTGGCCTCCTGAAGCCTTGCCCCGCATGTCCCGTTTTTGTGAAAAACGGGCCCGTTTTTCGCAAAAACAGGATGCGCAGAGCCTTTGGGAAGCCTGCAGGCTGGTCCAATACAAATCTATCCCTGTAACAAAAATAGCTAACACTATTAGTTAATACTAAAGAAATCCCCTGAATCAACCAATCTAGAGCAGTGATTCTCAGCTGGGGGGTCCTTTTGAATTTGCTGACCACCAGCGAGTGGGAGAAAGCAATTTCACAGAGGAGGGGATGGAGAGGGCTGTGGGATGAATTCACACCCATTCCCAGATCCCCTCCTTGCCACTTAGCGCCCCCCTGCCGCCCCCTTTTGCCTCTAGCGCCCCCTGCCTTGCCTCTTACCGCCCCCCCTAAGTCATCCCACCGCTCCCCAGGGGGTGGTACCGCCCACTTTGGGAACCACTGCTTTAGCTGAAATTTATAATTATAAATCTTGTCATTTCTGTGTGTAAAACTCAGCTAAGTATATTTTCAGGAAATCATTCAGGGTGTATTTTTTGTTACTGCATCATCAGCCTGGTTGCCATTTATATTTATGACTTTTTTTTATCCCTGAAGACAGATAATTGGAAGGTTGTCAGGAACATATAACCTGCCACTCTGAGATATAGATAAATTTTTGCAGAAATCTATTTAGATATAGAGATTTTGGTTGAAGAAAATAAATAAAGTCAATACGGTTTTCATTTCAGCAGCGATGATCCTTTCCCTTTCCTTCATAGTTATAGAAAATAAGATCCATCAGTCTTGATTCTGCTTTCTGGGAAAACCGAGGCATCCTATCAGTTTGAGAACTTTTGTGCTGATTAAAAAATGGGGGGAATATTTATTTCCTTGATTCCATCCATCTTCAGATTATGCATTTTCAATCAATCCTATCTCTGAGTGGAGCCTTCAGTGGCAGTGAACTATGTATCAGATGAATCTTAGTCACAGCATCCCTTAAAAAGCCAGGAAGCCAGGAGGCCACCAAGAGGTTGGGTGGCTACTCTGTAGGAAACCTTCAGGCACACAATCCTATCCTCCCCCAGGTAGACCTTAATTTTAGAGAGCTGAGAAATCAAAGAACAGGAATATATCTGGTGGCAGTGCATCCAGTGATCCCAATTCATAGAGCATCTAGCTTCTCCTATCCACCATTTTGCAGCATGGGTCTGCCACTCTTTCTGTAAAAGAATATGAACTGACTTTGGGGAAGGAAGAGCTTTTGTTTGATATAAAATGGGACAGAGAGAATCTCTAGTGTGTTTTCCAGATTTTCTTATTATGGCCTATAGTGATCAAGTAGCATCCTAAAATCTCTGTGGTGTTTGTTTCTTGACCTGGCTTAAGTTTCCCATTTACTCCTATCACCCTGTAGAAATGAGAACCTCCTCTCTCTCTTCTATACCAGAGGGGGCAGTCCCAAATGTTTTTTATTTCAATCTGCTAAGCAAATTCATGTCCAACAATACAGACAATAAGGGACCAAACACATTTCAAAAATAAAGAGAAGTAACTATTGCTAGGTCTAAAATTTAGGTTCTTCCCCATTGCTATACTTACTCCTTCTCTTTATCCTCTTCTTCCTTCTACTCATGATTCCAGCCAGAGAGGTAAGATTAGCAAATTGTGCCATGACCAGAAGAGCAAAAAATATATGGATAAAGAGAAAGCCAAAACTAATTCCTTATGGTAATAATGTCCATAGGGAATCTATCTCTACAGTTGCCACTGCCTCTTTGTATTCCAAGGGAGATATTGCTTCTGTCTTCCCAGAAAGGGAAAATGAAGCTCCTGGGAACAAGCTGTCATTGATACTTGAGAAGATTGAACTGTAGAGCAGTTATAATGCATATGCATTTCTATTATTAGAATAAGCTTTCTGGATTAGATAATAGTAGAATATTGCAAGATATATGCTCTGATTAAAATTAACTTCATGATTCCTTCAGTTTTCCTAAGGGGAAAACATTCTTTTGTTGTATTAACAGATTAGTGGATAACATTGATTTTGTCTTCTAATACTCAAAATATCAGAAATGTCTGAAAATTAGATAAATAGGTTTAATTATGCTTAAGATAATACCAAATCACATGTATATGATTAAACAACACATTATGATAAAACTTGATAAGTAGGGATCAATACTATGGCAACACATTAACATTCTGCTCTATTACACTGCTGTAGTATTTTCCCATCCTTAAGATAATAATTTTATATAGTATTGCATATAATATATAAAACTAAGTAATGAATACAGGTAGTCTTCAACTTCCAACCATTCACTTAGTGACCATTTGAACATTACAACAACACTGAAAAAGTGATTTATGATCATTTTTCACACTTATGACCATTGCAGCATCCCTATGGTCACGTGATCAAAATTTGGAACCATGGCAACCACATGTATTTATGACAGTTGCACTGTCCCAGAGTCATGTGATCACCTTCTGACAAGCAAAATAAATGGAGAAACCTGTTTTACTTAACAACTGTGTTGCTAACTTAACAACTGCAGTGATTCACTTAATAACTGTGGCGAAAAGATCATAAAATGGGGCAAAACTCACTTAACAACTATCTTGCTTAGGATTTCTGGGTTCATTTGTACTTGTAAGTGGATGACTACATATAATATGGTTCCTCTATCTAGTAAATCTACTATGTAACTAAATTATTAAGAAAGCAGTATGGATATAAGAAATACTATTATTTATTTAAGCCATTATATTATTTAGGTACCTATATGCATGGTTCATTTAAATAAATATTTTTACATTTCAGAAAAATATTTAATATAGAAAAATATGTAATAATGTTAAATATTTAAGGTCAGATTTCCTTAGCCCATTGTGTCCTCCTGATAGCAAATTCCTATATTATTTTACTATCATAGTCTTTAGGTTGCCACATCTCTAGAGTGCATCAGAATGAAAAGGCTGCATCAGACCGTGAGAATCACCAGTGTGATTATCAGTTATCTTTTGGGACTATGTAGCATTTATTTATTGAGAGTGAGTTTTTCCATTAAACAATGTTTCATCACTTTCTCAAAAGAGCTCCTGTGACAAAATCCAGATTTTCCTCTTAATGAGCAATGGTTTTAGATTGGCAGAGATTGCACATTCCCTTTTGAAGCTGGCACCTTATGATACCCAAACAATGGAGAGCCGAGGGCTCCGCCGGTACATCATGGAAATGCTGCCCATCACTGACTGGACAGCTGAGGCAGTGAGGCCTGCCCTTATCCTCATCTTGAAAAGACTGGATCGTATGTTCAATAAAATTCACAAGATGCCTACTTTGAGGTAAGTGTGTAAGCCACGAAGGAAGGGTATTATTATTATTATTATTATTATTATTATTATTATTATTATTATTATTGATAATGTTTGCTACATTGAATTCCTTCAGTAAATATTTAAAAATATACAGAGAAAGTCTGTTTTGAGTCTCAAAGAGCTTTATTTAGCAAACACTGGAGTTCAATAAACAGTGATATTGTTGAGAGAATAAAACCTCTACACGTTGAATTGAATTTCTCAGAATATTCAGAGCTTTTCTCAGTACAGAAAGGCTGATTGTAAACACCTATCTCCTAGACATTAGAAATTTGCTTCATTTGCAAGGTTTTATCTTTATAAAAGTAAGGAGTGCGATATGCCCATGTTCATTTTTTCCTCACTCATTTATATTTTGCTGGTTATTTGAGCATTTTACACTTTCACTTTTTTCTACAATGTTTTATATTCCATTATCCTTCTGAATAACAGGTAAAATGATCACACTGAGATACTGGTTATTGCCATCTGAGATCTTTATCTTGAACTTTCCTTGGTGTTCCTATTTCTCAGTCGCCTTTTTCTAGGCTAACCATTTAATGCCACCTACCGTTGTATTCTAGGAGACAGGTTGAATGGGAGCCTGCCAGCAATTTGATTGAAGGGGTTTGTTTGACACTTCAGAGGCAGCCAATCATATCCTTCCTGCCTCATCTTAGGTCACTGATCAATGTCTGTGTCAATTTGGTGAGTAAATAAAACGGCAATCTCTTACACATTTGCCAAGCTCCCTTCTACAATACAAACTCCCTGTTCAGCACTCCTAGAAAGAACTTCCTTGAATAACACCAGACATAATGAAGTACATTTTCAAAGTGGTGCATGGGGAGAGAATGAAAAAGAAACCCATAATCCAATGACTGGTTTCGGCTACTTTCCACGCACCACTCTGAAAATCCACTTCTGCATGTTGCGCTGAGAGTTGAGGGCTGCAAGTTGGAGAGTGGGGTGGTGGATACTGCACACGCCTGCATTCACCTGGCAGAGGAGTTGAAAAGAAGTGTGGGACCCTGGAGACATTATTCAGCCTCACCTTGTAAAAATAATGCAAAAGGACATTAATTCTTAACAAATTACTGGAATGAAATTGGTTTGCCATTTATAACATTCATAGTTTAAAGAAAGTTTGCAGTGTCTTTGTATGATGTTCAGATCCTCCTGACTCTTTAACATGGATATTTCTAGACTGTATTAAGGAACATCAGTTTGACCTGGTATGCCCTTGACATGCATAAAACTGCTATAATTACAGCTGACATGAAAGACAATTCCAGAATAGGTAAATCTTTCACGGGTGTGATATCTCTTCAATTAAAAAAGATGAAAGAAGCTAGAATACTTAATGTAACAATAACTGTCATTTAAGCACAAACTTAAACCGGGTAAAAATATTGAGTTTTTATAAGGTTAAAATGAAAGCTAATAAATTGGAATAAGTACCCTATATACAGTGCTGGTTTAAATTAGTTGGCATTTTTATTGATCTTTTGAAATGATTTTGATTACAGTCTGGAGGATCGTAGAAGGCAGGAAATTCAGGAAACTCAGCTGAAGTCAGACAAGATGTTGAACTATACTGACTTTTGGTCTGATACACCAGGAGCTTTATTATCAAGAGTATATAACTTTCATCAGCTGGAGGATCATACTGAGATTTGTGGCACATATCAATAATTAAATTCAAGAACTATTGCTGAGCACATTGTAAGCCGCCCTGAGTCTTCGGAGAAGGGCGGCATATAAATCAAATTAAAAAAAAAAAAAAAGAACTGAATGTCCCAAGATCCAAGTTGGGGAATCTTAGGGATGAAATGATGTGTTAAAGGGTGCAAGTGTTGTTTCTCATTTTGATCCTTAATTAGTCCTAGCTTCTAAATAAATCAGGTCAGCTTTTCCAAACCCACCCATTCTGGGGTCTGCAAAAGGAAATGTTGATAAAGTACATCTCTTTTAGCTCTACTCTAAATAGCTTGAAAGTTATTACAAGGTGTCTGCCCACTGGAATAAGATTCTCCTGAAATATGATTGCCCATGTCCCTGTTAGTGTTTTGAAGACCTGACTCTTTGTCCAGGCCTTTGGTGAGTGTGATTGAAGCCCCTTTTAGGTTGTGGGGGCTTGTTATTTCTCCTGTCCACCTGGCCATCTTTCATTCCTTTGTTCTTGTTTGTTCTTGTATTGTTTTATTTTCTCTTTTATTGTTATTCTTTGCCCAGAATTGTTAGGGGGTTGGGTGGTATACAAACCTAATAAATAATAATTAAGAAAGGAAATTAGTGGATATCCACTCCTTCAAAATGGAAGAGTGTTATTTTCTTTTCTAAGATCTTCCTTTGTAAGATCTAGTTATTGAAATACAAACAGAACTGATGGAAAGCAGACTGAAAGAAATGAGCGCTTCAATACAAATGAGCACCTCCAAACAATATTAATAATTAATCCAGCATTTAAAATTGGCCAGAACAAGATGCTTGTGCTAGCTGAGGTCTTGGGTGGGGGAGATGTCAAAAAGTGCCCAGGATCTTGTTGTGCCAAAATGATGCCCATGTAACTGAAGTCCTGCCCATTTTTATCATATATCATATGCATGAGATTCATGTAAAAAAAGAATCAGAACCCTTTATGCTGCCTTTAGGACTTTTTGAATTCCCCTTCCATGCACACACATGTTCAAGCCAAAAACTTAAGAAATCTATGACAAATTATATAATTATATAATTTATATATAATTTGTCACTACCAAATTCCTGAAAAAAATCCTACTTACACCAAGCAATTAGGTCACAAAATAAGTTTCAATTGTTTTGAGTAGCCATTAAACCATTTGATAGTAGAGTATGTACGGTAGTTTTGTTTTTGTTTTGGGAGGCCCTTTGTAATGGCCTGAAACTATACTTGGCATAAATTCTATGTTAAAATCTTATGTACAGTACATACATCGAAATCCTCCCTTTATCCCCATGCAAGTTTAATTCTTATACAAGAGAAGAATCTGAACATTATATGAACAATCATACAAGGGAGTCTGAATATTGTGTTAAACTCAATCTGGATCGGACTCAGGACATTACCCTGACATAAGGAGATAATAACTCAAGCCAACTAGTACAATATTGATGATTTCAAGTACATGTTTCCATTGAGTACAGTAACTACATGGCATACCCTCCAGCCTCACCTATTCTACTAGTACAGTGCTGGTTATTCAGGGCTAGTACTGGGTACATTCTTAACTATGCTGATTTTCCTTGTGCCTTCCGTCCAGTCCTCCTGCTAACCCTGTAGTAGCGCCTTTTCCTTCCCACCCATCTCCTGCTAAAACCACTCCATTCCCTTCTTGACCCCAGCTACCGCAAGGCATGTGGAGGGCCCTGAGCATCCCAGTCTTGCGCTATCTGAAGCGTGTACCTCATTAACATTGGAGGGTATGGCATGGATGGAATTGAAATAGTTGGTCAAGGTGATGTGGTGTGTTTGTATTGCAGGTGATGGGAGTAGTAGGACCTTCCAGTGTGGCTGATGGATTACCCCTTCTTCATCTCAGCCCTTATCTCTCGCCACCTCTACCCTTCAGCACAGCTGTTGTCCGGCTTGTAGCATTGCAGATTCAGGTGTGACTGCCTTGCCTGTTAGACAGGCTTTGCTTCTTATGTGGTTGAGACACCAGTTCACTGGTGCTCTTTCGTTTTCTGCGAAAGCTGGGCAAAAACTGTGAGGCAAAGTTCATACTTCCCCTTACTTAATGCTGAAGTTTCATAACATAACATTTAGCAACTCTCCAAGTCTTTGGTGGGTGTCAATTTAGCATAATTCCATTGAGTCACATTGGAATTGTGCAGATTGAAGCCAACCAAAGATCTGACATGAGCGACAACTATATTTCCTGACAATGTAGATTACACTATTTATTTTTGCTTCTTAGATGAATAATAAGAGCTACAAAAGTGCTGAAGCAATAAGTCTTTTGTAGGTTGTAAACTTGAAAGGCTAAAGCTAATTTCATGGAAGTGCTTTATATGAATCTGAAGATCAGGTATTTTTACATTCTGCCCTCTGAAGTATTTTATATAATTTCCAGTTTGCATACCCATTCATTAATTCTAGAAGATATTGCTTATCAGTTTACTATCCCAGATTTTCAGAACTTAACTGACAGCTTCTCTCCCTCCCTCTCCTTCCCTCCATCTTTTACCCTTTCAATTACTTAAATATTAAGTATTTCTATCAGTTAGATGAAGATAATCTGGGATTTATATCTGTTAATGGTTTTTAACATTGTTCATTATCAAGTATACTCTTTTAATAGCCTAAACTCTGTGGAGTAACTTAGGATGCTACACTGCATTGCTCCTACTTGGAAAATGCAAATTTTGTGCTTTGTTTGTGGGGAGGGGTTAGTTCTTCATTGATGCTAAAATAAGGTGAGAAGGAAGAAGATATGACATTTTTTTCCAGATGTAGACTTTCTGCTCCGGTTCCCTATCTGTCCAATCTTTGGCATTTGGCAGAATCAGGATCAAAACAAAACAATAGGTATGGTTTTCCAAATGTACATTTTCAGAGAAATGTAGTGAATTCTTAAAAATGACTGAAATACTTTTCCTTGCATTTTTTCTATATATTTTTTTATTTCAGAACTTTGGGTTTGAGTTGGCATAGGTATACTATCTGCATCATTTAGACTAAAACAAATAGGTCAATGAGCCCCAAATCTTGAATGTTTAATCAATTGGTTATGTTGAAGCTAAAAATCTAAGGTGGTGAACCTATCCTGTAATATATTGGGTGAACCAAGTATTTGTGGATCCAATTTTTAAAAATTTTGCTGTTTTAATCTACCAGTTTTAATTAATATGTAATCTTTTTTATTATCACTGCACAGGCTTTAAAAGAAGATTTTCCCTTAAGCCATGTGATCTCCCCATTCACCAATCAGGAGAGAAGGGAAGGAATGCTTTTAAATCTACTGATTCCATTTGTGCTCACAGTAGGATCAGGAAGCAAAGGTCTGATTAACAGAAAGAATATTTTTGTTTCCCCTCCTTCCTGCCTCTGTGAAACAGCAATATTGTGCATTATTATACCTTCATGTTTCTTTTGGCACAAGCATTCTTTCTGGTGTATTGTCTGTAAGGTTTGTTGAGGACTTGGATGAGAACATTGGTGTGTTGTAGTGTCCTTCTCTCATTTCAGCTGTATTTTCTGAATTAAATCTTTGACAGAGGAACTCCCCTTTTTGAAATCACCACAGTGACAGAGCAGGCCGGACAAAGCAAAAATTCACCTATATGTAAGAAAACATGGGGACAAACAAGAAAAACACACAGCTTCTATATAAGCTACTCTTCCTGTATGGTTTAAACTCTCTTATTTAACATGATCATGTCTACAGCGCATCTGATTTTGTTCCAAAGGCTTCATTCACACTTTCAGCTGGGCTCTGATCTGCCACCTGACATTGTGTGGGAGGGTACAGCTTAGTCCTTAGGGCTAAGGCCCTTTTACGTCTCTTTGGTTAGCAAGCCAAGAGAGAATATGGTGACGTCCAGCATGAGCCTCAATTCTTAAAGAATCAAAACCAAATATAATATAGTGTAGGAAATGCCAAGAAAGAGCATGATTCCTTTGTCTTGTCTTGTTGTGTTTGTTCTTGAATAATTTTGTCTTTTGCTTACAGAAGGAAAAGGTAGGGAAACTGTGGTTTACAGAACGTTTATGTGTCATTGTGTGGTGTTTGATTCTTTTATAGGAATCAATGCCTGATTTGCTCTTTGTCTTTTCCTTTTGATATCATGCAGACAGCCCTTGGCTGGAGCAGCCTGAAGTTCTCCTGCTGCTCCAGACAGTCATTAACATTTTACTGCCACCTCGCATTATTAGCACTTCACGTAGTAAGAACTTCATGCTGGAGAGCTCCCCTGCCCACTGCTCCACTCCAGGAGATGCAGGAAAGGACCTGCGTAAGGAAGGGCTAGCTGAATCCACTAGTCAAGCAGCCTACTTGGGTGAGTGAGAATTTCAATCTGGCAATGAAAATTGAGAACAAGCTGATAGGATGACTATTTTTTCCTCCCAAAAATAGTCTATTCCAAATCTTGAATGTGCAAGTATGCATGGGTTGTTATCACTATACTGTTGTTTAATTTTTCGGACTTATTTGTCTCATTTTTTAGCTTTGAAGGTGATCCTTGTTTGTTTTGAGCGGCAGCTTGGTAGCCAATGGTATTGGCTGAGTCTGCAAGTCAAAGAAATGGCTTTGCGAAAAGTTGGAGGGCTGGCCCTATGGGACTTCCTGGATTTTATTGTACGCACTCGAATTCCTATTTTTGTACTTCTTCGACCCTTTATTCAATGCAAGGTGATTCACTATTATATTAGTCAGAATTTCTTTTTGAAATGATATTGCATACAGGATTTATTATTGTTCCAATAGGGACAAGAAATTTCTTTGCGATAAGGTGCTTTTGCAAGCAATACCCCTCAAATCCAGAAATTCAGTTTCAAAAGTATTGGTTTGAAAGTTAATATGCCTGATTCACTCTGGATTTGTAAAAGACAGGCCTCATGATAAATGGCTGAGAATAGTTGTTTTGTATGTGCATTAATAGCAAGTAAAATTTCCCAGTCTTCATGGTTGTCCCCTGCATTGTCATCCTCAGTTGCTAGCCCAGCCAGCTGAGAATCACGAGGAACTGACTGCCCGACAACACATTGCTGACCAGCTAGAGCGGCGCTTCATCCCCCGCCCTCTCTGTAAGAGCTCTCTCATTGCAGAATTCAATAATGAACTGAAGATCCTCAAAGAGGCTGTGCATAGTGGATCAGGTGAGGACACTGGTGGAAAAGGGAGGCTGAAGATGAGGAAACAGGAAAGGTTTGATCAGAAAAGAACATCAATGCTAGCATCAGACCGAACACCAAGTGTTTTTTCTTCTCATCAAACACATATTATAGAAATCTGAATTTTGATAAATAATGAAGGAATCCTCATTCAAAATTATAAGCAGTTGTAAACTTGAATTGTGATGGTGATTGAAAGATTATTTACTAAAAAGTAGAGTTTAATTTATGACATTGGGAGAAAAACTTGTGATGGTTACTTGTGGTTATAATTTCCAATGAGGCATTCTTAAGGAAATAAAACTAAGTACATTTCAAAAGAAAGCTGCTCCTTTCTTTATCCACACTGTTAATCCTTTACACTTTTCAACTGATGGCTCAGAATCATATGCCTTTCCTTTTGCTTTGATAACATTATTCTACTAGCATATTGTCATTCATGTTTTAGCTTACCAAGGGAAGACCTCCATCAGCACTGTGGGAACCTCCACCTCTGCTTATCGACTGAGCCTTGCCACTATGTCCCGCTCCAATACTGGCACTGGAACTGTTTGGGAACAGGATAGTGAGCCTTCTCAGCAAGCCTCCCAGGATACTTTAAGCAGAACAGATGAAGAAGATGAGGAAAGTAAGTATTCACTAACTTAGACATGATTTGATTTATTTAATTAATTTCTGTAGTTGCCCATCTCAGTCCAATTGACTGAGTCCAATACAGGTAGTCCTCAATTTACAATCATTTGTTCAACAGAATAATAATATAATATAATATAATATAATATAATATAATATAATATAATATATAATATAAATATAATATAATATAATATTATAATATAATATAATATAATATAATATAATATAATATAATATAATAATATTTTCAAAATTCAGTTACAATAGCCTTGAAAAAAGTAACTTATGATCTATACTCACTCTTACAATCATCCCACCACTCTCACATCATATGTTTGCAATGTGGGTGCTTGGCAACCAGCTCACATTTATGGCTGGCGGCGATGTCTGCAATCACGATTGCAATTTGTGACCTTTTTTTAACCAATTCCCACCAAAAAACACCCATTTACTGCTTATTTTTCTTTGGGTAGAACTTTTCCCACCATTGAGCTCCTATGAATCTAGTTAAAAGAAAGAGCTGAGGACAGGGATGCTAGGGCATTAAGATACAGGATGGTGGGAATCAAAGGAATTCTTCAGTCTTCTCACATACATCGACTCTTTTCCTTAAAACAGACCCTGCCTCTTCATTCTTTAGGTGACTGGCCCAAGTAATATACAAGTAGTCCTTGACTTATGATCACAATCAAGCCCAACATTTCTGTTCCTAAAGAGAGACATTTGTTAAGTGAATTTTGCCCCATTTTATGACCTTTCTTGCCACAGTTGTTAAGTGAATCACTGCAGGTGTTAAATTAGTAACACCTAGGGTTATTAAGTGAATCTGGCTTCCCCACTGATTTTGCTGGTCAGAAGGCTTACAAAAGGGGATCACATGACCCTAGGACACTGAAACAGTCATAAATATGAGTCACTTGCCAAGCATCTTAATTATGATCACATGACCCTGGGGATTCACCAACAATCATAAGTGTGAGAAACAGTCATTTCTTTTTTTAGTGCCATTGTAACTTCAGATGGTTACTAAATGAACTCTTGTAAATCAAGGACTACCTGTACCATCTGATCTTGTTTGGTATATATTCTTAAATTATCCAAGTTAAAAAAGCATCAAATGATCAGGTTTTTCAGATATATTTTTAGCATTTCTTTTCAAGTCTTTCTGGATTTTGTATTAATTAGGAAGGCTTTTGGAGCTATTGTAGAATAAGGATTAAGGAATTGGCATCAGCCAAGGAGACTCAAGTTTATATCTCCATTCAAAAAATACGAAAACCTGGGGCTAGTCTTAACATTACCTAACCCATAATGGTGTTGTTGGGGATCATTAGGGGAGACTCTATGTACATTGTCTTAAACTCAGGGAGAAAAGGGGGAGTTTTTATCTCTCTCACATACACATACTAAATAGGAAACACACACACACACCTGCCAAAGCTGGCAGGGGCAAGCCACTATAAACAGGGTGCAGACATTACACTCATTTACATTTATGATGTTTCCTAGTTGGGTAATAAAACATCTGCAAAAAACAAACCAAGCTCAGCCCACATGCTAAATAAATGGCAAGTTATAAGAGAGATGGAGAGTCCCTCTTGAGTCTTGGCAGCCATGACAGCCCTGGCATTGTTAGCCAAAGAAATACCTATAGAAGAAGTTTTCATCCTGACAGGCTGATCCTTGAAGCCCCAAATGAAGGACTTTCATTCTTCTGTATTCCTTTCAGATGATTCAGTGAGCATGCCCAGTGTGGTAAGTGAACAGGAAGCATACCTTATGGGTACCATTGGGAGGAGGCGATTCTCCAGCCATCTCTCCAGCATATCTGCACCTCAGCCTGAAGTGGGGATGTTACCCAGTCAAAGGTAACAAAATAGCCTACTTTTCATTTCCTGATATTTTTCCCAAGAACAGAAATATAGCTTGTAAATCAGAGATGTTGGGGTGAAGACCAGACAAAATAAAGCAGATCCAGTCCTGGCTTTTAACGAGGGTTTGCAAAAGAGATATATTTAGTTATTATTCTCATTTTAAAAATTCAGGCTTTCTTAGGTACTTCTCACCAACTGCAAAAAGAGCTGTATTAGTTAATGTTGCTTTTCCATGGCTTATTAGGTTCAGAAGCCTAGTGCTGATATATATCTCTGCCTGAAATGTTTGCAAATGCACTATTAAAAACCAAAAGCAGGCATATTTGGTTTGGAGGAGAGATCCATGAATGGTTGGACTATTTCTATAATTCCACATTGAACAAGCTGCCTTCCAAGCAAATTTATTTTTGTAATAAATCTTTGAAAATATCCTTATGAAAGGCAGAGACAAACAGAAATGGAGGAATACAGGAATAGTTATACACAAACTAGTAAAGCAACAGCTTTGGATTTCAATTATTTATATTCACAATCATTTTGCAAGTATTAGAGATCCCTATAACCCCACCGCACAAATTTAATTAAGGTAACTAACTGACATGGATTTAATCTGGTGATATATACCTAACAGTGCTTAGGTAGATTTTTCTTAGATAGGTCTGGACAGTGAAAACACAACACAGGAGATGAAACTTTATAAACCTAGGCTACCAATTGGAAAACAAATTGGTCTGAATTCACTCTGTAGGCTCTTGTGATTTATTTATTTATTTATTTAGTCACATTTCTATGCCGCCCAACTCCCAAGGGACCCTGGGCGGCTTTTCTCATTGCTTAAAAAAATTTTTTTAAGGTTTTAAAAATATCACAGAAGAGCCAAAGATCTTCTGTTCCTCATCTATGGCTACTTTAATTAGTCACAGAAAGCTGCTCCCTGCATTCTGGAGGCCCTCTTCCATGTCAAATCTACTAACACTGCTAGCAGTTATCAGTTTTTTTCAAACAATTTTGGCTTTAATACAAAAGAAATCACATTTATCTTGCCTTTAATTTTTTTAAAAAAACAGTAAAATTCTGCTATATATTCTACTTATAAGATGAAAAAAGTTTTTCCTGATCATATTTGGGGGGGGGAATCATTAAAATTACAAGCATTTATCAATTTAATTAAAGAGTTTTTAATTCCCAATAACTGAGAAGTGAAATAGATAAGGTTTGAACATTTTTGTAACTATTTTAGTTGCAATGTGCTATTGTATTACAAACCAGAAAAAAAAAGATAGCATTGCATTTTGGGGCATAACACTCCCAAATGTTATATGAATAGTGTTATGAAACAGTGGATGGCTGTTTAGACAGCTGGATGTTCCCATCATCCTAAGAGAGCATCGACTTGTCTGCTACTGAGGATATTTTAATTATCTTTCCAAATATACAGTTGGGAGATCAGAGAACTGGAAGTTCTTCTAAGACCTAGGGTTGGATAAGTGTCATACTCCATATATCCTCTCCAAATAACTCTTTTTGGCATCTCCCACCTCAGTAGTTCAATTCAATGGCTGGGAAGTAGAGGAAATTGGGAAGCTCAAATGCCTGTTTATGCCTGTGAAAAGAAAGATGGTTTACTACTGTGAATTTGTATTTTTCACTGAGGCTAGATGGAAGTTAGCCTCCAAATGTATTGAATAAATGTGGAGATTCATTGCATCACATCTTCTCTATGCAGGAAGCTCTTTAGACTGGAGGAAAATTCGTCTTTCAGTTTTTTTTATTTGCTTCTCTTTAGTGAATTAGTGTTGAGGCCAATTTGCTCTCCTTTATTTTCTCTACTATTCTTCTGATACTTAATTTCTTTAAACACAGAGACAATTGCATGCTTTAAAAACATATTTTCTTCCTTAAATGCTTCACCTCCTTGCCCATCCTGCAGTGAACCCAATGTCCTCGATGACTCCCAGGGCCTGGCCGCTGAGGGCAGCCTCTCTAGGTACCGTGTTTACCCTACTGTATGTCAGTGTCTGTGCTGGGAACAATCTGCTCCCTATCTTCACTGTCTTTCTTCCATCCTGATTCTCTTTTCCTCCATTTCAGTTTCTTGTTCTTCACTGATGGTTAGGCCTGCAAGACAAAGGTGTAGCAACCTGAGCAAGCTGTGAGCTCTGGCTCCATCAACCTTTATTGGCAAAATAGAATTCAAAAAGCAGTGTGGAGCAAAGCTGCCAAACCATCTAGATTATCTGTTGGAACAGTTCTCTTCTTCTCTCATTCCCATTGTATTTTTGACCGTAGGAATATATGAAACATTTATCACCCATTACTAACAAATATATTTCAAGTACATGCTGGAGGCTTTTAAAAATAAAGATGCTCCTTCAATTTGTTCCTACTATTAACTACTATGTTAATCTTGTATACACATTAGATTAGTGTCCATATAGATTAATCATAATGATATGGTTGTACAGAGTGAGCAGTTTGTGCTTGTCAAAATTATATCAGCTCTTTTTGTAAATGGCTTGATTACAATGCTCTTTATATTACAGTAAGTCCTCAACCCACTATCAATTTCACCAGTCCTATCTTAGGGTTACTTACAACCCAGATTCAAATTTGGCAACATGGCCCATTTACAGCCATTTGCAGGGTCCCATGGTCCCATGCCGTTAGGACAATTATGCCGAAAACTGCCATTTACTTCCAGTTTTCAACAAAATCATACTCATAGCAAACCATTGTTTCATTAACAACCACAATGTTTACTTAACTGTGGTATTCACTTAATGACTATCATGATTTACGACCATGATGGGCAGGCTCCATTACAGCTGTAAATTAAGGACTACCTGTATGAAAGTGGATTATCTGGATTTTACTTTCACCTTCTAAAGAAGGCAATTATTTATTCTCAGGAAAGTGAAGGGGAAAAAAATCCCCAAGAGGAACCTTATTTTCAGCTCTTGTTCCTTTTTTTTTTGTTGCCTATACCTAGTTATAAATGTAATGCTTCTGGCTATTAAAGAGAGATTGCAGAAATAAGTGGATGTAATTGGTTAATATAATATCCTTATTGTGATTATAGCTTCAAGCATTAATCAAACCTTAGCCCATTTCCCTAGCGAAAAAAGAACATGTTTTCTTGAAATCTGACATCTGGCAATGTATTCTTTGAAATTAAAATACCCTCCTTGTACAAGAAATAAGACAGGCATAATGCCTTTAAAGTTTATTATTTTTAAGATGTAATGGGATGACTGTAACGTTAACATTCAGTTCAGTCATTTGAATCATAGTTACTGTTTTACTGTGTTGATGCCTCTCAACTGATCCACTATAGCTAGGAAGACTCCTATTTTTCCCCATAGAAAACTATTATAGAAAATTGTATGAGCTGTGCGAAGACTGCTGCCTTCTTTAATATTCGATCAGTCAGGCAATGTTAAGTGGGATTATTGGGAATTACTTCTTTGCTTTAATTTGTCATTGTTTTTAGATATTAAAAACAGGAGATTACATATCACTGGGTTTGCCACATTGATTATTCTCACAATTCACAAAGATCTATGTATTTATGTTAATTTGCCACAGCCACATGAATCAATCTTACAGTCATGATGTCAAAACATATGTGAGAGAGAAAAATACACTTTTGTGTACAAAAAGTAGGAATTTAAAATATGAATCAAATATCCTGATGTTTCTGAACAAGTATTAAATGAAAACATGATTTAATTTAGGGCATCCTTTGGAACCCTCACAATAAACTTATCTGAAGCCCTCATTGATTTCAATAATATAACAATAACAGAGTTGGAAGGGACCTTGGAGGTCATTTAGTCCAACCCTCAGCTCACACAGGAGACTTATACTAGGGATTTGAACCGCTGAACTGCCGACCTTTCTGATCAACAAGCTCAGTGTCTTAGCCACTGAGCCACCGAGCCACCACTTTAGTAGCATAACTTTCTGGACAGATATGTAGGGTGTGCCAGAAATAATAGGGCTGTCAAAATTTGGGAATAAATCTGAAAAAAAATATTTTTAATTAGTAACTTTATGCAAGAGATTATGATAATGAATTTATTTACTTTGTAATTGCTATATTATTTCTGTGAAATCCAATAGATAGGATTGCATTTGAAGAATTTGTTTCCAAAGGCAACTTAACTCAAAATAAATATGAACCACATTTTCTATATAGTGGACAATATGCATAGGATTAATTAGAATGGATTTTTTTTTACCATCAGGCAATAGTAGACATTGTATAGATGACCAAATAATGAAAAGTACTTTGTACTTTTAAATTAGTAATATTTTATTGTATTAAGTCAGTATGCTAAGGAATAGTACCCCCCACTTATATGGAAGGTAACCACTTACTAGGTTGCTTATGTTTACTTCCATCTTTCAATTTTAAAATGAAATAACCTGATGAGAATTTTAAAACATTAATATTTAAATATTAAATGAAAGAGAGCAAACAGATGACAAAAAGAATTATTTTTTTCATCTGAATTTGGGTAGAATTAGCTGTGGGAATTTTTTTCTAGACAAAAAATCTATTCCCTCTAAACTTGTTTGAAAGTTGATAATGCTAGGAAAATTAAAAAGACAATATAAAAGGCCCTCTAGGTTTCTATTGGAATGGCTTATGTATGGAGCAGCACCTAAGGATATATTCAACTGAGCATTCTTGTATTATTGTTATTCTTAGCATCATTTATTATACCATTATCTGCTTAAATTCAATTTAAAAACCAAACAAAGCAATGGCTTGCAAAGACCACTCAGTGACTGAATCTGAATATGTATCTGAAGGTATGATTCTACTATATAACACTAGCTTGATAATTTCCTATAAGTATAGTTGTGTGGGATTTTTCACAATTGGGTGCCTGGCTATGAAACTGCTGTCTTATAAATAACTTGTCTTCCTGAGAAACTTAAGCTGGGGAAAATACCAAGTGACAGTCATCTGCACTGTCTAATCATAAATATCATAAGGAGGAGTTGTTAGTCCAGTTAAGATATTAATAGAGTGGAACAGGAGCAGTTTTCCGCTATTCATAGCTGGTTTTCAGGTTCAGCTCTGGTGTAGAAAAAGGATCATACCACTTAGCCATTTTATGTATTAAATTATTTGCATTTCAAGTTCATTCAAATTCAAATCATGACAATTAATCATCAGATATAACAATATCAATATGTGGCCCATCTTTTTTCTATTCCCATCATCCGTGAAATTGCGGGCAGTACCGGAATTAGTCAGGAGAGCAAATAATGATATATTTGCGAACCGGGTGTTAATTTTCTGAGCAGTTCAGAGAACCGGTAGTTGGAAGAAATCTTTTCCCACTTTACAGGGCTAATCCTGCAAGGGAGGCAGGAAGGAAACATTTAGGTATGCATGTATTTCTAGCCTAATTCTTATCTTAATTGCCCTGCTGCTTTAAATGTTTTCAGAAACTGCCTCTGGGTTAAGCTTGTTACATTGTAAGCCTTATGCCCAGACTTTCTGTCTGTAGACTGAACTTCTCTGGAGTCTCCCCTCCCCCACCCCACCCCCGAGTTTTTTGTGGTACTTTTATTCCTGGAGCTTGCCTTTCCTAAAGATTGTTAAAAGGTTGTTTTAAGCTTTTTGGAGTATACTTCCAACAGGGCTGGAACAGCTATTTATAGAAGGATTGGCATAGCTATAGAAAAAATGGCTGAGAGGCAGGATACAGTTTGGCATTCTGTCTGATTTTGTTTTACTGCCTTTTGGGGGGCATATGATCTTTCCTTAAATCTGGATGATTACCTAAGGATATCTTGTGAGGTGAGTGAGGCCACTCACTCACCTCACTTTAAGTGAGGTGAGTGTCTTTAAGTGGTGCAAATGGATCTAATGATTGCTTCTCCTGGGTGAGAAACTGTGCTTTGTCAGTGTTGGAAGAAACATCCTTCTAGGTTCTGCTCCAAGTGGGGAAAAAGACACTGGAAACATGGAGACTGCTTGGAAAGATGGTTTAATGGTGGACAGGATCACATGGCTTGAGTTCCTGAACAGAAAAGGGGCCGAATACAGCGAGCCCACAGGTTTTTATGCTCTTTCTGGCTTTGCATTTCTTGGGGCCCTGAAAGAGTATCCTGATTGGTTGTCAGACTCCCAGGGGGTGGGGGTCTTAGCTAGCCTTGCTGGCTGATGGTCACATGTGCTTCCCAAGTCACATGTGGTGAGTTTCTGCTGATAGATGGGTAGAGGGCTAATCCTATCTTTGTTGGATCTTTGGCAATTCCTACTATGGCTCTGCCTGAAGGAGGTAGATCTTTGTTATGTAGAATAGACTGGCCCAGGCCTTAATGGCCCATTGACAAAGGGTGGGGGCAGGAAGATGGGAGCTGCTTCAAACCATGCTTATCCATTTCTCATCCAGGGAAATATAATATTCTGCCTTTTTCATATTTCCTAAAATATTTCACTCTTCCAGGAAAGGGGTGGGTGCTAACTTCCTACAGTCCGTTCACTGAGCACAGGAATCTCTTGTCTATGGGGATTCTTCAGTCATCCAGGTTATGGTTGTCCCAAAGGTGCTTTTTTCAAAAGGCAACTGGACTTTCTTGGTTTCCAGAAAGTCCAATTGCCTCTTGACAAAGCACCTTTGGGACAGGAGTCTTTTGCATTGCTTTGGAGTGGGCAAGACACATGATTGCTCACTGATAATAACTCCTTCCAATTTGTTTTAGTTTTTTCTCATGATAATATGGCATAATAACATGACACCAATTGTAGAAAGTTAGCATCCACCACTCTCCTAGAAGAATGAAATATTTTGAGAAATATTAAAAGGGAAGAATATATTTCCCTGAATGAGAAATGGAGAAATATCTTTTCTTAGGGGGAAAAAGCAGCCCCCACTTTCCTTAATAGCCCACAAAAGAGGTCAGCACTTAAGAGATAAAGAGACAGATAGCTCTATTCATAGGCAAAAATTCCCTGCAGCAAGGTCTGAACAAAGGCAGAATGGGAATAGCCCTCACTCAAGATGTTAATTTGTTAATTTGTCTCTTTAGCTGGGCATTTTGTAGCCCAAATATGCCCACCCACTTTCTGGAAAACTTAAATGACCTCTCTGCTAAAGGGTTTCTCTTTATGAGCAAGAGTAATTTGGCTGCTGATAGTTATCCTTGTATTTTAACTATTTTAATTCGCCAATCGGCTCTGGCAACCTGCCTGATTTATAACTCCGGGTTGCAGGCATTGTTGAGGAAAAGGAAGGTATTCAGAATAGTTTAAGTTTCCATGACAGCTGTGACTCATTGATCTTCAGTGTGTATTCCCCCATTTCTAATCTAATAACTGGTATTTAGGGCAGCTTTTTGCAAGCAAAGAAGCTTTTTGTATTTTTTTACAGGTAATCCTTGATTTACAACAGATCATTTAGTGACCATTCAAAGTTACAAGGGCACTGAAAAAGTGACTTATGACCATTTTTCACACTTACGACAGTTGCAGCATCCCCACGGTTATGAGAGGACAGGTGAGGCAAAGCACCCCTCAATGTAAGTGACATTGAGTTGGCCATGCTCACCCAGCCAGTCATTAGGGCAGAGAACCGGTTGTTAAAAAAATTGCAGCCCACTATTGGCCTATAGATGTTGTTAATGTCACAAAGAGTATGGCAGAGAGAAAGTCAGAAGGATTTGCTATCAAGGCAATGATCAGATAAACAATACTTGAGCCCAGGCCAAGAAAGTAATTTGGGATAACACCTCAGACACAAACAGCCCCTCCCCCCCTAATTCTCATGAAGGTAAAAGAGGGAGGAAAGGTAGTATTCAGACTTGCAAGGTTGGTGGCAGCCATATCAGGTACATCAAACTAAGAAACATACACCATTTAGATCTAACCTACTTTTATTACTGCTTTATTACTTTTATTATAACAGCTATGGTATCAGAATTCTGAAGCTCTGGTCAGGTATCTAATATCTGTGCATCAATTCATTTTTTCCATACAGTGAGTGCAGTATTACTACTGTGCATTTTAAACATAGGTATTATTTTCAGTTAGTATAGGGTATTTTTAATTGGTTACTACTACTACTGGTAGATAATTTTAAAATCTTGGAAAAATGAGTATCAGTTTGTATGTTCTGATACACATTTGTCTTTCATAATAGTCTGTTTTCAAGTTTTCATATTGCTATTTTGTAAATTGAAGAAGTATGGCCTGGCTGACTAATTTTGTTCTAAGGCTATTTGTCACATTCAGCCCAGATTTCTCTTAGACTTGATTAACACTTATTATTAATTAGTATCCACCTGGAGAGGAGAGGATATCTATCTTAAAGCAAGGAGATATAGACTTAGAATTCCTCATGTGCCTTATGCATTGACTAACCGCAGCATGTTTATGGAACAGATACTGCCAAAGTATTGCAAAATGATGGCATTTTATATTTTTCTTATTTTCTTAAAAGCAATAAATAAAATAAAACATCTGATAATAAACAGCCAGATTGTTCAAAATATTGAGCCATCAGGCTAGAAACCAGGAGACTGTAAATGCTAGTCCCGCTTTAGGCATGAAAGATAATTGGGTGACTTTATGCCAGTCATTCTCTCTCAGTCCAGCTCACATGACATTGGCTGAGACATTCATACTTCTATTGCTTATTAAATTTTTACATTGCAAATAGGGAGAGATAGTTTATGACTAACTAAAGAGGCCAAAAGCGTAAAAATAATGCATGCCATCATATGAATTTGTTGTCAAGAATGTTAAATTGTATATAGGGCTTACTGATGGCATATGTAAAGGTTGAATGATATGCATTTAGCCCCTAAAAAGCAATCTTCTGGTTTACTATTAGGATAGGAATTGGTTGTCTTCCTAAGATCAGTGTCTTCCACTAAAATGCTGGCAAGAAAGCAAATACATTAAGGGATCTAGTTTTTAATATACACGAAGATTAAAAATAATTGCTGTAGTAAGATATTCCTGCTTATTTCATTATGAAAGTATACAGACTCCTTTTATAATTTGTTAAATCCATTTTTTAAAGAATCCAAAAATGCCAATTGCTTTTTGTGCCTAATTTGTATCGGTATTGATCATGAAAGCTCTGTATAGTTTAGGACATTACCATTTAGGGGACATTTTTGGAAACTCTGTTAGCTTTTTAATTCCTTCACAAAGTTTAAAAGTGGGATATAAATAAGATTATAAATAAATAAATCCCAATTACTTTTTCTAAAGTGTGCTTATTTAATGTGACTTGAAATTGCAAGTATATGTTCATTGTGGTAACTTCTTCCCTAAGTTCTGTGCCAATGCTGTGAGTTAAACCTTTGTCAACTGTGTTCATCATTCATTTTGTTGTGTATTGAACTCCAATTATTCAAAACTATGGCATACCTATCAAATCTAATTACAAAGAAAATATGTTTCAATTTAATATTTAACATTTGCAATATAATGTTTAAAGCTAAGGCTTTAAAATTGCATCCTCATTATTGTCCTCCCTTGATCTGTTATGTCAAAGAAGGGAGAAAATTGTGGAATGGAAGTCATCATTCTTTGGTTAAAAATCGACTTCGGACAATGATAGGATCTTCAGTGCCATTACTCTTCCTATATAACTTAAATAGTCTCTCATAACCTTCAAAGATGGTACCGTATCTTTGAAGTGACTGTGTCATTATTGTTTAACAACATTTGCAAAGAAAATCTTTCTCTAGTCTGTGTTATTCTGTGGTCATGCTCATATTCTTGACACTTACACAGGGTAGCAAGTGTGCAGAGTGAACCTGGACACCACAATCTCCTTCTTCAGCAACCATTAGGGAGAAAAAGAGGTCTAAGACAGGTGAGTTAGAACAAGGCTGTATTCAATTGGATGAAAAAAGACAATGTAACTTGTTAAGGGAATTTGTTAAGAGATTTTATATTAAGGAATCTGATGGACTTTCTGAAACAAGAATGGTTTCTGAATTAGGGCATGATATGAATAGATGGGAGGAAAATATTGATGTAAGTATTTGCAAATCTCAGAATTTCCTTATCTAATTCAATTGCATCCATGCTTTCTAGCTAAGGAGGCCTCTTTTATCACGCCAGAAAACCCAAACTGAACCTCACAGCCATCACGGAGCACGACTTTCAACAACACGTAGAAGCATACAGCCCAAAACAAAACCAACTGGTGAGGAAACATTCATAGTATTCTAAGTTTTAAAATGTAACTGGTTTCCACATATATCAATGTCAGGTCACCTGTTGGGTTGCTGCCATTCTGATGGAGGAGGTGGGGGAGGAGGCTATCAGGGTTGCATTCTCTTCATACTTTCACTTTTGCTGTAACAGCATGGGATTTAGGGAGGGGAGGGCTATCTTGAAGACAGATGGGCTTCCTCCCAGCTGGTTCTAGCCTGACACCAAGTTTGCAGCATCCTGGGGATGAACTGCTATCAAGCTAATGTCGAAACACCTATGTGGTATTGTATTGGCTACTGGTGTACTGGTGAAGGGGAGGTGGTGTTTGTTTCCAAATTGTTTTAATCAAGTGACAATAACAAGAATTCTGTCACTTGCCCCTTCTTCGCAAATGACAGAAAAAACAATTGTGGTTTTTCTTTTTTTCCCTTTAACTTTTCCAGGATAGGTAAAGAAACAGGAGAATCCACCAACCACAAGAGTTGTGGTAACCATTATCCAGATAGAATACTAGGCCATTACCAACCAGTAAATAGATTAAGGGGATGAAATCTGAAAAGGGGTTTCTGAAATTGGTAACATTTCTAGCTGGCTTATGCACATTAGACAAGCAGTGTAGAAATGCCCAGAGAGAGGGATCTATCTCAGATGTGATTTATATGCCTCACCCTCCCATCATTTTTGCAAATGAAATAAATCTTCCTCTACCTGAATTATAAATTGTCCAGCATTATCAGCTTCAGCTAGTGTTCTGCAGTCTTCACAAATCAGAAGAGCTCAGAATTCACTAGCAGCCAGCATGATATTAACTAGAAATGTTTTGAGGATATTTATTTACATATTTTAGAGTTTGTGTTGCTTTTTCTCAGAAATACCTGTTTTTTGTAAATCACCATACAAAAATAAATGGGTTGTAGGGAGCTAGCGATGCATTTTATTTGGATGAAAAGTATAATGGGTTGTTATTTTTGTTGTTGTTGCTATTTTGACTGGTAGCTAGTCAGGGGCAGGGCGCACCCTATTGTCCAGTTCTATGAAAGAAAAGCAAATCCTTATTGGCTGAGTGTTTTGTGAAAGCTATAAACTCAAAAACAGTATAGCCATACAGTACATATGCTAAGTGTATTTTTTTAAAGTTTATTTTATTGTCATTGCACCTCGTACAACAAAATTAAATGCCATCTTCAGTGTACATTATACATGAGAAAACTATAAAAATAAAACAAAAACACACATCCTTTTAATATTCAAATAGATCTGCAGTATGGAAGATAATCTGGAAAATTAAATTTTCTTAAAGTGTGTTGTGGAGGGTTATATGACAGAAAAGCTGGTGGCAGCTTTATTTTATTTGCAAGTATGGTGCCCACTGGAATGTGGCATATGCATAGAAATATGATTTTAAGGAAGATCTATTAAATGGGCAAGCAAATGTCTGAGAGAACGTCTCCTAGACATGTTAGCTCCACAGGACCTCTTATCCTTAATCTTTATTTTGAACGTTTGCCTTTTCCTAATGGTCTATCTTCCTATTGCTATTTTCCTCCACTCTTCCCTTAAATCTGATTTGGCTGTAGCCCATCTACAGTAATTCCTTGGGGCCTGTGAGCCCTCTCAACTTAAAAAAAAAGCAATATGATGAAATGAAAATGTCTATGTCATAAAATGAGGGAGATACAATGACAATCAAAAAACGTAATGCAGTAACAAAACATCTGTTTCATTTTTCAAGCATCTCTTTGCTCCCTCAATTTCTCACAATTTCCATTGCTGTTACTAGTTTTCCACATTTACATCTTATCAAAAGCATTTTTATTTTATTTTGTTTCAATTTTGTCTCACAAGAAATTCACAGAATCATCATCTCTGCTGGCCACAGCCTGTCCTTTCTGAGAATATTCTAGGAAGGGGAAGGGAAAGCTTTGGCATCTGAGGGGTTATTATTTTCCAGCTAGCTAAATAAAAAAACATTTTAGTATTTTTAAAAATGAAAAAAATTGAAAAAGATTTGTTAAAAATGCAGATGGACAAAAAACTCTGAGAGATGCCAAGCAGATTATCCCTTTCTTTAATTGTATTTTTATTTATAATTTCTTCTCATGCTCTCTCCCTCTCCCTCTATATTTTAAATAAATTATGTTCACAGATTGCATTCCAGCCATACAAATATTTCCCCAATGGTTTTAAATATAGACATAATTATGCATAAATAAATATAATAGAAAACACAGCAGCAGCAGATAGTGGCAGTGTTGAATGTAATTCTGTACCCTGGCCTTCCAAACCACTGACTTCAAGCAATTGTAGACAGAAGATACATAAAGACTTGTTGCTGTGAACAGGTGTGGTCCTTAAAGTTCTGTGAAGTCGCCAAGGTCCAAAATATGCCAACCTCTAGTTCTAAATGTACATATTTGTTTTAAGGAAGTTCCTGGTATCAGTTTCAATTTGGGATGGGAGGTTTGATGTAAATCTACTTAGGCAGTAATTTCAGGAGCACCCTTTTAAGATTAGCAACTACTTTTGTTAATATAATGATGAGACATATTCAGATTCTTTTTTGATCCTTGTGTATCTATTGCTGCTCATTACTTGCAGTGGATCAAAAACGATCTGTAACCTTCACTGAAGCTCAGTCAGAGGCATCATCTTCAAAATCTGATCCTACACCTATTACAGCCCAGCAGCTACAATGCAGCAAAAGGAACAGCCCTACAGAAGGTAGCAAGCAAGCAACCAATAAATCTGTTGTGAAGTCATCACCTACTATTATTGTGGCAGATCTCCATAGTCAAATCTCTTCTTACCAGGTAATTTAATAAAGCAGAAAAACATGCTTGCTATTTTGAATGAAATATGCCCACTAATGCCCACAGTTTGTACCATATTATTCTTTGCATGTTAGCCTTTGGTTTCTCATACAGTATTAAGCACAGTTTATCTTTCTAATCTCTTAGTCCAGCTGTAGATAACTTGATGCTATCTGAATGTTCTATCTTACAATTCCCACAATTACGTCACTTTATGGAGAGATGGGAATTGAATTGTCATCTGGGAAACTCTGGTGGCAGTTTAGAGTTTCTATTCCACAAATAACTGCATGTGTAGCCTTATTTGTTAGTTGGGTGCTAGCTAGGGACAAACTGGGAGTGCTGCTGCTGTACTGATCTCCCTGCTGTTCAATGGTAGCAGTTACTCAACCTCATATCTGGATCAGCATTGGATTTTAAACATATTTTTAATGGGGATGGACTCAGAGGTGGCCTGGAAGTTCATAACTCCCACAACAATCATGGATCAGTACCTGAACTTCCAGGGCCAACTTATGCAAGAGACATATGCTAGATCAAGTTTCTGGTTCAGGACAGATGTAATGTGAGCTGAGGTTTGGAGATATTGCAATCTGTCGCCTGTCATGATCAGAACACTCTGTGCTGTGTCCATGGTTACTAAACTTTGCAGGGAGGATGGGTCTATTCAATCAGTCCATCAAATGGGATAGCTATTCTTGACTTCCAGAGGCACTCGTGATGTTGCTTGGGCTGTAATGGGATTTCCACAGAGATACGATTTGCCCGCTAGACTAGGAAGAAACAACAGTTTTGGACTGAACTGAGCAACCTTTCCTAGTTCACAGTGCAAAGGAGCTCTTGGAGCAGAAGTAAATCTGGAGACGCCTAGAGCAGAATGAATCAGGCTAATGTATAAGAATTTAGGTTCTAGTCCAGTGCTTCCCAAACCTGGCTAAATTATTCCAAATTAGGTAAAAGTGTTTTTTTTTTTTTTTTTGAGTAACAGCACAAATGATGCTGGAAAGTATAGAAAATAAATCTCATTTTACTAATTTGTGAGCATTTTACAAATACCTAATCTGAATGTTGTTTTGGTGCAGATATAATAAACTTATTACTTGTATTGAATGTAATTTGGTGTTTATGCATACCAAAGCAGATGTATGAAAACAAAATTTATTTTTTTCCTACTCATATTTACATTTCCTTTCTTTTCAAATTTAAGGAATCATTTTCTTGTATGGAATAAAGAAGGGAAAACTCAAATAGAATTATTTTGTATTAAATGTTGAATGTGCCTTGATTGACTGAATAATTGATTATATTTATAGCCCACCTTTTCTTCAGGAGCTCAAGGAAGTATACATGGCTCCATCCTATCAGCACAACAGCCCTGTGAGGTAGGTTATTGACTAGGGAGTTGAATCTGCATCTCTCAGGATAGTTAATTTTAAAAAATGCATAAGCATGAGAAACGTGTACTACCCAATTTTCTTCTATGAGCCAAGATAAAAGAATGGGGATACCATTTTAAAAAAAATCAGAACAGGTTGGAATTTACAGAGTATTAGAACATTATTCATAAAATGATAAAAGAGTTTCTGAATTACATGTCTTTAAAATCTGTTTCGTAAAATAACTATAACTTCTTTTGCTTTTTGCCATAAAAGATTTTTTGGATTTTTTCTTCCTTGTATTCTTTTAAAAAATAATATTTTTATTAAATATTTTTAAAAAGAAAAAAATAATACTAACTAATATAAAGTCAGAAAAGGAAAAGGAAAAATCAAAGAGAAAGCTTAAAGTGAAAGAAAAGAAGAATAGAATAAAGAATAGAAAAGAAGAAAAATACAAAGAAATCATCTTTTCAGCAGTTTTAAGTACAATCATAAATTACCTCTTACTCTGAACATAACACTCTTCTTTCTGTAGTCTATACTTCCTAATCATCAAAACTATAAATCACAAATTCGTTTTTTTCTGTTTCACACAAAAAGTCTACAAGGATTTTCCAGTTAGCAATAAATGTAGCTATTGTCTTATCTCTGATCAAAGTTACCGGTAATTTAGCCACCTTGGCAGGTAGTCCCAAATGAGCTGACAGCCTGACATCAGCATGGGGCAGGACCTGAGGAGGGGACTGTGGGCTGAGTGTCGAGCAATTATTCCAGGTTTACGAGGCTTAATCCCTCTCTCCTCTGTAGGAAAGTCTAGGGTCTCCTGCTTGAGCAAGGGGTTGGACTAGAAGACCTCCGAGGTCGCTTTCAGCTCTATTCTGATTGATTGATCTTTCCATCTTTATGCATACAACAAATCTCACTGTACTTATTTATGTAGAACAACGTTCCACAATTTTTTATAACTGTTTATCCAACAATTCCCTCCCCCACCTTTTGGTTTTAATGGTATATTTATCTTTACAATTTTTTGAATCAATATATGCATTTGAATCCAATTTTCTAGCTTTTTTACACATCCACCAAACATGATAAAACATCTCCTCTTGTTTACAGGTAAAACATAATTTTAAAGTGCCTTTATACTTTTTAGACCAATTCTTTGATGACATATACCAGTGTTACATCATTTTATAAAAATTCTGTCTAAAATTATAATATAAATGTAAAACTTCTTTTACCCACACATTTTCCTACTGTTCCAGCTGTATATGATAACCAAATTTTAGGCCACTTTATCATACTGTTTTCTTGTTCGTCTTCTGTTTCAAATTTTAATAAAAGTTTATAAATTTTAAGAATTACATGTTCATCATTTGTACACAACTCAAATTCAAACTCAGTCTTACAATGTTCAAAACTAAAAATTATTTTGTCTAGATTAAATAATTCTAATTAAGAGAACCATTGATAACTATATCCCTCTGTCACCAGTTCTTGATTTTATTTTACATTCAATAAGTTAGCCATTTGTGTTTGTCCACTATTTCCCACCTATAAAAACTTCTTGTGCTGAGAGTCACCAAGGTATTTTCAGGCACAACCTGGGTTTGTATCTATTTTATATTCTCAGTATGGCAGATATAACATAATGATTTTTAAAATGCATATTTGAAATATCACAAATATCCATGCCACCTAAATCTCAGGTCATGTCCTAACACCGAAAAACTCACTCTTTCATCTAAAGCAAACACAAACAAACACAAGCTGCAAATACAGTTTCAAGTCAGTAAACTAAATCCTCCTATTTCCTTTGCATCTTGTAACACCTTATATTTAATTTGTGGTTTTTCACCCTACCACACAATTTATATATCCTTCTGCCACTGTTTAAATGGTATATCTGTTGTCAAGAAACATACATTGTCTGAAACAACAAGAAAAGAGAAGGATGAAAGAAAAATTAAAAGAAAAAAAAGAATTAAAGAAGTTTCCAGAGACATATTTCTTAACAAATTGAGCTTTTATAACAATTATCTATGCTAACAGTAAGAGAAATGGAAATAAAAATGAATTATATAAAGCAAGCCCCCCCTCCCCCAAATAAATCTGGGAAGTAGCTAGTATATGTAATAAGAAAAGAAAAAGGGAATATTGAGAATATTGAGACTATAAGATGGAGCTACTATATTAAAGGACAATGTGGCCATATAAAAAATATTCCATCAAAATCATTCCAATTTATATAAAGGAAGTGATATCTCACTAACGAAAAAATGAATATCTAAAGAAATAAAATTTACCAAGGATTATGCACATTGCATTTTGGGAGTTTGGGTGCGGTTCAAGACGCATGCCAAATTGGAGCATAGTTCTCCATATAGGACAAGTATGAGATCATCTAAATGTTTTAAACATTTCTATGTATTTGTTCTATATCATTAATAGAATTACACGGCTCCCATACAATACATACTGTAGCTGTCAGATCCCTAAAAGTGATGCTGCCATTCAATTGGAGGAAGGGGGAGACTTGGATTCGATTTACTAGCATTGCCTGTGTCAACAGATATTTTACAACCTATATCCTGGCGCCAAAGAGCCCTGAGATCCTCTTTACCTGGAGGAATTTTTATGATAGCCATGTGGGTTGTTTCACTTTAAAGGATAACGGTGTGAATGCATGGTTGTTCAGGTTCTCAGGGAAATTGGGAAAGAAAACATCTTCACACTTGTGTATTGGCTAAAATCTGCATTCTGATTTAAAGGGAGGAGTCTCTACTGCTTTAATCCTACTTGTCTTGCCTAAGGGTATTCAGATCTTGCTTTAAGTGGGTGGCTATCACTTCTGCTTAATAAAAGAATCCTTTTGAACAACCACGTTTCAAGAGTTCTTCCTTTCTTAAGTTGGAAGGAGAGGCAATCCTTACAGTAGCTTTTTCTATTGTTGACAGTGGGACTATTGTCAACCCTTTTTCTAATAGAGTTCTTTATATCATATCTAACACTATTATTGCAGAAAAGGAGGAGAGTCTATTTTCTTCTAATTGAATATACAATGTTCATATTCAATTACTATAATTTTGGGATAATGTAGTTATACTCAGATGTGTGCAAAACCTGGCTTGGAACAAAGATGGTTGTGGTAGTCCAGTGCCAGACCATGTCTGAAATTCTTGAATCAATTCCTGTTCCAACAGATTCATTTTCAGAAAAATAAAGAGTTACTCCCACAAGGAATGGAGGTGTAGCAAGTTCCAGAAAGCAAGAAGATTCTAGGCAATATCACATTTTTTGATTAGAATATAGGATTTTGCACATTACAAATTATTAGACTTTAATCAGCCCACATTTTTCTTTAGTCTGGAATGGCAGTAATCAACAGCAATAATTGTGCATATAAAGAAAGATGCAAAGTACAAATCTATGAAAATCCAGCTATTCTATTCTATAGTGGTTGATTCTCAGGGTCTTGGGTGTGGGAGGGAGAAGAAAGGAAAGAGACTTTAACTTCAACTGAGATGCTCATCACCGTTCTCCTGTTTCTTTTCCAGGTATGAATTGTAAGCATGCAGATTAAATGAAGGAGAATGTGGCTCTGATAACTAAAAAGTGATAAGGCTAATACTCTGTAAAATTACCATAATGAACTTGGCACATCATATATGTATTTTTGGTACATTGGACTGTTAAATTAACCCAAACAGTTTCAGCTAAATTGATTTCAGTAAGGCTTAAAGTAACTGTTCTCAAATTGTCAATCGGGATCCACTCTTGCTCCAGCACTCCATGCCATCCTTTACAATAGGCACCAGCAGCTCCTGATATAGGAACTGGAATTGATTAGACAGCAAACTTGTAGGATTCAGGATGGAGTGAAGAAAAATGAGGAAATATGATAGGTAGTCCAAGTAGAAGCAGAGTGAGTGAAAGAAGTTCTAGTTCTTTGCTTTTTTCCACAAGTGTATTTTTAAATTTCACTTGGAAGGCAATATAATAATGTAGATTAGTACAAATTTGATACAAATAAGATGTATTGTTAAAAATTCTTAAAAGTGACTATCAAAATCAGGAGAAAAGTACTAGTTTAATCCTAATGCTATTGATATTTTGTTATCAGATCTGTTATTCTCCAGTTATCTGTCTCTGTGGCTTTTATCTTTGTGTTAATTTTCATTCCCATTTGTCTGGTTTTATTTTTTTTTTTAATTGCTGGCAGTTGACCATATTTTATTAATACATTTATAATAGGTATGATCGTACTGTATTCTCAATAAAGAAAAGGACAATGGCTGAGGAGAAAGAGAAAAGGAAATGCGCTTAGATTTGCAGCTGTATTTTGAGAATGTACTTAGGGGAGTTAGAACAAGTTCAGCCCTGTAAAATGAAAAAAAGAAAAGGAGATAAGGTGATTTAAAAGACGAATAAAAATTAGTGGCTCTGATCTGCTAGGATCTTCTAAAGAGGGAAGGTAGTCATGATGCAGCTATATTTCATGATGTACTCATTTCTGGTGGTTAGACCTTTCCGGCCTGGGTAAGAATGGAGGACAAATACAAACTAGGCAGGGTTCCAATAGTATTTGCTCATCCAACCCAATAGATTTAAGTATTGGTGTTGCACGACTTGCCAGTCTCCTTCTCCCATTTCAAATCGATGCCAGTGATGGCCAGTGCTATTATTGTTTCCTTTCATCATTCTTCCTGCCAACAGTCCAATAATGCTTATTCTTTACTTGAGGAAAGATGAACTGTAGAATTCCCTAACACTAAAAAAGTTGTTATGGTAACGTTTTGTAACAATTTCCAAAAAGGAGTTTGCTATGCATGGAAAAAGATAAGGCTCTAATTACAACAAAGTCTCCATCTATCTGCCACTCTATTTTGACTTGCATTACCCAGGCTACCACTACCTCAAGGGAACTCTTGGACAATTCCAGATATAATTGTAAGCAATGCATAGTTATTTTGTAGAGGGGTGTGTGCGTGTATTCATAGATTTATTGGGTGCCCAGAATTCCCCTGTGGTAAGATGAAAGGCCAATAAATTTAATAAATAAATAAATACATCCACTTCTATTCATTGCAGATTGAGACACTTGCTACTGGAAAGGATACAAAAAAGGAGGGTGATTCAGAAGAAAAGCCAGCACTTGCTCATAGTACTTCTCCAACTACACAACTTTCTGATGCTGAGGACTTCACAGGCTTAGAAACAACCAGTTTATTGCAGCATGAAGATACTGTGCTTCATATAAGTGAAGACAATGGGATGGAGAATCCTCTTCTTTCCAGGCAGTTCAATTTCACACAAGTTGAGATGGGACAAACTGATGTTGGCCTGGATGAATCACATGTTTGACTTGAAAGAAACATAAGTACAGTAGAGGAAGGAGAGACTTTCCTCTAATCGTCATAGCTCTCTATAAGTAATGTAAGTAAAGAAAGAGCACTTTATAAACAATGAGAGATATCTCATATTCTGTTGGCGGGTTAATATATTTCATAATTCGTAAGTTATGCCTTTGGAAGATCTAGTTAAGACTCAGGACACATGTAAGATTGAGGAATAACTTGGAATGTTCTTAGACACAGAACTTAATCATGACATAGGAATCTTCTGCTTCTTAGACTCTCCAATAAAATATTACATTAAACATGACAGGCAGAAAATGAGTATGATCTTTTAGAAGGCAGGCCACCTTAATATCTTAAAGTTTATTTTTGTAGTCTCAGATGGGAAACAGATATACAGAGTATATTTATCACAAACATTAATAGCAATCATGCTACAGGAAAATTTCATGACTATATATTTCAATCAACATAGGACACAATTTATTTTCACACCTATATAAGTTTGCAGGTGTTTGTGAATCTGTGAAAAAACAACATATATGCATTATGTCTCTGAACTACCGTATATATCCAATGGATGATTTGCAATCTAAATGAATATGAATGTAATCATTAATGTTCAAATAAATAATAACCTTTATATTATGATGTCATGTTGCTATAAATTAATTTTATTTAGTTAATATTTAAAGGGTTCTAAATTGGATGTAGTATCAGCCATACATATAGCCTACATATAGCCTATCGTAAGAAGCAAAATGTTAATTATATATATTTCATTACTATATGTGCATTTATACATATATTGATATAGCTGAATACAGTTCTGTTGAAAACTTCTAGAGTTGAGGGAGAAGTTTGTTTTTTTTTTAGATAGGGCATGCATTTTCTAGCATGCATGGTCCAATTTTGGTTGTCTTCTTTGAAATGACCTTGAAAACAGATAATAGAATAACAGAGTTGGAAAGGACCTTGGAGGTTTTCTAGTCCAGATAAAGTGACATAAGCAACTCCTTCCATCAAATGTGTGAGGTCCATCAATCCAGCTATATGTACTTTTCATGGGGTGCAAAAAAAACCCCAAAACAGACCCATGCTGGGTGTGAGTCATTCCAATTCTGGGAGAGGGAAAGATTGATGTTGTGGCTACTATATCTTTTTTTGACAATTTTTAACAATAGGAATGTTTTTACTAAATTCTGTTCTGAAAGCAATCTAAACAAAGAGGATGTGTGTCAGTCTTGACAGCACATTTAACATACTTAGAATGTATAGTGCCTCAGATTTAATTTGGAACACACAGAAGCATGAATGCATGGGATCATTAATATAGCACTGTCTGTGCTTCATTAAAGCAGCTGCATGTTTTTATAAAAATAGTTAAATGGCTGCTTTAATAGACAGATGCCATATTTACATTCTCACATATTCTCAAATGCCTCTTCTACACTGAATCTGAAACTCCACACAGCCTTAGTGTGTTTTAAATAGTGCTCTGGATAGCATACATGCTGCTATATGGAAGAATGAAACATGTCATGATCCAGTAGAATGGGCTTTTTTCTTGCCTTTTCAAATAATTTATTTTCACTAGGAAAAATGGGAATGTACTATATTAAATGAAAACTAACAAGATGAATGTTGATTCTACTATTAAAACAGTCAAAAGGAAATGGGCAGAGGCTATGCAATACTGAGGAATAAACACACTAAAGACTTTTCACCTAAACATCCTCCAAAGCTCTAGAAATCTCTCTTGGGTACTGTAGAAGGTACATCTCATATATGTATGAATGCACAGAACACAAATAAGACACATTGAAAATCACATTTTAGGAACAATAATGACTGTGAATCTCTCTATCAAAGTCAGTTATTACATTTCATTTTTAGTGTGACCCAGAGTAAAGTACTGAATCCATTTTAGCAAGCCATAATAAAAACCTCAAAAATATGCCTATTGTAATTTTGTTTAAGTTGCATTTTAAAATTACATGTTATTTTTTAAAAAAACATTTTTAAAAAATAGCCTAAAATAGCTATGACTGCTCAAGCAATTTACTGTGATACAAGCATATGTTTTTCTTGTGTGTTTCTTTTAGTTGCATTGTACTAACTAAAGGCACATAGAATTGTACTCTTAACAAGAATTTATTGCTTTCTTCCATTGCTATATTGATAAGTAATAAGTATGTATCTGCTGTGAAGAAACTTAATTTTGCTTAGTGTTAGAGGCCTTATGTGTGAATAGTGTTGTTTTTAAAAAATGTCTGTGTTGTTTTAGATTTTTATATTAAAATATTGGCATTATTAAAATGTCCCTTTCTAAAAAACATGTGATACCAAGTTATGAAATTACAGCCATACTCCCAAGTTTCCTGTAAATTCCTCCTTCAACATGTGCCTCCCAATATTTTTTCAAGCAGTTCCCAATCCTTGTCCAGTTTTATAGAAAGGGAACATTATTGTCTTGCTAATCTATATGATTGCAGCATTTATATGTGTGTTTTTCTTACCGTGACCATAGCTGTGTTGAATGTTGCAGTATTCATGTTTATATGTACATGCATAAGAATGCCATCAGATACGTTTGAAGAATGCTGCTGTAGGATTCCCTAGAAATATTAAAGCTTGGTTTGATTATAACTTCTGTAGAATTTTAGTTTTAAAATTAAGAATTGACATTCAAAAATATAAATTAGTACTATCTTCAGAAACAAGTCATTTTAAATTTCCAAAACAGCTTTCTCTGCAAAAGTTTCAATTTAGTGAATACTTCGATTGCCAAAGAAATTCTGATTTAAAAATATCAAGGGATAAGGTATAAAATGTTTAGATTGTTTATAGCAGCAATCAATATGGTTAATAAATGATCTCAGGATAATCAGAGGAATGTTATCTTTGCATTGATATATGCTATATTTAAGTGAAAGAAGGGCTATTTTGCCATATTAACTATTGAAAAATATATTGAAATTGAAAAAATATTTATTTATATGAACCTTAAAATCAATCTGTACACATTAAAGCTAATTTTTAATTACAAATGGAAATGAAACCCCACCTGAAAGTTAAATAAAATTGTTTAAAATTGAGATCAAAAGATATAGAATTAAAATGTTAATAGATCTGTAAAGTGCATCAGATGACCAAAGATGAAGGGTAAAATAAACTATAGAAATGTTTGAATTAAGTTTATGAAAGAGATTAAAATAGTTTGTTTGAAAATGCATAAATAAATTGTCTACAAATACATCATTATGCCTGAAGGTATTTTTGTACTTAAGATGATGATGATAAATAATTTTAAGACTTTTATGTGACTTCCATGTATGGGACGTTAAACGATCCTGATTCTGCTTAAGTAAAGGTATTTTATGTGCACAATTCAGAGAGTTCCTATTTTATTGGGTTAATCCATAAAAATTTAAATTTTATTATAAGCTTAAGAGAACAAAACAGAATGAACAAAAGGCAGAAGGAAAAAATAAAGCATAAATTTTAAAAATTGTGAAGAATTTAGTAACACATTTTCCACTGTCCTTCTTTTTCTCCGGCGACTAAGCATAAATTAAATGTTTATGCTATGCTTTTAGTATTTAATATACACCATTGGAGATCTTTGTTCTGTTTAAGTCATGTAATCTGTTGTTTTTAATTAGTTTCTTGACTCTTCCTAGAAACCGATTCTAAATGTTTAAATCTGCCTTGTAATATATTCTTAAGGGAGCAATTTCTGAATCAGTTTTGCCACAGCTGCATATTAAACTATTTTGATCTCCCAATCTTGTTTTGTCAGCAGTTTCACTTTTCCAGGATTGGGCTTAGCATCTACTTTAATCAGTTGCTTAGCCAAAAAATTGTGATATTTTCATTTATAATTTTTGGAATTATTCCCAATTTAAAAATTGTTTCAGTTCAAATTTTAATTTTTTCTGAAAATTATCATGTATTTCATTTCAATACTTCTGAATTTTTATGAAAGAAATAATTTTGACAAAACACATTCTCCTATAATCATGTGGGCTGATCTGGACTACCGATGATATTGAGGCAGTGCATTTTGATGTTGATATAAGTGCTTCATAGGTTATTCCTATTCAGATGCTAGAAACAGTTTGTAATTGTACAGAAGACCAACTTGGAACCAGATGAAGTCTTTTAGTTGCTAATGTTTGAATCTATGCCTTGGTGGCGCAGCAGACTAAAGCACTCTTAAGATAACACCAGCTGCCTGCAATTATTGCAAGTTCAAATCTCACCAGGCTCAAGGTTGACTCAGCCTTCCATCCTTTTGAAGGTAGGTAAAATGAGGACCCGGTTTGTGGGGGCAATAAGCTGACTTTGTATAAAAAAGAACACCACTTGGGGGGGGGCGAAAGCCCTACTAAGCAGGTATATACAAAAGTATGAAGGCTATTGCTTAACGCATTGTAAGCCGCCCTGAGTCTACGGAAAAGGGCGGCATATAAATCGAACCAATAAATAATAAAACAATAAATAAACTATGCAAAACACGAAAACCTCAATTTTTTCCCCAGTAGATTTCTTGGAACAGACACAATTACTGGTTATTTCATAAGTGCACATAAACCAGCAAGATACCCATTATATCCCATCGCAGACCAGTATTTCTTGAGACTTGCCATCTTTCTCTCGAGACTAATCCTGACATGCATTTCCTATATACACGGGACATAATATCGACTTCAACAATACTAGAACAGTGGTGAAAGAGGAACATCTTAATAAGAGAATAATTAGGGAGGCTATCGAAATTGAAAAGAGGCCGCAGAATATAAATAGACAAGATGACGCTTCTAGGTTATCAAGTATTTGGAGACCTGCACTGAGGGAAACTTGAGTTTTAACATCAGAGGATAGGCAGAGATTCCAACAGGCAACCAGTGGTGTTGTAATGCCTGCCAGAGTCCTTCCCTCTTTGCAGATGATAGCTAGCAATAGGGAGAGAGAGAGAGAACCAAGCCAGAAGATAGGCTGAGATCTCAACAGGCAATCAGCGGTGTTGTGATGCCTACCAGAATCCTTCCTTCTTTGCAATTGAGTTAGTAACAGGGAACCAGAGAAAGCTGGGCCTTTAACACACAGTCAGGCTGCAGCTAGGATAATGAAGCAGGAGAAAAAAAACCTGCTGCCCTCCAATCAGGACACAGAGTTGCAGCCAACCAGCATATGTCAGCAGCAGCGAACATAGAAAAGCGACAACTCCGATCTCGCAGCATACCCACAGCTTCTAAACTGAAAGTAGGGGCCCGATGTTGACAAGTTAGAGAGCTTGTCGAAACGTTGCCAAAAAGAAAACTTTTAAAGTGTTGGTTAGGATTTTAGCCAGAGTTCCAAAGACCTTACAAAGTGTTTTGTTGGGATTTTGGAGGATTTTAAACTGGGATTTTAGCCAGGATTTTAAGTATTTCAACTAATAGATTTTTAATGATGTGGGAACACACCTGAGATTTTAACTTTTTACATATGTGTGTGTGTGTGTCATCTCTTACGGTGGTAAGGCCCCTCCTCAAGAAGCCCTCCCTGGACCCAGCTGTGTTAGCAAATTATCGTCCTGTCTCCAACCTTCGCTTTGTTGCGAAGGTTGTTGAGAGTGTGGTTGCACGACAACTGCCTCAGTACATGGATGAATCGAATTATCTAGATCCGTTCCAGTCGGGCTTCAGGCCCGGATACAGCACAGAGATAGCATTGGTTGCATTGGTTGATGATCTCTGGAGGGCTTGGGACAGGGGTTGCTCCTCTGTCCTGGTCCTATTAGACCTCTCAGCGGCTTTTGATACCATCGATCATGATATCATGCTGCACCGGTTGGAAGGGTTGAGGGTGGGGGGCACTGTTTTACAGTGGTTCTCCTCCTTTCTCTCTGACCGGTCGCAGTCTGTGTTGACAGGGGGGCAGAGGTCGACCCCGAGGCCCCTTATATGTGGGGTGCCGCAAGGATCGGTCCTCTCGCCCCTTCTATTCAACATTTATGTGAAGTCGCTGGGTGAGATCATCTGTGGTTTTGGGGTGAAGTACCATCAGTACGCTGATGACACCCAGCTGTACATCTCTACCCCAGACCACCCCAATGATGCCCTCGAGGTGATGTCCCGATGCCTGGAGGCCGTATGGATCTGGATGGGGAGGAACAAACTCAGACTCAACCCATCCAAGACCGAGTGGCTGTGGTTTCCGTCGTCCTGATATAGTCAGTTGGCGCCATCTCTGACTATTGGGGGCGAGTCGTTGGCCCCCACAGATGGGGTTCGCAACTTGGGCGTCTTCCTGGACTCACGGCTGTCTTTAGAAGAGCATGACGGCCGTGGCCAGGAGGACATTTTATCAGGTTCGCCTGATTCGCCAGTTGTGTCCCTTTCTGGATCGGGACTCGTTATGCACGGTCACTCACGCCCTTGTCACCTCACGCCTGGATTATTGTAATGCTCTCTACATGGGGCTCCCCTTGAGAAGCACCCGGAGGCTCCAACTGGTCCAGAATGCAGCCGCGCGGGTGGTGACGGGAGCAATGTAGCGCTCTCATGTGACCCCCCTCCTGCGCGAGCTACACTGGCTCCCGGTGGTCTTCCGGGCGCGCTTCAAGGTTTTGATTACTATCTTTAGAGCGCTCCATGGCTCAGGATCAGGGTACTTACGAGACCGCCTCCTGCCACCAATAGCCTCTCACCGACCAGTTCGCTCCCATAGAGAGGGGCTCATGTCGACTGGCGGCCCCCAGGGGGAGAGCCTTCTCTGTGGGGGCACCTGCCATCTGGAATGGGCTCCCCCCGGAGTTACGAAGGATCCAAGACTTATGCATCTTCCGCTGTGTCCTGAAAACGTTTCTATTCCAACAAGCTGGTCTGGCCTAACTCTCCCTTTTAAATTGGCTTTTAAATCGGGTTTTAGATCTCTTTTAGATAAATTTGGATGTTTTGGTTTTAATTTTTTGAGCCTAAATTATTTAATCTGTTTTTTAATAGTTTTTAACTTTTATATGTCTTTGTATTTATTTATGACTGTTCACCACCCTGAGTCCTTCGGGAGTAGGGCGGTATACAAATATGAAAAATAAATAAAATAAATAAATATAGAGAGAAATGTCTCATATATATAGATAGATAGATATCACGGCATATCCTGTGGTTTAGATTTCAAAATTAAGTGTCCGCAACACAGTTGCGATTCCTTTCTCTATTCGCACGGAAAAGGCAAGTAAGGTGGGGAAAGAGCCAGTCGGTTCGTCCTCCCTTCTGGGGCTTCCCGAGGCCTAAACAGTTTGAAAGGCCTAGCAATAACTGGCTCCACATAATACGCGGACACACAAATCAAGGTGACTTAATTTTCGGGATTTCCCAGACGAACCAAGTAGACTTTTCACGGTTAACGTTTTGCAGGTGAGCTCCCCTGGCGCCTAAGCGGCCGTTTTCAAAGCCACACCTTCAAAGAAGAGGAAAACTACATTTCCCACAAAACAGCTTTCCGCGGACTGGCGAAGCCCGAGTTGTTTCCGGTTTGGAATGAGTTCCGCTTCTGGGCCTCCGAGAAATAGTTATGGCGTCGGGGTGCCGGATAGGTCCTTCCATTCTGAACAGCGACCTGGCGGCTCTGGGAGCCGAATGCAGGCGCATGATGGACTGCGGCGCAGACTACCTGCACCTGGATGTAATGGACGGGTAACTCGCTCGAGCGCTTGGGACAGGGTCCCCTCCCTCCTTCCCTTCCTCGCGTGGGCGGCCGACGCCTGTCATTCGGCTCTCTAGTAGTAGATGACGGTCGTGGTGGGCGGGTAGGAGGGCAATAAGAATCGCCCTTCTGATTGGCTCGGGGCGGCTTTCCTTTTTCTGAATGAACCTTTCCCGGAATAGAACGGAAGGAGGACAGTGCGGTGCTCTTGTGCAATATTTAATAGCAACAGCACTTAGACTTATATGCCGTTCCATGGTGCTTTACAGCACTCGCGGTCAGTCAAGCGTCATTTTTGATGTTTTGTGAAACAAAAAGCAAATTCCTGGCGTGTTCAGTGCCAGCAGGTTTATGCTGGGATGGGTGGGCGGCTGCCTGTACCGTAACAGCCCTCAGTCACGTGAAGAGCTGCGTAACGGATGGGGATCTTGCCAACTGGCCGTTAGCCATGGCAGTCGATACTGTCATCACTTTGTTTAGCTACTTCGTTTTCAGGAAAACAGTATTTTGTTAGCAATGCTTTGTTATGGTGCCTGGAACTTGAGGGAAGATAATGCAGACTACTTCCTGGAAGCATTTTTGCCTTAGCAATACAGGTAGCCCTCGATTTACAAGCCCTCATTCAGCAACTGTTCAAAGTTAGGACAACCCTGAGGAAGGGGGACTTAATGCAACAAAGTTGCAACCATTACAGCCTCCTCCAGTCATGAGGTCATCATTTGCAATCTTCCTTGCTGGCTTGCCACAAACTGTCAACAGAGAAGCTGTCAAGATGTTGCAAGTTGCTTCCACTGCTTTTTCATCCACCCACCTATAACATCCGGACATGTTCCCTAGTGCCTGCCCATGGCACTCATCCATAGCTCTCACCTGCTGGATTCTTTTCTGGGATTCCCGCCTCTTCCCATGTCATGATCATGTGAAGTCCTTGGTTAACAATCTGCATGGTCCTGGGTTATGATGGCAAGCAGGACTGCTGGATTGTTGTGGCTAAGCAAAACGGTCATGTGATATTTAACTTTATGGCCACTGCAGCTGGCATGCAAAAATTTAAACCCTTTCTAAATCAACCAATCATAGGAAAGAAAGTGTGTAAATGGGCTACAGTGCATCTTTGTACTCAAATGAACTAGAATAAAACAGAACTTTTACTTTTGAAATACCTAGAAAACAAGTCAAATTATTTCATATTTGGCTCCATGTTTTACTTTAATTATTGTATCTTATAAAGTCCATAGCATAGGGGAAACCTGTATTTATTTTTTTAGTTTAGTTTTAAATTTTTTAAAAGCAAACTAATAAATGAACACATCTTTATTAGTCAAATATTTTGCAATGTTCCATGCTTAGTAATTCCATACAGAAATATCTGAAGACAGAATTTTAAAAGGTTTTATGGACTGATGAGAGTGACTTTTGACGGACCAGTTGGATGGACCCATAGCTGGAGCAGTAACAGGCACAGAGCTCCACTTCGACTCAGACGCCAGCAAAATGGAGGTGGGGTACTGGTCTGGGCTGGTATTATTAAAAATGAACTGGTTGGACCTTTTCAGGTTGAAGATGGATTCAAAATCAACTTCCAAACCTACTGCCAGTTTTTAGAAGATACTTTCGTCAAACCGTGGTACAGGAAAAAGTCTGCATCTTTCAAGACCATGATTTTTATGCAGGACAATGCTCCATTGTATGCATTGAAGTACTCCACTGCATGGCTAGCCAGTAAAGGCCTTAAAGATGAAAGAATGACATGGTCCCTTCCTAACCTGACCTAAGCCCTATTGAGAACTTGTGAGCCCTTCTTAAATGGGAGATTTACGATGAAGGAAAACATAGACTTCTCTGAAACGTGTTTGGGAGGTTGTGGCTACTGCTGCACAAAAAATTGATCATCAACAGATCAAAAAACTGACAGACTCCATGAACGGAAGGCTTATGACTGTTATTAAAAAGAAGGGTGGCTATATTGGTCATTGATTTTTGTGTGTGTGAAATGTCAGAAATGTTTATTTGTACATTTTGAGTTGGTTGTTTATTATTCTCACAGATGCAAATAAACGACATGGGCAAATTTTCATTTTTCATTTACTTGTATAATAATTCTGCACACAAATAGTTGCCCAATAATTGTGCACACATAGATATTCTCCTAAGAAAGCCAAAACCTCACTTTTACTTTCTTAAATATTTTGGTTTGAGGTTTATTAACATTTTAGATTGACTGAGGGCACTTTAGTTGTTCAATAATAAAAATAATCCTCAAAAATACAACTTGCCTAATAATTTTGCACACAGTATATTATTATAGCTCTTTATTTCAAATAACTAATATTCTAATTGGTAAAATATCTATTTAGAGTCAATCAAAATATATTTCAGTATTGATAATTTCTTAGGAGTTTTAGATGCTGCTGATGCATCCGAATAAAACTATGGGGTCAGAAGACATTTTAAATGTGTACTGCCTTTCCTCAATTTAGAGGAAAGTTTTTTCTTGCAATAACTCAAAAATGTAATTGGCAAAAAACTGATGTAAAATATTAATAACCTGTTACCCATGATTTACAAAGGAGAGAGTTCTACCAAGTTTGGGAACTGGGTATCTGTTTCTTACAAATACATTGCAAAATAATTCCATTAAAATCAATGGAATATGAGACTGATGATATATAGAATTAAAGCTGTAGATTGTAGCTATGTAATATTGTGGACAGGAGATTACTGAAAATAGGAGCAGGGAGTTGCATTTCCAAACTTGTTTGCCAATATATACTGGTATTTTAGAATAAAATTCAATACAGACAGACCTCATTCTGCATAAAGTGGTTGCAGAATCACCAATCTTGTAGGGTGATTGCAATGGTTTCCAGTTCTTGAGTGGCATTCTGCACGTGGCAATGCAAGGACTCTTAAGCTTGCCCCCCAACCCCTCCCTCCAGTCTAACTGAGATTCCAAAAGTATGAACTGCTGCCATTGGCTGAAGGTCTTTTCAGTGCTAAGGATCTTTACTCTTCTGTCATTGCAGGAATTTTACTAATATTTAATCAGTAAATTAATTACCAGTTAATTATTTAAAATCGTGCATATATTGAAATGGTCCAGCAAAAATTGTTTCACAATGGATTTATTTATTTTTTCCGTTTGGATAGGCATTTTGTTCCAAACATAACTTTTGGCCATCCTGTTGTAGAGAGCCTTCGGAAGCAGCTGGGTCAGCAGTCCTTTTTTGGTAAGCTGTTATTCTTTATTAGTTTTGGGTTAATTTTAGATTTAGAATGAGATACATTTGAATTATCCTCTCCTTACATCAGGATTGTTTTGAGCTGTAGAATTGTCCATAAGATGTGAAAGAAATGCCATCTGAAGGTGGTTTAAAGCTTCCAAATGACTGTTTTGCAGTGTTTTGTTAACATAACTGAAGAGCCTCTTCTCAAGGCCTTACAGGAGCTGTGTTATTTGGAAGACTTGGAGGTTGCCTTTTCCTGTATATGGCTTTGCTTCATGAGGGTCCAGGGGCTCTTCCCCATACAACCACACAAGCAGAAATACATGAGGCAGCCTTCAAGGAAGATATTTAAGTCTTGCAGCAGATGGGCTTCCTTTTGGTACTCTCAAGAATAGGTGATTCACTCACTCTAGCACCCCTTTGAATGTTTTGCATGTAAGAAAAACAGTGACATTACAGTTTATTGTAATTGTATATTAGAGATCTTGGCTAATATTGTCAGGGCATTTATTAATCCCATGTTTGGCTCTGGGACTAATTACCCTGGTTTAGAGGAGGAGATGAATCGAGGCTTATTCCAAATTGCAATAATCTGAAAAGAAACGCGAAGGAAGGTTTCTAATAAAACTCATTTATTTGTTATAAAGAAAATAAAACACCTCACTAACTAAGAAAAGTTAATTGTTACATTTTTGAAAGTAATTCTTGCCGGCTATCTGAGCCAGACCTCTGGCAAGAGAACAAAGGAAAAAGTGTGTGAGAAGCAAGTGAAGGAATGTGGGTGGATACGGAAACACGTAGCTTACTGATAAGAAGTTGGCAAGGCTACGGAGAGTCTGACAGTCCAGAAATAATGAGCTCAGCTGGTAAATAAAATAACGCAGTGACATTCCCCTTCTTTTGCCAGTTGAGCGAATATCAGTTCATCATCAAATAAGGCACATCTTCTTGCGCAGATACTCATGTTGAGCTGCTGGAAGTGGTTTGTTGAGCATGTCAGCAATTTGATCATGTGTAGATACATATTGCATTTTGACAAAACCTTTTTTCACTAAATGCTTTATGTTTTGGTAACGAATGTCAATGTGTCTGGACCTAGAACCTGTGAAATGAGATTCAGAAATATAAACCACCGATTCATTGTCTTCCATCATGGTGATTGGTCGGATCGGGTGTGTCCAGTACTCTCCCTTTTTGGAGTTTGCATACTTGCCTGTGTTTGTGTTTTAGGCTTTGGCTTTAAGTAATAAACACCACCAATTAATATGGTTTCAGCAACAATATCTCCATCTTTAACTATGTAACTTGCTTTTTCAAGGTGGTGAACCTGAAAATTTAATGTTCTAGACAAGTGACTCTGACTAAGCAAATTACTGGTTGCTGTTGGTATGTAATAAACATCAGGAATGAATGCATCGAGCTCTTCAACATAAACAGTTCCTTTTCCTTTGACCTGACAAGGATGATTTGAAAAAGAATAAACTTCACGTAGTTCAGGTTCTGGCTCGTGCATTTCTGTGAAAAATTCCTTTCTGTAGGTAACATGCAATGCTGCACCACTGTCAAAAGTCCACAGGAGTCGTCTGTCGTACTCTGGTTGAGGTTGTGGATCATTGGTTAAAGCCAATGTGGCGAGTGGAGTTTGTGGATCACGCTGGGGACCACGGCGACCTTGTCTTCCGCCTCTGCCTCTGGAATCTGTTCCTCTGGGCTGGTACGTGACGGGAGCTGGAACTCGTTGGGGACAATCCCGGGTGGCATGTCCCACACGATCGCAGGTGTTGCATCTTGGCATCCTTGGAGCGTAGGTCCTTCCTCGGAAGGGGCGCCTAGCTGGAGCTCTTGATGCGGGTGGTCCTCTCAAGTGTGGTGTGGCCAGCATGAATGCCTCTTCTTCAATTAAAAGTCTACAGACATTGTCCACTGTGCGTTGAGCAATAGGGACTTGGTTAATTTTTGTAACAGCATCTTTCCATTCATAATTCAAAGAGTTAATAATGATGCTGATCATTTGAATATCTTCAATGTTATGACCTCTTTCTCTCAATTCTGTTCTCAGACCTTTCAGTTTGGTCAAATGTCCTCCAATTTGTTCACCAGGTTTCAATCTCGAACAGTGGAGTTCAGACATTTTTAGTTTTGACTCACCAGTTAGTGGAGAGACAGAAAATGCCTGGTAAGGAGCCTGCATTTGGTACGCTGGCTGTGCTGGCAGGAATGCCTGTGGTATTTGCTGTGCCTGTTGTGGACCTAAAAATGGTCTTGGTTGTGCCATTGGAGGTGGGCCAGGAGGTGGCCCTATTTGCACTTGTGGCTGGGGCACATATGCAGGCATTTGTAGCTGCTGTGGCTGATGCACTGGAATCTGCTGTATTCCAGTTGCCATTTGTGCTTGAGCTGCAATATTGGCATGACCTGCTGGAGATGCAATCATTTGCCTTTGCTTCATAAAGCGTGCCTGTGTTTCTTCTAAAAGGACACCAACACCACCAGGGGGTGTTTGAGTTTGGGCCTGTGGAAACACTTGTGGCATTTCAGCTTCCTGTAGTAAATTACTTTTGCCAGCAGATGGTGCTGCACCTTTGGCTTCGGGCAGCTTTGCATACGGGGCATTGTATGCTTTAGAGTAGAAGTGGTTATGTAAGACATGTGTAACTTGATCAGGGAGACTTTCATGTGACGTATGCAGTGCTCTTTGCCTTAATTGGCCTGACACAGAATCCACCAGGGGGAGTGTCTTTGGCTCTGAGCAAGAAGACAATATGGCGCTTTTTGAAAAATTTAAGTTATCTCCCTTATCTTGCTCAAGCATAGATATAGCCATTTTTGCCTGGAATAGCTGCTGTTCATAGAGTTTTATACGGTCACGAAAGGGTTTCATAGCCAGCTCATCCAGGGGGAGCTTAGAGCTTCGAGGAGAATAATGAATTGTTTCTCTCTCTGCGTGGGAGGAATTTTGCTCAGCAGTGTGCTTTAGCCTTGCATCGAGCATTACAAATTCAGAAGATTCTGGGAAGACTTTTTCAGAGCTTGGAAGATCAGAAGAAAATGTTACTGACCTCAGTCGTAAATCATCATCTTCAAAAACAGCTTCTGTCTTATCCTCTGTCTCCATTTCTGTTCCCACGGCTTTTTCTTGTTCCAGGCGTGTGGCTGTAGTAAGGGGCTGGAAATCTGGAAACCTCCTTTCTGCCACCTTCTCAGCAAAATACATTTTGTATTTGTTTTACTTCTGTTTCGGCATCTCAGCATCTCAGCAATATAATTAGCGTACCTCAGTAGCTAAAAACTAATTGCCTATGCGCTCTTATCAGAAGTAACAAAAACAAGGGAAAAAGCCATAAATCAAACCATCCTCTGCTACCAGATGTCAGGGCATTTATTAATCCCATGTTTGGCTCTGGGACTAATTACCCTGGTTTAGAGGAGGAGATGAATCGAGGCTTATTCCAAGTTGCAATAATCTGAAAAGAAACGCGAAGGAAGGTTTCTAATAAAACTCATTTATTTGTTATAAAGAAAATAAAACACCTCACTAACTAAGAAAAGTTAATTGTTACATTTTTGAAAGTAATTCTTGCCGGCTATCTGAGCCGGATCTCTGGCAAGAGAACAAAGGAAAAAGTGTGTGAGAAGCAAGTGAAGGAATGTGGGTGGATACGGAAACACGTAGCTTACTGATAAGAAGTTGGCAAAGCTACGGAGAGTCTGACAGTCCAGAAATAATGAGCTCAGCTGGTAAATAAAATAACGCAGTGACAAATATGTATATATTCTTTGCAAAAAAGCCAAATGATTTGGATTTAGGGTTTTGGTGTTTATAATCAATATTGTATTTAATATTTTATTCAGTTAAATATTAATCTGAGGCAAGTATGGTACCAGTGCACACAATCATGAGTGCCCATTTTTAAACCTAGCAAGATCTCTTGCCCCTTATTTACTTACACACCCAGGCACATAAGTACTTTTTTTTTTAAATGGATTTTAGGAAAGCAGCATTGCTGCAGCTTCCGGCATTCCAGGCTTTTTACCTTTCTCTTTCCTAGTTGTTTCTGGAATCCATTTAAAGGAGGGGCAAATAACTTTTTTTTCAAGGTGTAGAATTTTACTGTTTTTTTTAAAAAAATCTGGGCTGCTTTCAGCTCTATTTTCATTTTCCATGGATGTGCAAAAATTAACTGAGGATACTAATGTAATTAAAGCCTTTCTTTATTTAGTGAATAGTGATTATAGCATCAGTTGAATCATGATTGATCATATAATTATATATAATTATTTGTTTAAAGTCCACACATTAAAACACTTCTTGCAGAGCCAGCCCTGCTGCTCTAGTGGGTTCTGGGGTTCTTCACTGGTCAGGACTGCTTGGGCAAGAAGAAGAGGCCATCAGTTGAGGTAATAAGGGGTTCCCCTCATTAGATGGCATGCCAGTGGCACAAGCAAAGGTTGTGAGCAGCTCCAATAGCAACAAAACAGGGTATCCAGGTGAATAGCTGCTTTGAGGGTCAATGAGATATAGCCAAGGCCTTCTGAAGCATAGGTGAAAAGCATATTAACAGGGTTTTTCTTGAATTTAAGGTATTAGTAATCCCCAAAACAGACTGATATGTTAGCATTTGAGGGAAAGAGTCTACTAGATATGTATGTACTTGGGTACTGAGTGCTAAAAGCTTACCTCTGGTTCCTATCCTATCTTTTATATCCTAAAACCAAGAATGCTTTATAAATTGGGACTGTCCTCTGGTTGAATGATTCAGAAAATATGCAGTCCAGTAATTTGTGCTTCTGATCTTATTTTATTCTTTCTAGATATGCATATGATGGTTGCTAAACCAGAACAGTGGGTAAAGCCTATGGCTGTTGCTGGTGCAAATCAGTATACCTTTCATATAGAAGCTACCGATAATCCAGGGGCCCTCATCAAAGATATAAGAGAAAATGGAATGAAGGTGAGAGGTTTGGAATCGTTAGAATTTAGTAAACTCCTCTTTTCAACCAATGGCTTAGCACATGCTTTGGGTGAAATTAAGGGTCAGTGGAGTTCAAGGGAAGGGGGGATGTACATAGTTCTGTTGTGGTTATGTAAGGATTCTAGGCTGATCCCTCTTTTAATTCCACTCCTGGGTTCTGCCACTCCTTTTCCTACATTGTATCTCTATTAATACCCTTATTCCTTTAAAATACTAAATAAATATACATTGTATTACAAACACCTTTTCCCCTTCTGTTCAGTTGTATCCAATTCTTGGAGACAGATTGGAAAAGTCCCTGCAGTTTTCTTGGCAAGATTTTTCAGAAGTGTTTTTCCATTGCCTTCTTCCTAGGGCTGACAAGTAATGGCTCAAGGTCACCGAAAGTGACTGGTTTTGTGCCCAAGACGGAACTAGAATTTGTGGTCTCCTGATTTCTCACCTATGTCTTAACCACTATAACAAATTGGTTGCTAAGGTGTTATACTTTCAGTAAAATAATCCTTAACCTCACATAGCTCTGATATCACATAATAAATTAGATCTTCTATATTCTAGGACAATGTTTCCTATATCTCTGGTAGATGAGGCACTTTATTTTTCTAGTTGCCTTCATTATGTTAATGTGGGAATTACTGTTCTAAATATTTTCTAATTGATAGGAATCAATGCTCAGACCAGGAACCATGCAGAAAAAAATACTACACTCTGTCCCAAGGAAGTAATTCAGCATTTTTGTATTTGATGTGATTGAATTCTTAGATATACATGTATCTGTTGTCAAACAAGGAGAGGAATAACTTGAATCTTAGAGGCTGCACTTAAAAAGAGATGTGGCAGAGCTATGATGTTGGGTGCTTAGTACTTACAGCTCCTTTCAAGTATTTTTCTGGTAACAGTAGGGATTCTTGTGCTATATTGTTTAAAAAGTATTTGTAAAGAATATATAGTTAGCATATGGGCAACCATAGCCATATGCATGCATGTGGGTGTTTGAAGCCATATATACCCTGGACCTATTCCCCTACTTATGACACTACCATGTTTTCCCAAAAATAAGACATGTCCTGAAAATAAGACCAAGTTTGATTTTTGGGGGTGGGCCTAAATATACGCCCTTCCCCGAAAATAAGCTCCCCCCCACACACCCATATGCATACACAGGTCCCTCAACCCTCCCAAAGCAGCCAGATCCCTGCAAACTCCTGCGCCCCCTGCCCCTTTTGCCATCCACGGCACTGACCGTAAACGTCGAATGCCTGCTCCTGCGCCATGGTAGCGGTCCACCCGCTCTCTCCCCTGTGCCCAGGCGCCGTGTCCACATAGCCTGTGTTACCGAGCACCTGCCACAGCAGCCACAGCACAAGCATCACCGCCCCGGGGCTTCCTTTGCAGGGTGGCCACCGGCGGCCAAGCTCAGCCACGGGTGAGGAGCATTGGTCATGGCTGGGCTGGCCAAGCTGTTTGTCGGCGCTGCCCTCAGCGCGGCTGCCCAGCATCTCGCTGCCAAGCACCTGGAAAGAGTAAATTGGACCTGCGGCCTTGCTGCAGGCACTCCAGTCAGTCAGTGCTTGGGCAATCGGAGCAGAGAGGAGCAGGGGGGAAGGAGAGGCCTCAGGCCACCGTCACCATAGAGTGGGAAGCACACCCCCAGAGCAGCCACTGTCCTGGCTGGGGTTTGGAAGCCGCAGAGGCAGAGTTTCGGGGAGAGAAAGAAAGACTTCTGCTGCTTCCCTTGCATGCAGCCAAAAGCAGAAGCAGCAGAAGTCTTTCTTTCTCTTCCCAAAACTCTGCCTCTGTGGCTTCCAAACCCCAGCCAGGGCAGTGGCCACTTTGGGAGTGTGCTTCCCAATCTATGGTGACGGCTAGAGCTGAAGCCTGCAGGGAGAGCTGGCCCAGGTCGTGGCTTCCACGTGGGTGCCGGCGGCATTGGCTATGAGCTCAAGGACCTGGTGTTCGCCAGCTTCACAAACATCAACATGGTGAGGCCTGGAAGGTGCGCGAGCAGGGGGTGGGGACAGGTACTCGCGCGGCTTGGTGCTTGTGTTCTACATGCACACACCGTGGGAGGGGAGGGGCTTGATGGCGCACGAAGGGATCCTCTCTCTGCCGGACTCCTGGCTGTGAGTGTGCAGACTGCCCGGGCCTCCTGCACCCCCAAAATAATAAGACACCCCCCCCCCCCGATAATAAGGCCAAGCCCTTATTTCGGGGTTCAAAAGAAAATAAGACCCTGTCTTATTTTGGGGGAAACACGGTATCAGCTCAACTAAATTTGTTAAGGTAGATTATCTCCTATATTTATTGTGCTATTTACTTGTTTCTGGCTTGCTAATGTTTTGTTCTCTTTGGAACAAAAGAGCTCCATTCAAAATGTTCCATGAGACACTTTTAACTGCCAGTTTTCCTGCAGAAAATTTCTCAAAAGTTTTGAGTGTTTTCTGTTTGAATGGAACAAACACTTGAAACTTTTCAATGTCCCATCATTCGCAGTAACTCAAAACAAGCCTTTTATTTTGCTCCCCAGTTGGTTATCTTAGGTCACGAATGTTAAGTGAACAGCAGTCCCTGCTTGCTGCTATTTACCATCCGACCTATAAAAAGTTGGAAGATAATGATTTTGCATGCCTCATTAAAAGCCACAGAATTAAATCCAACAGAGCAGACAGCACTAGAATCACTTTAACACAGCTCATGAGTAACTTGGCAACTGTAAAAGTATACTTCTCTACCTGTGAAAAGTATACATCAGTGTAATTCTGCATTTGTACCATCACAGCAGTACCTGTAATACATATATGATATGTATTGTATACTTTGGAATCTGAATTTCTGAAAAAGGGACCTCAACAAGAGTACTCTAGTTACATCTGCTTACATAAAACATTTCACCCTGATTCCCGGTCTCCTCTTAGCTAGCTCCAGCCCATAGCAGCAAAGATGAAGCCAATTTACTTCATGTCTATATGGTCGGAACAGTTTAGAAGGACTCCCCTTCACAAATGTCAAGATACTCAAAGCAACATGTGCTGACTCCCCCCCCATTTGTCTTAAATTTAGAATAGTTTTTTTCTTTGAGCCCAAACACTAAAATACTTTGAAATCAGACACTTTGCAGATACATACCAATCACTATAATGAGTGCTTAATGAATGCTGTTTAATCACAAATTTAAAACCAATGTGTCATATAATTCTGAACTCCTGAGCACATTAAGCAAACATTACCTTAGTAGTTGTACATTGGAAATAATCTATTTTTTTCTTTGCAATTAGAAAGTTTATTTGGCACAGCTTTTTACCCACTATCTGGTGGGAATAACTTTGAATCTTTTTGTTTCTTTTCTAAAATATTCAGGATACAAGTTGTTTTAATATTTTGGTCCTTTTCTTCTTTAGGTTGGTTTGGCTATCAAACCAGGAACCACAGTAGATTTTTTAGCACCATGGGCCAATCAAATAGACATGGCTTTAGTTATGACAGTGGAACCTGGTTTTGGTGGACAAAAGTTCATGGAAGATATGATGCCAAAAGTAAGTTTGCCAATTATTTCAAAAATCCCAGCATTATGAAAAAATAATGGGAACAACCTTAAACATTTTAATTGAGAATGTTAATACTATACATTGATGTCTAATTTTTGCATATTATGAGAAAAACAATTACTGCTCCTGTTAATTGATGTTCTTTCTGCATTGCTAACTAGGTTCACTGGCTGAGAACCCAGTTTCCTTCTTTGGATATTGAAGTAGATGGTGGTGTAGGGCCTGATACTATACATAAATGTGCAGAGGTAAGATTAAGAGACAGTTCATATTAAATGGAAAATTTTAATTATTGGAACTTCTTATGTCTAGGTAATCCATTTTTTAAAATCTGTTTAATATTAAACTTTTTTCTTCATTCCAATTAAATATAGAAGTAACTTTTTTGCAAAACATTTGAGTATTCATTTGGTACTTTTGACAAACCTTGATGCTTCTTGCTGATTAGGAGTAACAAGGAAAGTATAATTAAAGGTGCTGATCTGGTTAACTGTTGTTTGTTTTCTGTTAGAATGTATATATTGTATTTCACAATTTTCTATAATTAATTCATTATTGCATGTTTATTTTAAAAATTCTTATGCAGTGTCATGGGATTTGCTTTTAGGCAGGTGCAAATATGATTGTGTCTGGGAGTGCTATAATGAAGAGTGACGACCCTAGAGCTGTGATTAACCTTCTGAGGAATGTCTGTTGTGAAGCTGCTCAAAAGCGTTCTCTTGATCGGTAAAATCAGGTTGCAGCCAAATGGGTTGTGTTTTACTGTTCTCATTATGGGTGGGTTGGGATACCATTGTGGAATAAACAAGACATCAACTTTGGAGACTCATTTTATGACCAAAAAAACCCAAGCACAATACATAGTAAGAGTGTCTTGTGATCTTGGAGAAAATGCTGCTTGCTTGCTCCTTGATTTCATGCAGCAGTTTGTCATGGAAAAGGTTTTTTTTTTAATTTTTTAAAATACAAATGTAGTGATTCCTTAAAATGCTAAATAATAAACCCTTGAATTGGAAAAGTTTGAAGAGTGACTTGGCCCTGATGAACAATTGTAGGTCTAATCCACTTTAAGAATATAAATGGAAGGGTAAATATGAGAAATGGAAGGATGGAAATAAATGGAGCAGGAAATTTGCTTCAATGTTCAGAATATGAAAATAACAACAGCAAAAATTGCAAACCATTAAAATGTTAAGATCATGGGTATATAATCTGTAAAACTTTTAAAAATTGCCATCAGTTGTAACTGTTAACATGACAGAAGGAAAAACTATTAAATACTTTGACAGTAATTTACATTAAATGTTTTAATTTTGCTAGAATCCATGCAATTCTTGGTTGTACCCTCAGCCTGAAAAAGAATGCATACCTGAGCTTTGAGGCAATGCTAATTATCATTCAGCTTGTATAAATTATTTGCAAATTGAAAATAATTTGATTTTTTTTAATGCACACATGCACATCCTTTTTGTTCCCAATTGACACAGCTGTTTCAGAAGTAGATATAAAGTTTATACTATAAAAGTAGTTAAGGACATGTTATGATTTGGTGCCTGTCAAATGCATTTTGAACAAAAAACAGTCTTCTCTTCCAATCAAGATTGGCACATCAAATTACAACATTTATATCATTTTCTTAAGAAAAATATGATAATGAAGACAAATATTGCAATTCTCTTTTTAGTGGAATGTTTGATATTAATCTCTTTAATTGGCTTTATTGAGAATATATTTTGAAATTAAAAAAATAACCCGATCCTTTACCTACCCTTTTTATGCTGAAAAAACAGTAGGAGACAGTGTTAAAGAACAGGGATGAACAGATTTTTTTTTTAAAAAAATGTTAATCCTTGTATCTCGATTTGCATAAACAGTAAGCTGAAGAGCATAAAAGCAAGAAAATATATAGAACCTTTTTCTGTTGTTCAATTGTATTAAAATAAATATTTTTTACGCCAGGTCTGGGCAGATGAGGTAGTTAAATGCATACTTTTTGTCGTTTTTGAAACTGATAGCAAACTTTTAGGGATTCTGGCTTTGGTCGAGGCCTCTATTTAATTTGCAAAGGTTGCAATCCTGTACAAATTTGGCTAAGAGTAAGCCCTATTGAATTCAACAGAATATTTGATAAAACATAATAAATTTGATTAGGAAATTTTGCATGTTAAAAATAATACAATGTAATTATTTACATAGGTCTCTAAATTCATTTAAAATAACTAAGTAGAAGTTAGCACACATACAACAGGCATCTATATTAGACCAAGCAATGTATAGTATGTATGAATTGCATCTCCTTCACCTGTCAGCAACTATAAGAACAGAAGATGTTCAGAAGAAATTTATTACTATGAAAAAAATTACTTACCAGAAAAAAGTATTATCATCTTTCAAATGATCAAAACCCACCTTTTAGCTAATTTTAATAAAGATGTAAATTGGAATTAGCTCTGTTTTAAGAGTAAGAATCAAATCAACAAAATAAAAATCGTTTTTAAAAGAATGCATGTTTTCATTTTTCTCATTCTGGCTGGATACTCATATATTAGAAGTCATAGTAATTTATATATTAAGAAGAAATATGAGGAAGATGATAAACCAGAAATAAAGTTGACCAACAAAAATACAGACTTCGGCTTTGGAACGCAAATCAGAGGGGGAAAATGTCATTTCATATTCATCACAATTATGTAAAACATTTGATGCCAAGCCAACAGTATCTCCCAATCATGATTTGTCATAGTTAAATACAAAATACTAAAGGGATACTATATGTTAATTACACATTTCAATCCATTAACATCACACTGTAGTATAGAGAAATAACTTTTAATTTTAAAACCTTGCATTGAAAATTGGTCTATCAGAAGCAAGATTCAAAGTTAATTTCCTGGACAAAATATTTAAAAAGCTAAAACCAAAATATATAGCAAACTACAATCTAACATAGGCTGTAGTGTGAAAAGGCAACTTAACATTTTTATATTAGCCAGTGTACTTCTAATCCGCTGGGGACAATGGAACACTAAAATTTGGCCATCTACCCATTAAAGCTTCCTTTGGGAAATGGCAGTTTTATAAAGCATACTTAATAATAGTATGTTAATAAAAGCCATCAATAGTTCCTCACAGAAGAACTATCGTCTTGAGTTGGTAGCAGTAAATGCACATAACAGTCCTGTGCAATATCTATTCACCTAGCATCACCTGGTGGATACAGGTAACACTGCAATGCAGCATTTTGGAATTTGAATGAGAACTTTTTCATTTGTCTTATCATTTTCTAACAGCTATTGTCTTGCTCATAATGCTTATATTTAAATGTCCTTTTTTCCATGTATATGTAAAGTTTCTAAGATACGAAAATGGATGCTCGTAATCTGCTGATTGTAACACATACATAGTGTTTGTAGGGATACAAAAGAGTTAAATAAATAAAAATACTGCTAAATGCAATAGAAATAGATTCCATTGCTTCAGAAATATGAATTTCTCAGATACTTCTAGTACTTACCTTTAAAATAAGGGGGGGGGGAGAAGAGAAATCCATTGAAGTACAGAAAATTAAATCATTTAAACTGACTTTATCTCATCTGTAGTTTTAACTTGCCTAGCCCAATGAATTCAAGTATGTGTTCCATTTATATATTTATAGATTGATTTTTTTACCACTTGCTAAATGCAAAGATATATTTTGCTGCATTGTAATAATTAGACACTTTGCATATTTGATCAAGATGGGACAATGATTTGAGGTCACAGTTTAAGAGCATCCACTTTTCACAACAAATATATTAGTCTACCGGACATTCTTCTTGGAATTCAGATAAATATAAATAGCTCTTGCATTCTCATCCTGCCTGTAAAAAAAGTCAAAAAATTATATTGTAAACATTAATATTATGAAGAAAATTATTGCTTGCATGAGCATGAAAATATATTACCTTACATCTTCCTTCAGCTTGATTTACTTTCCTAAATCAGCAACTTTACTCTCTGTCACGTCTGTTTTTTCCCCAAGTAAATTTGGTGGTGGTCTTCCACTTCAGAGACAGAACTCTTCTTTTGTGGCTGGTTATCGTTCAGAAAACTAAAGGCCGTGTATGGATTATGGTCAGAATCTCTAAGAACAGACGTATCTGAACATTCTTGATGAACTACTGGGTGACGCTGGGGTATTAAAACTTCTACTTCTTCGGTTTTTAGTGGAAAAGCCCGACGTTCCCAGAGAAGAGTCTGGCAGAGATGAAAGATAAAATAAAAGGCACTGAAAATAAACTTTTAGCAGAGCATGTGTCTTACCACTATTTTTAAGATTAGTCACTTCCACACACACACACATACACCCCACAGCCAGTACTTGCAAATAGGAAGGGGGAATCGTCTTAATTTTTCAACAGATGTTGGAAAGGAAAGAATAAGAAATGTAAATGGCTGCAGATATTACTGCTGCACTAATTGGATACCCTGGAAAAGAAGCAACTACTATGGTGAGACTACCTGTGAGCCTTTTATAATGCCTAAATAAGTTATTATAAAATAATAACGACTTCCCTATCCTGGTCTTGCTAGGAGATGGGTGGTATATAAATTTGATAAAGTTGTGATTATTAACTATGTCTTCCCCTTTCCTATTTGCATCCAATTTGTTTCTACCTCTCTTCCCTACCCTTCACTTCACCCCCTTCCCATTCCATTATCCCCACCTCACCTCCTTTTTCTGTGTCTGGCAAAATAGAAAAGAAGATGTGCTTGTGTATGTAAAAGAAAGAGGAAAAATATGGCTACATACACTGGAGTTCAATTCATTTTGTAAGTGTGGTAATTTTTCTACAGGCCATTAATTTAATTAGAAACAAATGATGATTCTCTTACTAGTTCAAGAGGGGTGTAGCTTCAAGGCCATGTTCATATTCAAGTTTTTCATATATGCACATTATGAAGGAAGAAAGGAATCTCCAAAAATGATTTTAATTGGAATTGGTAACTAGCTGACAAGAAAGAAAGCTGGGCACTGAGAAGTTTTTTTTAACATAGGACTTCTTTTTAAGTGGAAGAAGTTCAAGATTATCTTTGGAGTAGATATGCTATATATCTTGTACAAAATATTTGCAATGATTCTTAATTCTGATAGTGGAAGCTCTGAAATCACATCATTTATATCAACTTAAAATTTACACAATGACAAAATCGGACTGTTTTATTTAGAAGGTTCAATTGAACAGCTTGGGGAAGCCTCACACAATATAGTCTTAACACACTACCCCCAAATAAATAAATAATTGCAAATGAAATAAATATGTATTGAGTTGCACTCAATGCAATACTGTCTACTGAAAATTAAGCTCACTGTGTTCACTTGGATGGTGTGTGCGTGTGTGTTTTTCCAACTAAGTCTATTATAGTTTTAAAAAAAGTATGATTAGGAGACTTACATAAAAACTAAATATAGTGTTCTGGTATATTAAAAATGCTTTAATGAACAACAACACAAACACTTTATAACACAAATGATCTAAACAGGATGTTTTTTAAAGGAAATTGCTAAGTAGCTCACTTTGGTCCTTTTAACTGCTCTTCAGTAAACTCAACAATAATTAAATCCTTATATTTAAATGGCATATTCATTAATGTGTGCTTTACCATTGATAGTTTTTTTCCTGAAGTCTCTGATGTTCCCAAATATTGAGAATTATAGGCTTCTGAAGTTATGCCTGCAGTGTTTTCCGAAATGTAGGTGGTTAGATTAGAATTTGCTTGTTTTTCTTTCAGTGATGCATCTTGTTCCTCAAAATTTCTGCTATATGATCTATAATGAAATAAAATAAGTTCTAATTTCTTTCAGTAACAATGATCTGATGAACAATAAGATGATGGAAGAATCTCTATAACAAAAAAATTAATTCTAAAGGGAACTTTTAGGAAACAAAAACATACTCTTTCCACTGTATACAAAGTTTTTAATATTTTTAATCAGTCTTTTTAATGTTTCATTTGTGGAACAATTCATAATCTTTCTATGATTCTATCTATCCTACATCTTTTAAAAATAATTTTACTTTAATAATAAAGGATGAATATGAAAGGAGATTGCTGGAAATGATGAAAGAGAATAAAGCAAAGATTGTATTCTTTTTGAATTCTTGGAATTCAAAATAGAGAAAGATGCCAAATAATTCAGTATTATAGAGTTAATACCCATGTAATCAAGTCTGTGAAGCGTATTTTTCATATCTTTTCCATTTGATTTGATTTGATTCTGTTGACTATATTATTGCTAAAAGGAGATGGAGGAGCTCAGTTATAACATCAAAGACATGACTAGATATGACTGGAATTCATCGTGAACTGCTCCTATGCAAGCTTCAAGTTAACCTAAAGAAGAAAGCCAGTCAGTTTATCTATATATATATAAAAGCGAAAACCACTCATGCCGCAATCACAAAATCTCCAGAACCGTAAAGCCTACAAACTTGAAATTTGGCACGTATGTTCCTCTTGGCTTCTAGATGCTTGCTAAGAAAGGATTTTTCAAAATGACCATCAGATCATTAGCATTTCTTATATTATTATTAACACACTCTGATGCCAATTAGTCAGACATTCTACTCCCCCTCCCAACCTGAAAATAACTCTGGAGAAAACGGGATAGGATAGGAGAGGCTTCTGTGGGGCAACCCTGAGGGAGAGAAGGGGATAGGACAGGAGAGGCTTCTGTGGGGCAAGCCTAAGGGAGAGAAGGGGATAGGATAGGGGAGGCTACTGTAGGGCAAGCCTGAGGGAGAGAAGGAGAGAGGAGAGGCCGATCCGTAACTACCCATTAATTTTCAAGCTGTGTTGATTTATCAAGCCCGATCACATAGTTTCGTAGCGGAGCACGGGTATTCAGCTAATATGATATAATCTTGAATATATATACACCATTTTAAAGAATATCAGGAATAGCTTTTAAGTCCTGAACCACATTAATAGAGAATTATGGAATGAAATTAAATAAATTGTTAAGAATGAATGTGAAAGGAAACTGCTGAAAATGAAGGAAGAAGAGAAAGCAAACTGGATGTTAGAATAAACTGGAAATTGACAAGAACAGAAGAGAAGCAAAAGCCAAGAAAGAGAAAAAATATATGAAAAGAATTTAACAAAAGAGCTTTCAGAAAAGACAAAAAGCAGTACTACAACATCTGTAAAGATACTGAAGATGTAAACAAATGTGGGGAAAAAAGGAAAGCTTTTGAACTAATGAATAAAATATTCAGTAAAGATGTCAGCATCTAAGATATCTTAGAATATAGTCCTTACTTATAAAAACCTCTGGTACTAAATAAGAAGTCAGATCAGCACTCCAGTCATTACCAAGTCTAGAAGTTATATGAACTGATGGAATACCCATGATGAAATATGGCAACCAAAAGAACATAAATTAGTCAATCCTAACCAAGCTACGCCAGCAAATCTGGAGAAAGACACTGGGGCCAACCAAGTGGAAGAAGTCGATCTAGATTCCAAAACTAAAAGAAAGACTTAACAGAGTATGCAAATTATCATACAATATCCTTAATTTCACATCCTAGCATTAGTTTAAGATCATCCAACACAGATTAAAGCCCTACATGGGAAAGAAAATACCAGATGTTCAAGCTGACTTTAGAAAAGGCCAAAAAACACGAGACATTACTGCCAATGCATGCTGAATAATTGAAAAAGCAAAATAAAAAATAATTTTAAAAATCCTAAAAGAAGTCAGTATGTGCTTCATTAATTATGGAAATGTCTATTGGGGAGAATTTCTTTGATAAAAACAAATGTTTTGCCAAGAATGATGTTTTTGTTTCAGGCAATACCTCTTTTGACCACGTTACCATTAAACAATGCCACGAAGACGTATCTAAATTTTTATAGCAAATGAAAACGTGTCATAGTGTCCTATGACACTCTATGGAAGCAAAAGTTGGACTTTAAAGAAGCAGTATTGATGGTTTTGAACTTAGTGTTGGAGAAGACTGCTGAAAATATTGTGGACAGTCAAGAAACAAGCTGATGGATCATTGAACAAATCAAAGAACAGTAATATTAGATTGTCTTGAAAAAAATGTATGTGATTAGTAGGAGTCAAAAATGGCATATAATGATGGCACATAATCAATAAAAAACCCCATTCTGATTAAAGACAACTACCCCAGTCGTTATTGAAATATGTATGAAGTCACATTCAAGAATCTCATTTAAGCTACCTTAAATAAATATTAAAATGGACAGAAATCCTCAAATCACCTATTCTGTTTATGTTTTGGTACTGAGCAACAAAGATGTGCTGTGAGGTCATCATCATGAGTCAGAATGACCCCTGTCATAATAACCTAGTTTATATATATGAAAACTGTTCATTTATTTATATCCTGCCTGTATTTTTAAAATAACTCAAGCCAAAATACTCAATGTATCCAACACATCTTCCTCCTCCTATTTTTCCCCACAACAACCCTGTGAGGTGAGTTGGGCTAAGAGAGTGTGACTAGCCCAAGGTCATTCAGCTGGCTTTCATGGTTAAGGTGGAACTAGAGCTCACGGTCTCCCACATTCTAGCCTGATGCCTTAAACACTAACCAAACCACAAAACTGTGGTTTTATATTCTGTAAGCCGCCTTGAGTCGCCATGGGCGAATAGGCATCAATATAAATTCAATAAATAAATAAAAATAAATAGCTAGAAAAATTCATGTCTAAAATTGCATCTCTTTGTTCATCACATAAAAAATTAGTCCATCTTCTGTATTTTCCTCATTCTTTGCAATTGCCTTTTGGAAAGAAAGACATTTTTTCCAAAATTTCTATAATGACGTTCACAAATAATTCTCAGTTGGAAATGCCTAATACCACAATGACTACAGCAGAAACAGAATCACAGAACTGGGACCTTGGAAGTCTTCTAGTCCAACCACCTGCTCAAGGCAAGACACCTTATACTCCTGGCAGAATGTTTCTCCAGTCTATTCTTGAACGCAATGGATTCCTGAGTGATGATTTTGTTCATGCTCAGGACAGATATCTTTAGTATGTTTTCACTGCAGGAGACCAACCCTAAATATATGTTTATAAGTATAAAAAAATGTTTAACCCAGAAATGGCCTTCCTCCAAGAATGATCTCAGATTTTCATATCAAGTTAATTAACTGTCTGCCATCCTGCTTATTTCTTGTATACAGGTAGTCTTTGCTTAGTGACCACAGCTGAGACCAGGAACTCCATCACTAAGTGAAGTGGTCATTAAGTGAAATATCACTTGACCAGGATGCACTTATATCATTTTCCAGTCAGTTATGACAGTGGTGAAATGCACTTACCTTTGTTACCGGTTCAGAAATGTGAGCACGCGCTCTTCTGCGCATGTGCAGAGCCTTCTGCGCATGCGCAGGGGGTCAAAAACAGGACCTAATGATATCCCGGAGAGTGGGCAGAGCCTCCCGCTGCCGGCCCTACCGTCTCACATGAGCCCGATAGATCCGGCAGGATTTCACTGCTGAGTTATGAAGGAAGTCATTAGGGATTAAGTGAAATGGTACACTGAGTGCAACTTGCAATTTTATTTGTGGCTTCTCCACTGACTCTGCTTGGCAAAAGCTGATTGTGAAACATGCAAGTGGAATCACACAATGTGGGACACTGTAACAGTTGCAAATGGGTGCAGGTTGCAAAGCACCTAAATGGCAATTGTGACTTTGAGGACACTGCAATGATTGTAAATGTGAGGACTGGCCATAAAGTTATTATTTCAATGCTGTCGTAACTTCAAATGGTCAGTAAACAGGGCAGCCATTAAGCAATGTCTACTTTTATTACAAAGTCCCAAGATGTTGTCAATATCCCCTCAGTGCTCTACAAAACTGCTTTACCAACTGATAAAGGAATGTCTGTGAAGAGTCTCAGTCATCCAGGTCATGGCTGTGATCACATCTTTCTTTGAGCCTTCCTGACAATCTCCTTATCTGACATTGGCAAAACTACAATTTAATTACATTACATTAAATTAAAAAAGTCTTCTACTTTTACCAAATATTATTATGGTGCATTTGTCTCCTCTACCGCTTAAATAAGATTGCCTTCATTCATTCATACATACAAATATTACATAGAGAACTCGTAGAAGACTGCATTTATACAACCCAGTCAAAGTTTTTGGCAAACTTGGGCCTTTAACCTTGCAGAGATGTCTGGTATTGCTTTTATCCCTTGATCGCTCCAAACCCACTTTCCTTTTACAAAAGGCAAGACATAGGGAAATCAAACCCAAAAGCATGCATGCTAGAGTGGGTGATTTGTTTTTTAAAAAGACCCTTCACAGTTCTTGAAGATTCTGACATGGAACTCTGTCCAAGAACATCAACCTTTTGAGGAAGCATAATCCAGTAATGATTTGAACAAATAACCAGCCTATTAGTCACATTGTTAAAGATTTATTCACACATTGGTGAGCCTGTAATGTTCCAGAACTTACATTCAAATAGGAAACTTGCCCTTTCCCTTCAGTTCTTGCTTGAATGCCAGCATTAACGCATTGAGAATTTCTGAGTTTCTCCTACTATATTTTATTCATTGTGCTTTGTGTTTATATATTAAAATTTTAAATTACCGCATAATGCTATCTCATCATATATCCTTAGTTTCAGAAAGCAAAGAACTACTTAGTTTTATAATAACAGGATTGCATTAGTCATGTGAACAATATTCACTTTTTCTTTCTGAAACAGCTCTTGGGTTATTTTCTCACCAAATGCCTTCAAACCCCAGTTCCCAATTAAAAAAATATTTTGCTATACAAAATGGAAGCATGCTATATAAAAAAAGTCAATTGATAATGAAAAGTACAGTTCTGTGGATTTTAAACACCCACCTTTTTACACTATTTTCAGATGCCACTAAAGCAATAAATTAAACCACCCATACTTTCAATATTAAAAACATTCATGTTTTTTCAAATGAAAAATTTGAATACATTTGCATAAGTGAAGGTTTTGTAACTAACTATGCAGAAAAATCAACACATACTTTTTAGTTCATGCGCAGCTACAATTAGTATTAAGTCAAGCATCTTGCCTATGTAAGAATTAGATACAAATGCTGACACGAGCATTATATTTGCAATAGTAAATTTTCATTTGAATAATAGGAAAGCAAGATTCAGATAGCTCCAATAACGTAACTAATTTTGTAAGAGAAACTGGCTAAAGAATTTGAGACTACTAGCAATAAACAAAAAATGTAATTCCAATATTTTTAAATTTCAACCTGCCTATTCCTTCTAGGACATCGACACTTTTCCCACAGTGACCACCGTGCTTTTTCTTTGTCTTCATATTTTGAATGACGTACAGCATAGACATCATCAGACAGATCTTCTGCCTAAGTATTAGAATACTCAGATTATAAATCTTATTTAATGAATGAGAACAGTCTTCTCACAAAACAGTTATGAATTCAGCACTCTAAAAATATACTGTACAAATGTACAGTATAATTCATTTTTACTAAACATGGAAAAAACAGTAGAATAATCCTAAAACCACATAAATGTATAAATGGCTCTTAAGAACATTATATTTAATAAAAAAGAAACCCATTTTAGGATTGAGAATCGGTGGGAATCTGGGCCAAATACAAGAGTGAGCAATAAATATTTTGCCTTATCTTTTCCCCCATCTACCACCACAGCCTCTCTTTTCAGACACTCCATCAGTTTACATGAATGAATACATACCTAGCCTGATCCATTCTTGTTTTTAAAGACCTAGATGGACTGAAACTTTTTCTCTTACTATGATAAGATGGCAAAAAAAAAAAAAAAAAAGTTGCTGTTTCTCTTCCATGGAGATGGGAAGTTTGCTCCTCTATATCCTATTAGCTCACCTATTAATTTGATGGCAGCCAATGTCATGACCATGACATTGTGAAGAATTGGAAGTATTATGGTGATTGGGGAAGAGAAAAGGACTCCAATATGGTATCTCACAAGCTCAGGGATTACCCCTATGTTATTCAATATTTATATGAAATATGATACAATTAAAATTGCCCCAAACTCAGTAAAAGAAGTGTTTGTGATTTAAGGATCTTTCTGGGGTTTAAGCTTCTGCTTATATGATAAGCAGAAATCAAGGCTAGGGCCTTTGCCCAGCTCTTGATGGTGAGCCAGGATGCTGTGGTGATGGAACTCTCATCCTGCTCGCTATGTGCTTGGACTATTTCATAACAGTATGTGGGACCCCAGGTGCAACTCACAACTTCTTTGCATAGCAATGGAAAGTCTGGTCCCAATTGCGGTTGTAAATCGATGATTACTTCTATGCATTTGGCCCTTTTTGATTATGGGCAGTTATCATAGGAAATCTAGGCATGCTTATATTTGGTCTTTTTATTGTGTAGTTGATTTATATTCATAATTGTTCACTGTCTGTCACAATTTGGACAGGCTACAAATATAATGATATTTGTAGCAAGCAAGCAAATAACAAGCAAATAACAAGCAAATAACAAACATGGATTATTGAAAATCAAGGCATAGTTGACCCTGGTCAGTAGATTTGTGGACACCTGCCCTAACCAATGCTATAGTGTTGACCCAATTTTAGTATAAACTCTCAAAATATTCTCTTTTGTAACCTGTCCTTCACCCATCTCAGAACAAGAATAATTATATTTTTTCTTCTGCCTTTTGTGTGTGATTGTGTGTGTGTGCATGTGTTCGTACCATGCTGACTCCTGCAAGTCCCTGCATTTCTCCTGGCAGTATTTTTGGAAGTGGTTTGCCATTGCCTTTTTTCCTAGAGCTGAGGAAGAGTGTCTGACCCAAGGTTACCCAGTTAGCTCTGTGTTAAGGCAGGACTAGAACTTATGATCTCCCAGTTTCTAGCCTGATGCCTTAATAATTATACCAAACTGACTCTCCTCTATAGTTTTAGATAAAAAATAGTCAAAGTATTTATAATTTTATAATAATTATTTTTATTATAACATTTATTTTATTCTTCATATACAGTAAGTTGTACAATGGCATTACTCCTTGAAATGTGAAAATAGTTATATCCTTTGAAAGACTTTTGTGGTAGCTTCAAAGACTGTTCTCAGTCTCTGAATATGCAGTTGTGCATATATAGCTGCTTCATTTCACTTGTGGCTCCAGTATTGTATGTTAATAACTGAAGCAGCCATCCAAACCTCCCAAAGGAAATATCTACTTTCAGATTTCAAGAATGCTTTGCTAACATGCTTTCATTTCAATGCTTTCACAATCCTGATGTATAATAATTTATCTGCAAGTAAAAATATAAAATTCCTCACTGTAAAACAACAGCAAAACAACAGCTGATCATAAATACACCTTACCTTCTCTTCATCCTCATGCAGTTTTTCTAAAGGCTTTAGGCTAACTATTCTCCAGCTGTTGATAAAAAAGATTCTTCTTTGAAAATTGTTCAGATAAAACTCAAATCTAATTCATTATGAAAAACAATTTCTACTCTAAACACTGCAAATACACCTACCGATTCAATTACATAACTGAATTCTTTCTCATAGTTAATATTTATCTGTTCCAAAGTCATTGGCTTTGATATTAAGGTTTCTCTTTTTATCAAATCATTTGTGCAAATGCACCAATGTACTGTGTTTATTTGAACATAAGACTATGTGTTCCCATGTAATTTTAAAATTGGAGATTCAGTAAGATCATGGTTAAGGGATATTTTTTTTCTGCCATCTTTTGCTTATGGAAAAGACTATCCTAAACGAAATTAAAGCAATTAACTTTGCTTTTGAGTAACATAGTATCTGCTTTTATGCGATTCTTCATAGTGCTACATAGCTACATGTTTATTAACAGCCTGCACAAATGAGCAATATATTCTCCTGTTTTAAACAAATATTTCTCATCTGTGTTTTCTACTTTCTTGGTATTCTTCTATCAGAAATCTTATATTAACCAAAGAATTACCTTTGTAATTGGTTCATTTTCTTTCCTCTTTCTAAGGTAGCTAAGGTAGCAAAGTCCTGATAGACTAGATACAGTTTCACATACTTGCAATGAACCTCAGTAATGACAAACAAATGTTGTGAATGTCTGAAAGCAGAGACACACTGGTTGCTTCTGACAGCTGCTTAAATGTAGTCATCATAATTCACTGATAAATGACTGAAAAGTGAGGAAATATCCACAGTTTGAATGAAAAGGTTTAGGCATTTCTGGTCAAATTGTATGTTTTAATAAACCCCTAAATGAACAGGTGTGGTTTGTTTGTTTTTTTACAAATCCTTCATCCTTTTTCTTCCAGATATATTGTGCAGTTATAACTAATCAGTTTAATTTTGGTTTCATTAGTCCAAAGTATCTTATTCCAAAACATCTCAAGCTTATAAATATATACTCCCGTTACTCCCGTGTAACACCACTCCTGCGCGAGCTGCACTGGTTGCCGGTGGTCCTTCGGATCCGCTTCAAGGTGTTGGTGCTTACCTATAAAGCCCTTCATGGCATGGGCCCGGGGTACTTGCAGGACCACCTCCTACCGGCCTCCCACACCCAGTGCGCTCACATAGGATTGCCCTCCTCCGGGTGCCATCGGCCATACAATGTCGGCAGGTGGCACCCAGGATGAGGGCATTCTCTGTGGTTGCACCAATCCTCTAGAATGAGTTACCCACTGGGCTCCGGACAGCCCCTGACCTCCACACTTTCTGCGGCAACCTAAAGACATGGCTTTTTCAGCAAATTCCCTGATCTGCTGGGAGTTTTAATTGTTTGGGGATTTTAAATTGGATTATTTTAATATCATTTTATTGTCGTGTTGTTTTATCTTGTGAGCTGCCCCAAGTCCTACGGGAGAAGGGCGGCATATAAATACGATAAATAAATAAATAAATACTAACATTATGACTATTGAAACTAAGTCATAGTTTCAAAGATAAAAGTTTTCCTTCTGATAACTGTGGACCACTGTTGGGAAAATAATGTTATACAGTGGACCTGTAACCAAGTATTCCTGTGTCAGTTCACCTTTTGAGGAGGATGTTTGTGATCTGTACATCAGATGCTGTTTAGTTCTGAAAGGCACAGCTTTTTCTCAGTTTTTTGGATCTTTCCATTCCATTTAATTTCCATTTCTTAATAATGTTTCTTTCAGTTGAAATAAGTAGAAGTGTTTGGATATTTAGATACTTTATAGCCCTCCACTGCATTTCAAAAGTAGATTATTTCCATTTTTAAATGCTCAGAAAGCTCATGATTGTTGAAAATATTTAATTATTTCTCCTAGGCAATCATAGATCTGATTCATTCGCCATTAGTAACTTAATACTTCTAACAACTTTACAGAAAAGGAGGGCGACAGCTGAATCAACTTGAAGGATGTCCAAACTTTTGCATTTGCCATATTATATAGAAGTGTATCAGCTTCTGTTCCCTTGAGGATTTGTTAAAACGGTTTCATGAGGAATGCCTAAATGTTTACATGCAACTGGATTTTTAAGCTTTTATAAATTAATGTAACATATGGATATATGTAGTATGATGGTGCCAAATTCTGAATTTACACAGTATAATGAAACATATTTTACTTTAAACGTGTACAGTTTAACATTTAAATATTTAAGAATTTTAATCTAAATTAAGTATCTTAATCTTTTGTGCCTACTGCAATATTATATACACAGATAATACATTAATTGCATTGAAGTCTGTTCACTCATTTGAAAGTTGTATGATTTGATCAACAATAAAGAGAGCTTATTATCTTTAGCAATACAAATCCTACAACTTTTCTGAATTAGCTTTGCCATTAATCTATGAGATAGGTCTCTAATATCTTTGTTTCACAGAAAAGAAATTTAGATATATAGAAACTTGTGATCTATTAACCAACATAAGACATCTGTAGCAAGAGTCAGACTATAATTGAAAGCATTAAGAACAAATCCCAAGCGCTGTGTTATAGGCACTACATCCATTTCCCTAATAAGAAGTAGCATGACTAGACCTTTCCACAATATTGTCAATTGTATACAACATGCTTTCTATCAGAACAAAGTTTTATATTATTTATTTATGTATAAAATTCAATAAAATTTCAAATACCTTGGGGTAAGAATTTCTTTATACTGAAGTTTCTCCAGTTTTGATGGTGCAATTAATGACATAGGAATAACAATATTGTCTATGTCATAGGAACACTCACTTCTCAGTCTCCGCCTTGAATTGAGCTGTTTAAAAATCATTTCATTAATTACATTAAAAAGCTATATGAAAAACAAATTTCAGTGCACGTATTAGTAATAATACTAAGCTTTCAAACTCAAATAAATACATTAATTTCTATGTAATATTTTCTTTTGAAGCTGGCAATGTTTTTTCTTCGTTTTATAAAGTCATACTTATTTCAAATGTATAGAATGTAGAAAACTAAAAGCATTTTTAAAATGTGACTATGGTTGCTTAGATAAGAGAAAAAAGATAAATGCTTAAATAATCACTTCTATAGTGCCCATAGCTTGGCAAACTTCCCTTAAGTAACCATCACACTGAACTGCCCCAAGGAGTGCAATTCCTTCAGGGCAAAGCACAGGCTTCTAATCATAGCATCTTTATTTTTCCCTAGAGATGATAAGAAAGGTAACACTATAAAGTACTATCTAACAGGTGACTACGTTTTTTCTCTGGTAAATAGCAAGGCCAAAGCACTACAAAAAGAGAAGAATTAAAAAAGAATTTCCATTTCTTGGTAAAGATTGTTGAAAGACTTGATGGCAGAGCTATGAAGAGACTGGATTAGAAAAACAAAGACAGTTTCAGAAGATCACACAGAGAAGACTTGGAAAGGGATAAAGATATAGACAGGAAATGAGAAAAAGAAAAATGGAGAAAGCCAGGCAGGAAGAGAATGTTGGGTTGATTTTAAAGAAAAAAGAGCCAGAAAGTACACTTAAGTTTTGTGCATTATTACAAATGTTTTCAACATTTTGTGGCATTGGGAAGATGCCTCAGAAAAAAATAATGCAGGGCACTTTTTAAAGGATTATAGACTGTTTTTATAGTTCAAGGCCAAGATTCAGCTTCTGAATCACTCGGTTTCTGTATATTCTGTTAAAAGGCCTTAGGAACAAAAATAAACTGTAATTTGTCTTGCTATTAAATGATGTGGTGTAATTTTAGCAGTCACCTAAGCAGATACATTCAGAAATCCATCCTATATTTAATAACATTTTAATTTTAAGAAATTTGCTGAAGCATGAGATATGTTTTAAAATTCATTAAAGACAAATAGAAAACTTCAGTTCCTAAAAACTAAAAATTGCTTTCAAGATTCATCATTACAGAAAAAATGCCACTGCCTCATAGAAGCTATTTAAAAGTTACACAAATATTTTTTAAAAAAAAAATAGGCAATATAACAATATTATCATACCTGTGATGAGATACTGTGACTAGATCTAGATAACATGTCAACACTGGATGCTGCTGTAAAATTACTATAAGACTCCTGTCCCTCATGCTGAAAAGACAATGCTTCACAACTATCATTTGCTCCTGCCATGAACAAATGACAAAATTAACAAAATTAATTGATAATAAACATATAATGTAGATGCTTGCAAAAGCGTATCTAGAGTAGAGAGCAGGCTAGCAATGCAGTTATTATAACTTTTTCACCCCAGATAACAGAACAGAATAACAGAGTTGGAAGGGACCTGGAGGTCTTCTAGTCCAGCTCCCATTCCAGACAAGTGGCTGTCCAGTCTCTTCTTAAAAGCCTCCAGTAATGTTCTCACTGTTAGGAAATTTCTCCAATCCTAGGTTGCTTCTCCCCTTGATTAATTTCATCCATTGTTTCTTGTCTTGCCTTCTGGTGCTTTGGAAAATAGGTTAACCCCTTCATCTTTGTGGAAGCCCCTCAAATATTGGAACACTGTTATCATGTCACCCCTGGTCCTTTTTTTCACTAGACTAGACAAACCCAATTTCTGCAACTGTTCTTCATATGTTTTAGTCCTCAGTCCCCTAATAATCTTTGTTGCTCTTTTCTGCGTTCTTTCCAAAGTCTCTTCATTTTTATTATATGGCGAACAAAACTGGGTGCATTATTCTACGTTATAAAGTCTTACTTAGGCTTTATAAAGTGGTATTTTAAGTTCTGAACCATGCTCTCATTTCTTAAATCAGAAATGAAAAGCACAATGAACTAAAATAGCATTTAATTAAAGAAAACAATTGAACAATTTAGCTACACTGTCTATTGGTAGACATGACCTTGATTCTATCCCTCTGTTAAAACAACCTAGGATTGCATTGGCTTTTTTTGGCTGCTGCTGCACATTAGTGGCTCATATTTAAGTGGCTGTCCACTAGGACTCTAAGATTCCTCTCACAGTTCTGCTATTGAGCTAGGTTTCACGTAACCTGTAGCAATACATTTGATTTTTCTTGTCTAAGTGTAAAACCTTATGTTTCTCTACATTGAATTTCATTTTGTTGGATGCATGAATATGGAAATATACCACTTGTTACCGCAGAATTGGTTGTCCGTGCTACCATCAGTTTTAGAGCTTGAGTCATATACTGTACTAAAAGGAAACATCTTTTTAATTAACTTTTAAGTAAACTTTATTTTTTACTTTTTTAAGCAACCTAGAACTAAGAAGAAATTTCCTGACAGTGAGAACAATACACAAGTGAAATGGCTTGTCTTCAGAAGTTGTGGATGCTCGGTCACTGGAGGTTTTTAAAAAGAGACTGGACAGCCACTTGTCTGAATTGCATAGGGTCTCCTTCCTGAGCAGAGGGTTGGACTACAAGACCTCCAAGGTCCCTTCCAACTCTGTTATTCTATTCTATTGATAATGATTTTATATAGAACCTATAAAAAAGGGACAGTTTCAATAGACAGTGTAGCTAAAATGTTCAACTGTTTTCTTTAATTACATGCTATTTTTAGTTCATTGTGCTCTTCATTTCTGATTTAGGAAATGAGACATTGGTTCAGAACTTAAAATAACAATTATGTTTGTATGTGCATTCACATGAAATTCTGTCCAGTACCTTTCATCTTTGGAAGGGTTCAGGAAAATTAGGAATATTAACTCTGCCACCCTACTACTAGCTTTTACATGTAAAACAACGAGTAAATATAATGAGATCTGCTCATTCTATTCTCATTCTTAAGCCCCATGTACACTCCAATTTAGAGATACTGGTCAGGAGAAATAAATTCACAGACCATCTTGCTTCTTGAAAAATGACAAGTAAGCAACAATTTTATTTATAATACTAAAACAATACTAGTAGTTTATTAAATCTGTATATTGCCTCTCAACAACTTTTTAATGGGATCCTGTTAATGGGAGTTTAGGAAGATTACATAGCAGAAACCATGAGTATCACAGAAACGTGAGTGAAGCTTTTCCAAACTTAATAGGTCTGTAGAACTCTGATAATATTAACATTTTAATGGGTGCAATAGCTTTAGCTTGAAAATGGAAGGATTCAAATATTATTGTCTTTGGGCATAGAGAAAACTTTTTGTTTGACCCATGGAAGCATGGGCGCTATATTTACAATTCATTTTGATATTTTTCAAAGGGTTGCTTCTTGGACAAAGATGTTATATATCCTAATCAGTGTCATATAGCCTAATGAATTATTTAATGTAAAGTACTATGGCACATATAAATGGAGCTCTTTATTCACTTAAAATTGGACATAAGTTTTAGCTTTGCACAAAGGTTGAAATAAATAGACAAGAGTTTATCCTTGAGTTCAAATAGAGAATTATTATTTCACCCTATTGATTTGCAGTCATGACTTGTTGTTAAAGTTTTTATTAATTTAATTTACTAGTGAAGACACATTTTCCCTACCAGAATAAATCCAGTCCAAATTGCTCTGTGCAGAGTTTTAGGTCTCCAATGTGCCTTATGCTTTGAATCATATATGAAAATAGAGATCAGACTCTGGCTCTTAATGTTTGTACATTGGTTAAAAATGTGTCCTTACCATAGGATCTTGCCCTCTTGAGGATGTCAGGTAACTGTCACTAAAAGAGTTCCCTTGTAAGCAAATTATAGACAATTTTCCTCCACAAAAATATTGTATTAAAAAGAGGCTATGTTTAAGAGATGTTGCTCATTAACAATAATGAGATGTTTCTCATTATGAATGTAGAATGCCAAATTGATCTAGTTCTTAAAGTATCCATGGACTACTGCATTTTAAAATGTGCCTCAACACTCACAGAATTGGATTATTCAGGATATAAGATAACTTATAACCTGGAAAGGTGCGGTGCTCTTTTTTCAGCGGTGCTGGCAGATACATTTAAAAAAAACCCTATCCAGTATAATTGTATCATGAGTACTATGTACTTACCAGACAATGTCTCACTTAAATGTCTTTTCCTCCTTCCCTCTGAAAACAGTTCAGATACTTTTGCCATACTTTGATATTTACAACTGGATTCATATCCATGGCTCAACTGTTGAAGAGGAGCTTTAATTTGACTAAAAACTAAAATAAAAACGAACATAATTTTACTGTGGTTCTCTATCTATTTAAATCACACAGAAAATGTTTAATTTCTGGCAGTATGCTTTTAAGACGTTGAATTACTTAAAGCCAAAAATATATCAAAACTGGTCAATGATGTCAGTCACAATTTATAGATGGGCACAATTTATACAGTATATATTTTCCTTGCTGTAAAATTTATTAGATACAGAAGGGCACGTAGATTTATTTTAAATCAAACTGTTTTAAGTAATAGATATTATTAATTTATATATTTGAAAGATGATTTGTTCATCAATCAGGAAGATTCTTTAATAGTAATTTCTAGTAAAAAAAAATCTGGTTTGATATATTCATTAGTATAGAGTAAGTGCAAATCAGAGATGGATAAATTTCATTTTCCAAAGGTGCATACAATATAAAATATTTGGTCGGACCTTTTTCAGATGAATTTTCACTACAAAAATGGAATGATGATCTCAGTTCAAAGCAAGCAGATGTATTTTTTTTTGCAATTGTATTAAATACTAGTTCTTATCAATCAGAAATATAAAAACAAAGGAAAACCAACAAACTATTGAATAAATAGTTTTTTTTATACTGCATACCATTTAATGGAGACATTTTGTATGCTAAACCAAGAGCAGCACCTTCAAAAGCATCACCTTTGATCTCATATTTCTTGAGTAAAGTTTTAAAATGAACATGTAGAGGAACATCTGCAAAAAATATTTAAATAGATAACTTCATTTATTTATTTAAAACATTTAATGTACATAGCTCCCCATCTTATATCTAACTCTGGAGGGCTACAGTTAGCAATAAAATAATATCAACAATAAAACAACATGATACATAAATATATTAAAACTGTAAATATTAAAAACCTGGCATGAAATTTTCACTTACAAGCTTTATTATCAATTGTATCTCTGTTTATCTAAAACAAGTATCATATTGTTCATCTTTAGGTGTCTAAAGAGTCTAACAGAGTTCAACACAAAGCAGAAACAAGAGGGAGAATATTGTCATATTGTGTACATTTCAGCAGTTTTTAACATTTATAGATGTTAAAATTTACATCTATAAATATGATATGATGAAAATCTACAACATCACATAAATAAAGACCATAACCGTCCTAGCACTTCCTCAAGAGACTGTTTCTCCAAGGACAGAATTAAGCTAGTTCTGATCTAATTTCTTTATAATTGCTTTTACCAATGCTTGATCTGTCTAAGTACGGTAGATCAGCCAACAACCAACTAACATTGTTGAAATTGATCACATATTATTCAGTAAGTATGGTTTTTGCTTGATACATCAGAATTACATTTTTATCTCACACAATGGAATCCATAAAGTACAATGGCTAGTCCTCATTTATTTATAAAATTATGGCCAGTTCTTATGCACTGGGTTCAGATCAACTATCAACAGGTTCAAATAATAGCAATAAGAATGGCTAAAACCAATGCAAAGAGATGGTGGAAACTGCTCAGTTTTCAAATGACTGTGGAGGATATGACAGCATTTTTCTGATGTAACATCCAGATTTTAACACATTCTCTATCATCCTAGTGACTGAGACTACAGAATAAGATATAAAAACTGAAATCTCCTTTGAACATTAGGAAAAAGAACTAACAATAAAAACAATTCTATAAATGGAATCAATTAACTAAAAAAAATGGTATGTGTCCTTTTATTGGATGTGTTCAAATGTAGACCATTCAAACTATGAACACATTAAAATCATTACTTTGGATTCCTAATGGGAATAAGCAAGTGCTTTCCTAGTCCATGATTCTTACACACCAAATAATGTATGTATATGTGTTGATTGTACCATGACTTTCCAGCACACGGACAAAACTAATTAGAGATTTGATTATCATAACAATCAGCTTTAAGAAAATGTTCTTTTGTAATGATTTTTATACTATATTAAGATTTTTAGAATAACTACTCATGCAATAGCAGGTAACTAACTTACCTGAAGAAAATGATAAAACAGGATGGAATGATGTGTCTAGTTCCAACATGAGTTGTTTGTGTATACTAGAATTGGTGCTAAAGTCGTAAGTACTTCTTTTGCTGCTTGCAATCTCTTCCGTATTATACAAGGTACTGCCCTGATGCAAAGCCTATAAAATGGCATATAGATTTGAACAAATGGAATAATGATTTGACCAATCCTAAAACAAACTTGAGCTAAAACTGAAATCAAATCCAAACAAAATAAATCACTTCTTCAATGACACAGTTCTACTAGATTTTGATGGGCTATATTTCCCTTAAAAAACAAAGTTCATTGTTTGGGTTAATTTGTGCTCAACCCTTTTCTTAAATAATGACATTACAACAAAACTAAACTGTTCTAATTGTATTTGTTTTCTAATGACAATGGATCTGGCCACAATTACCAAGCAATACATCTAATCTAAATTAATATAGTACAAATTATTAAGTTTAACTTTTTGTGACTATACATGCATACAAGTTTTAATAAAAGTCATATATACATGTAGAAAACATTTTAATAATATTTATTGAAACTTTAAATTTACCACCTTATATGTTGTGATCCTACTGAACCAAAAAAACTAATTTTTTGCTTAATTAATATGCACTTTGTCTTTTCTCCAGAAATTCCTAACTGATGAGCATAGAATTGTAGAATTCTTTATTGTCCAAGTGTGACTGAAAACAGAAGAAATTTGTCTCCGGTGCATAAGCTCATAGTATACATATAAACAGCAAGTAATAGGTCATAGATCATAATAAACAACAATTGATAAATCATAAGAAACCAATTGGAGAAAATAGTAGGAAAGATGAGAGGATAAGAAATGAGACAGTGATGTCAGAATTAAGTGTTCAGCAGAGTGATGGCATGGGGGGGGGGGGAACTATCTTTGTATCTAGTAGTTTTGGCTTGCAATGCCTTATAGCAGCGTCCTGAGGGGAGAAGTTGAAATAGATTATGTCCAGGATGTGCGGGGTATGTAGAAATTGAAGTCTGTATCTATCCTGTTTGGTTGCAGCGCCAAACCAGACAGTTATTGAGGTACAAATGACATACTCAATAATTTCTCCGTAGAACTGTATCAGCAGCTCCTTGGGCAATCTAAGCTTTCTGAGTTGATGCAGGAAGAACATGTAGATACTAGAAACTTCAGCTAGTAGAAGAGAGATTTTTTTTTAACCAGAGAAAGCATTCTAGAACATGTACCACTACTATTATATCATAATCCGTTTTCAAACACAATACAAAGGACTCATTATCACTTCTTAAATGTTACAATGCCTTAAGCAAAAGTAAATGTATTGTTTGGTCATTTGACTATATTAAGAAACTCTAAAAATAGTACTAAGATAAAAGTAGAACACCTTCATAATATATTGTTGTCTCTGCAATCAACCCAAATCTATTCTACATGATCCATCCTCTTCTGGATGGTCTTTGATATAAAAGACACAGTCCTCTAGTAATATGCAAGATCATTCTCTGCAAAAGTACAATTAATTTTGACTGTTCCAGTATGGCTTAGATTATTAAAAAGGTTTAGGCAATTAATTCTTGCTACAGAGTAACAGCAGCACCTTGAATAACTGAACCACCAGAAATATACAATCTTTTTGAAAAATATAAGATTTCTCTGCAAAAAGTACTTCAGGAAATCTCTCATACTTTACCATAGAATTGCGTGGTTCAATCTAGCTCTAGAGAAAGGTCTTCTAAGGTGCTGAGGCATGTAAATTATTAAATGCTTTCTACCTGGAAATCTGATTTATGTTGTGCCAGCCTCTTCAAAGACTTGGTACACTTAAGATATGCTATGTCATCATGGGCAGTGAAATACAGGAGCTTTTGAAACTTTAGCTAGCTTTCAGGTCTGTTTGACCTGGGGAAGTGAACAGAAAATCCCTATTGTGAAATAGTATGACTAGCACAAGTGCAGGAGAACTGCTGAAAATCTGCTCTTCAAAAGACAGTTTTTATAGTCTGAGTCCATTGATGGATTCTGAAACCAGCAATTAAATAATTGTTAGATGACTTTGTATTGGGGGTATTCCCAGCTCAGCCTTCAGTACAAAGATGGATATCCTAAAACCTAGATATTTTAGGAACCTTGTCTCTCTACATGAATCTGCTAATTACCAGAAAACACTGAAATAGTCCTTTCTTATGTCACCATCAGATCTCAAATAGGATAAATAGGAAAAAGCCTTATTCAAAGTAGGATCCACATGAAAGACGAATTTTGCTCCTACCTAGGTGAAGTTTGATTTCACCTGATTTCTTTTATTCTGGAAAGGCTAAAAATTAACTAATACCTGATGTGCCTTTCCCTCTGTTTCTTCCTTGCAATACATGTTATATACCTTAAAAAGGAATCTATTCATTAAAGTTCATGTGACTTTTTAAGAAGGGGAAAGAGTAGCTGTGCTTGCATGAGGTAAGTGTCAGAATCATTTTGAAGTGTTACAGATTTAACTAACATGATTTTTTTTCTATTGCAATACACCACAGAGGGGAGGTAATATTAACTTACATTTGGAAAAATCTTGGATATTAATTCATAAATTTAAACATACTGGTGGGTGATTTTTGTTGTAAAAGCAATTCCATCATAACACACAAACACACACTTACAGAAAATATTTGAATGCAGCTAAAGGAGTTTTGTTACATTGAATAGTTTCTTTTCATATAAAGCATAAATTGAATCTAGAGTAGAAACTGAAGCTGCATGTTAACAATACAAATGTTTTGTGGATTCTAGAGGCTAAAATTCAGGATATATGTTTATTTTGAAAGGAGTTAAATTGCCCTCCTTAAAAGAACAGGTATAAAATGTGTGGATCTGGATCTGGCTTAATGGTCATATTTCATCTGGGGCAAAAAGGGCCTCAAGATTTTGATTAATACAATTATTGGTAGTTCTTTCTAAATCAAATGCTGTGGTCTTTGTAAAAGGTTTTTAGATGATGAGCCAAAAGAACGTTTTAGCACTTTTCCTTACTTATGAGTCTTTTCTGAGACTTCATGGCTCCCTCATCATTGTAGCAGCTCCCTTACATTGATAATAAGCATGAATTTGCTGTTAAAATTAATGAAGTCCATGTTCTTGTATCTTCTTATATGGGGTTAAAGTATGATGTTTAAAACATGTTATTACTTTTACAACAAACACATTCATGTCACTTGAGTACACTGGATATACCAAAGGACTCTAAAAGCTATCACAGTTAGAGCAGAGTTGGGAATACACTGCATATGTTTTGTACTGATTTAAAAATCACAGGGTATAAAACTTAGTGGAAAATTACTTTTATGGAGATTAATATTCTCAAAATTATACTTGATAGAATAGAATCAATTTCAATTTGTATTTATAACTAACAAGGTGTATCAGAAGCTGTGGGCTTCCTATGTCTTGTTTAGCTGTGTCTGGACAAATTAAGAAACTGATGCACAAAGATGCTCAGTAAGATTTATATGCCAAGATGGATAAGCTACAAGTATAATTTTGAAACTGAAAAAAATATAATTACAAAAATGCCCAAGTATCTTAGAAGGATATTTAACCAGGTGAGATTTGAACAACTAGATACATTGGTAAAATATGAAATGTTTAGTTAAATCTCTATCGAGATTCTCAATCATCCAGGTCAGAGTTGTCCCAAAGATGCTTTTCAAAAGGCAACTGGACTTTCTTGGTTTTTTCCCCCTTGAAAACATTTCACTTCTCATCTAAGAAGCTTCTTCGGTTCTGATTGAATGGTGGGGAAATGGAAGGATCCTTCTACTCCCCATCATTCAGTCAGAACTAAAGAACCTTCTTGGATGAGAAGTGAAATATTTTCAAGAAAACAACGACAAAGTCCAGTTGCCTTTTGAAAAGCACCTTTGGGTTTGGTTTAATCCCCTATCATAAATGTACATGTGTTGGAGGTACAGCAGAAACTGAGGATATAATATATATTGTATATTATTTGAATGTTTGTTGTCTCCATATCTCAGAACATATTTTAAAAGCGCAGTCAGAATATTACAATAAAATGGTCCCCTTTTTGAATAAAACAGTGCAACTGAGAGCCACATATGTCAATATAACTGAGGTAAACTATAAAGTGATAAGAACATATGAATCAAGTTTTTCTTTTTGTTTTGTTATCAATAGTCTTATTCAATTTTTCTGTACAGGTAATCTTCAATTTATGAAAGTAATGGAGCCTGCCCATTTTGGTTGTAAGGTGTGAGAACTTTAATTGAAACTTGTTGAGTGAAAGAGCCCTCATCCTGGATCACCCCAATGCATACATTAAACAAATGTAGGGGTGAATGCAGTGGTGGTTAAATGTGCATGAGGTGCCTCAGGGATGCCTGCCTGGGGCCTCCCCCACCCCAAGATAAGGGCGATGCAGAGGGAGCTGCTTTGCCTTGTTTGAAACCTGACCTGGAAGGCAAAACTATTCTCCCCCCCCCCTCTGCATTGCCCTTTTAACACTGAACCCTTCATTGTCCGTTTTCCATGTCACTGCATCAGCTCCTGTTTCTCCCCTTTCCTTTAAAAACATTTTTTACCAGGAAATTTAGAAACTTCAAAGCACAAACTGTGGCTCATTATCCTGTTTTGAGTTAAAGAGGCCATACAGAAAGGCAGAAGGCTGGGAAAATGCTGCTTTGCCGAGGTCAGTTTGAAAATGGCTGCTCCACATGGCCCAGTAAGAATGGCACACAATATACTGAGTTCTGCAGATCTCCGGAAGGTAAGCAAGGATTGTGAGGGGTGGAATGGGAGAGCGGGGAGCTGGCCCAGTGCCTTTGGTAACCTAGCAGGGCGAGGATGGTGGTGGGAAGAGATAGGTGGGTGTTCTTCAGCGTCTCTGCAACGTTATGAAGTCTCCCGGTCATTCATAAGTGCGAATGACCAGATAACTTTTATAAGCACATGGCTTTTGGGAGGTATGTTGTAACTTTGAATGGTCACTAAATGATCTTCAGGATTACCTGTATTGTGTTATGACCTATGGCTAATCTAATAAAATATTGTTATGGATATATTTTTGTGTTTTATGCATCATGAAACATCTTAGGATGTTTCAACCATCATCCTAAAAACCAAGCTGTTTTTAAAAAAGTTACAAAGAATCTGAGAAGCAATAAAATGCTTCTAAGCCGATAAATAAGATTGCTTGAAGAACTTAAGAAGTAAACTATTTTTTTGCTGACTTTTGATTTAAAAAAATAAAACCAAAAGTTAGGAATGTTGACTGCAAAACAGCAGATGGTTTCTGACACCACCTTTATTTATAACAATTTAAATATTCTCTGGACAGAATTGCATGTACTCTTCTGCAATATATGCCTAATTTTGGCTTTGCATGTTTGATTCTTACTTTAAAGAAGTACAGAATAATATGAATAACATTTGTTCTTTCACTGAATCTAATTAAAATATGACATTTGCAAGACATATGAAAGTGTTGTGTACAGCCAGCCTCACATTTATCCTATATATTCAAGGCTCTCACAAAAACAGAAATAATATGTAAAAATAATATATATACATACAAACATACTGGGATTGACATACTGATGTATATATTGGCTGGAATCTTAACACTATATTAAAGAAAGTGGGAAAACATCTGCACCTGGTTATTCAAAGTGAAACCTGTGTTCATTCTATATGACTTTCTTCTCTGGAAACTCAGAAGTGGTCTAGTGCGAGCAGATGTGCTCATCAGAGCAACAGTAGGTGTTTTCAGTTTCATCTTTTCTTTCCTCCTTCTCTTCAGATGTTGTTGATCAGCCAGGCAACTACTAGAAGATGAAATTTCTTCTTTGTTCTCTGATTCTCTGAAATATACCTAACTATTATCCCAGGTTGTCAAGCATATTAAAAACTCACACTACAGTTACACTTACAGTTAATATTAACTTAAATATATTAATTTAAAAATCTATCATTATATCAGAATTAAGTAACTGATTTTATGAACTATAGCAGTTGTGTTACCAGGTATATTAAAGTAATATAAAAAAAGGAGTGGTCTTGTTTTCTTTTGTCCTGAAGACAGGACAAGAAAAAATGTATTGAAACAGCAAGTAAGTCGATTCAGGTTGGGAATTAGAACAGAAAGAACAGAAAGTCTTCAAACTGTTGAATAACCATAGATTCAAAATATTTTAGCAGATGCATTGAGCAGTTGTTGGACTACATGAGATAAATTCCAACTCTAAGGATCCATGACAGTTGTTCTTTGGTTCATACATTCTTTCTTTTACTTAGTTTAATTAATGTATACATAAATAATATTTGTTATTCAGATATATTGTGTTACATTCCAGCGTGAATTGTAAATAATGAGATTTTGAATCTTTGGGTACTGAACAATTAGATTCCAGTACCTCTAGTTTTCTTCTTCCATGAACAATTCATCCATCTTCTACACACTGTGGGTACCTCCACAATGTACTTGCATTTGGTGCTAATTTCCCTTGGTGAGCTCAAAGTGGCTTCCCACTCCCCACAGTTCTTGGCACCAAAATGGTCCCTCTTCTTAAGTTGTGAAAAAGCTACCAGAGTAAAGAAGCAACAGACTCAAAAGAAGGGCTCAAGTAGTCAAATGATCAGGAAGAAAATCAAAGAGTAAGAGGATTTGGAATTTTTTTCTCTGTATAGGGATCATTCTTGAAACTTGGCAACCACTGAAATTCTTTGGTATCTAATTTACTTCAGTAAATATTACTTATTTGAAGTTTTGGGATTTCTTCTAAATTTTCCTGAATAGTTACTTCTGCTTATGGAATAAAGCCTGACATGTGTAAAGTAATGATAAACAAGACCCTAACCACAATATTTTTAAACAATTGTTTCAAAATATTGAGGCCTGTTCTCTAATTATCAATCACAGCTAACAGGAACACATATAACGAAGGCCACCTGTTATCTATACTAAGTGTAGGCAATGCAGTGCTTGTGGGCACCAATATTCCCAGACAAGTCTTTTGAAGGTGATAGGTTCCTGTACCACCTGCCTTTTTTATTTACTAAAATTAAATGTATAAATTGTCATGATGTAAATTTAAAGCGTCAGATTCTAGCATCATTATTTACAATAATCCCTGGACTTTGGTTTGTTATACTGCTCATTCTTGAAATGTGCCCATTACACAGAGAACAATATTACTCAAAAATTACTCAATGACTGCATATCTCCATGCCCTGAATTATTGGATAACTAATTGGAGTATTTTTAAAAAATATTTCCCTTTATTATTTTTATAAATAACTCATGGCAGCAAACATACCTAATACTCCTTCCTCCTCCTATTTCCCCCATAACAACACTCCTGTGAAGTGTCTTGGGTGGAGATAGAATAACTGACCTATAGTCACCCGTTCGCCTTCCATTTGTTAACATTTTTCTATTATTTGAGTTCCTTGGACACAGAGTTGTAAGAGTTAAAAGTAAATCTTTCAGTATCTTTTTTGGGAGGAGGGGAGTTCTCTGATGAGGTCAAGGTAATGCTGTCATTTTATATATATGCTCATATATGCTAAACTTACCCTGATGTTATCATGTTAGTTTTCGAAGTGCTACCTACCTTAAAGAGATGCCATTAACCAATTCATTTTGTTTACAGGTTTTTGAAGAAAGTGAAGATGATGTTGGAGACAGATTAAGGGGAGCAATCAGACTGCTTATTATTTCACTCAGTTGAGCACTCTGAATGGTACAAGGAGAAAATATATATATTCAATTTAATATACTATAAGTACTTAACTAAAAAAATATCAGTTGTGTCCATATTATACCTAAATTCTATGCTTCATAACTGAACCTTACCAATATCAAATGAAGAGTTAATTTGAATTTTTAAAATGCCTTGCAAAATAATATAGACCATATCAAACTCAAATCCTAAAGAGATTTATGAAAATTTAGAAGACATTGATATATGCAAAAACCAAAACAAATTACAATTGTGGTGTCCATGTTCCTTACTGAGAAATAATCCCTGAGATCTTGAGGTGGCTCCATTATGGCTGTTAACGTATGACTTATTAAGGTTATTTTCTGATATAAGCATATTTGAACAGTTGAACAGCTAATCTTAAATTGAATACTACCTGTAAAGCACAAGGAAAAGCCAAGGATTGTAATTCTCTTTCTCTATAAATGTGAAATATTTCTCTTTTTGTGCTGATAAGTATTTTACCAATAAAAGACCTTCAATATGGTATAAGCAGAAATTATATTTCATCCTTACAGAAAATTAATGAAGACATAAAGAAACAAATACAATTCAAATCTAGAATCTTCCTTGAACTCCCCTCCTACTGAGTAAACCTAATACATTGCCTGCTAACTATACAGGTAGTCCTCGACTTATGACATTAATGGAGTCTGCCCATTCATGCCAGAAGTTGAGGACTGTTAAATGAAACACCTAACGATCTCCCTGTCCTTGCTTTCCCCAATGAATTTATTAAAGAATGCATGGGTCATTAGTCCTTCGGGAGAAGGGCAGTATAAAAATTAAATAAATAAATAAATAAATAAATAAATTAGGTACAGCATGGAGTGACTCAAGAGATGGGGGAAACTGAGGGAGGCCTAGTGCAGGCACAGGCACTCCCAGGAGGCCTCCCCATCACTGAGATATCCCATGCTCTGCCCCCTGCCCCCTGGGTTTCCCAAAGCCCTATGGGCTTCCTCCATACCCCACCCAATCACCATTCACTTACTTACGTTTTGACGAGCTCAGGAAGTCAGGATAGAGAAGGCTGGTTCCTCGCTGGACCATGTGACATAATCAAGGAGAAATCCAATCTATTTTGCTTCTGTTGCAATCTTTACCTCTCCAGCCAGCATAAAGTACTACGATTTCTTCTTAGCTCTACCAACGTTAGTTTTACACCAAATTTTTAGTGGTTTACTCTAGCTGGGGAGGAAAGGATTGCCATGGAAACAAGAAATCAGATTTCTTCTTTGCTCTACCAGCACAAAGCTAGCGTAAAGCTAGTGCTGTTAGAGAAAAGAAGAAATCTGATCTCTTTTGTTTCCATGGAAATCCTTTCTTTCCCAGCCAGGTTAAACCATGATTTCTTCTTAGCACCACTAGTGTAAAACTAGCGCTGGCAGAGCTAAGAAGAAATCGTAATAGTTTATGCTGGCTTAGAGAGGAAAGGATTGCACCACAGGGGGTGGGGGGGGCTGCAAAATTTGAAACGGATTTGAGATGTGCATTGTAACTTCAAATGTTCATTGAATGGACTATCATACCGCAAGGATTACCACTTTTACATCTGGGAGAAATACTTAGAAAAGTAGAAGTGTTTTTATGGATTATGAGTTAAAACATAAATGAATTTTAAAGTATATTAACTAATGCACATTGTGTTAGTTTCATTTTAATACCTGTTTTTCAATATTACGAAGAAGCAAAGTTGGACTGCTGGGTGACATTTCAAAATCATGTTCTGGCCAAACATCCTGCCTCTGTAGGAAAGCTTGTGAGTTCCCTATAGAATTCAATGCCTCTTGATCTGGTAATTGTGTACGTTTCTTCAAGATGTCTTTTGGGACTGAACATTCTTCTAAAATCACCATTCCCTAGACAATAGTAAATGAGCATAATCAGACTGATAATCAGAGTTACCTTGTAGGGTATATAGGCGGCATAAAAATGAATTAAAATAAATAAACATTAATAAAAATCTGAACTGTAACTGTTAAATATTAATTGAAAGCGCCACAGAAAAACTGGGACATTGCTGGGGGCAGAAGAGAGATATCAAATAGCTTCTTATTTAATTGAATTAACTAAAATAGCAGGAAATAATTATAATGTATTCCATATAATCAGTTGCATTAAATATATATCTTAGTTCTCTTCCAACTTCAAAAACAATCAGTTTTCAACATGGACCTTAAGGGACTTAACCAAACAACCTGTTCCTTTCATAGAAGTCTTATTATATTCTGTATTATTTTGCATAGGATCGCCTATATTTAAACTATAAGAGAATTCTCCATTGCCTTTCTCACTGATTTACATGCATATTTATACCTCTTTTTATTGCTATCCTTAGTGATCAGTATACATACATTCAATGTATATCACTATCCTTAGTGATCAGTATACATGCATTCAAGATAAATCTTAGTTACTGCACCTTTTTCCTGGGACAATTTAAACTGGAAAAGTGATGCTGAAATAGCCTTGCAGCAAGATTTTTTTAGTTGGGCAATCCACACAATTCTAGTAAAAAGCAGAGCCTTTCAATTAAACTCAACTCCTAGTGACTTTATGGATATATCCATGCAATTTTCTTGTCCACAGATATAGCTTGCCACTGCCTTCTTCTGGGATGTTTTTCAACTACTCAGTCTAGTACAGTGTTTCCCGGAAAATAAGACCTGGGGGCTCCAAAATAAGCATTAGGGTTTATTTTTGGGGAAACACGATATCAGGGTGATCAGCCTGGCTGGATCCCCCACTACCCCAGCATGCTCACAAGAGGCAGTGAGCGTGTGGGGGGACGACAGTGTCCGGCAGTTGCTGCAGCCCACCAGTCTCTTGGTCGGTGTACTCTGGGGCTACGCAGCTTGTGCAACACAGGTGATTTGATTACCTGTCCAAGCAACAGATGGAGGCAGAGGTGCGGGGGGAGGCAGGTGATCCCGACGTGCTGCGCAGGCCGCAAACAAGCTGAGAGAGGCAAGCACAAGCCTCCCGCAGCTGCCTGCCCCCTCTGTCCTACTGTCTCTTGGCTTTCCTACAGCCTGTGCAGCGTGTCTGGATTGCCTGCCTTCCCCCTGTGCCTCTGCCTCTGCCTGCTGCTGGTGCCGCTGCACAAAGAGAAGCTGTGGCTGCCCACTCTGGCCCATCAACTCTTGCCTCTCCCATGGCCCACATCTAGATCACTTGCCTTCCCCCGCCTCTGCCTGCTGCTTGGACAGATAATCAACTCACCTATATTGCAACGAGCCGTGGCTGCTGCCAGACACCATCAGCCCCTGCTTCTTCAGCGTCTCCACTGCTGGCCATGCCTCACACACTCCTGGCTAATGACGACCTTTACTGAGGGTTATTTTGGGAGCAGGGCTTATATGAGGAGCATGCTTAAAAATCAGGCTAAGGCTTATTTTCTTGTTAGGTCTTATTTTCGGGGAAATGCAGTATATAACAGCTGATATACACCACTTTGGTGAGTGTCTCTCACCAAAGAACTAATCAGGTCTGAACCTCCTTTGCTCCTGAGCCAGAAAAGAACACACTATTTTAGTTGGGATATATTTTATTTTTAGTTTGCTAATTTACAGTAATATTCACATTTCTAGCACTCTGAGGTAAAAGATGGAAATCCTGGCAAGAAAACTTTCTCCTTAATCCTCCTCTGGACATATTGATTATATATAAATATAAATATATAAAGATTTATTACAAATAACAGGAATTAAATGACTTGGGTTTTTTAAAATCCTCCCATATGTTAAGTTACAATAAATTAAAAACTGAAAATCTAGATTTACTGTAAGTAATGGTTAGGAACTAAAACATAATGGAAGATGTTGTAATCAAGCTGCTAAATATATAAAACTGTTTCTGTTCCTCCATGCTTGTACATTTTCCATTATTTCTTATCAAGTACTCCAGAAAAAAATATTATAACTAGTGCAATTATAGCAACTATAGTTGCAAGAAAAAGTATGTGAACCCCTTGGGATTACATGGAGTGTTGCATGAATTGGTCATAAAATGTGCTCTGAACTTCATCTAAGTCACAACAATAGAAAAACACAGTCTGCTTAAAATAATACTACACAAACATTAGATGTTGCCATGGTTTAATTGACCACTAACATGTAAACATTCACAGTGCAGGGAGGAAAAAGTATGTGAACCTTTGGACTTAATAACTGGTTGACCCTCCTTTGGCAGCAATAACCTCAACCAAATGTTTCCTGTAGTTGCAGATCAGACCTGCACAACTCCATCTGGAGTAATTTTGGACCACTCCTCTTCACAAAACTGTTTCAGTGTAGCAATATTCTTGGGATGTCTGGTGTGAATTGCTCTCTTAAGGTCATGCCACAGCATTTCAATCGGGTTGAGATCAGGACTCTGACTGGGCCACTCCAGAAGGTGTATTCTGTGCTGTTGAAGCCATTTTTTTGTTGAATTACTTGTATGCTTTGGGTCATTGTCCTGTTGCATCACCCATCCTCTGTGGAGCTTCAGTTGGCAGACAGATGGTTGTACGTTTTCCTGCAAAATGCGTTGATAAACTCTGGAATTCATTTTCCCATCAATGACAACAATCCGTCCAGGCCCTGAGGCAGCAAAGCAGCCCCAAACCATGATGCTCCCTCCGCCATGTTTTACAGTGGGGATGAGGTTTTGATGTTGGTGTGCTGTGCCTTTTTTTTCCCCACACATAGTGTTGTGTGTTCTTCCCAAACAACTCAATTTTGGTTTCATCTGTCCACAGTATATTTTGCCAGTAGTGCTGTGGAACATCCAGGTGCTCTTTTGCAAACTTCAAACGTGCTACAATTTTTTTTTTGGGACAGCAATGGCTTCCTCCGTGGTGTCCTCCCATGTACTCCATTCTTGTTTAATGTTTTCCTTATTGTAGATGTGTCAACAAAAATGTTAGCATGTGCCAAAGATTTCTGTAGGTCTTTAGCTGACACTCTAGGATTCTTCTTTACCTCATGAAGCATTCTGCGCTGTGCTCTTGCAGTCATTTTTACAGGATGATCACGCCTAGGGAGAGTAGCAACAGTACTAAACTTTCTCCATTTGTAGACAGTCTGTCTTACTGTGGATACATGAACATCAAGGCTTTTGGAGATACTTTTGTAACCCTTTCCAGCTTCATGCAAGTCAACAATTCTTGATCGTAGGTCTTCTGAGAGCTCTTTTCTGCGAGGCATGGTTCACATCAGACAGTGCTTCTTGAAACCAGTAAACCCAAAACAGGTGTGTGTTTTTAAAGGGCAGGACAGCTGTCAGCAACACATCCAATATCATCACACTGATTGGAGTCAAGGTTGGCTCACTCCTGGCTCCAATTAGCTCTTGGAGAAGTCATTAGGCTAGGGCCTCACATGCTTTTTCCTCCCTGCACTGTGAATGTTTACATGTTATGTTCAATTAAACCATGGCAACATCTGTTTGTGTAGTATTATTTTAAGCAGACTGTGTTTTTCTATTGTTGTGATTTAGATGAAGTTCAGAGCACATTTTATGACCAATTCATGCAACACTCCATGTAATCCCAAGGCGTTCACATACTTTTTCTTGCAACTGTAAACATAAAATTAAAATTTTACCTTTTCAAGGATCGCATTACTATATAAGTTGATCCTAATTCAGGCTATAAGAATGTACCTTCCATTAAGTTTTGAATAGAAGGGGAGACTCTGAATAATGTTTACCACCATCAAATCCAATATCTAGATTCCAGACAACTTTTTCATTTGTCAATTTAGATTTCTCAAAACATTTCTGTATAGAGTTCATGGATTGCATAGAAAATATCTATCAACAGTTTTACATGTTTTTTTGAGTAAACACTTATAATTAATAATACCTTGCTGGCACAGCCCCCTAAGGAATGCAAGGCTCCACAATGCTCCAACTGAGGTGTCCAGCCAAAAGGTGCAAAGAACGGAGGGAAATCCCCTCAGAAACCAGCAAGGCCAGTAACTGAGGGCCAAATCTTACTATATAATCACTGAAGCATAAACGAAGTCCAAAGAACAGTCCAGGTCACACCAAGAAAATCCAGCAGTATAGAGAAAGGATAAGGAAAAAAGGGTGGACTAGAAGCAGCTAAAATTAGCCAAAATAGCCAAAATAGCCAGAGATACAGTCCCACACGCCTGTCCAGACTGACGGACTGAGTCAAAAGCTGGATCTGCCCAGTAACAAGGGCGGGACTTAACAGCTATGAGAGACTCAGTCCATCAATCTGAACGGGAAGGTACAACCCATCCTGGCTGCTGTCTCCACCCACAATGGAGAATACCTATCAACAGTTTTACATGTTTTTTTGAGTAAATACTTTTAATTAATAATACCTTGCTGGCCCGAATCTGTCTGTGAAGGTCAGTAAGTTGTTGAATTTTGTATTCCAGTTCAGAAATCTGATCCTGAAGCCATGTCCACTGACAGCCAACTTTAGCTCTTTCTACCAACCATTTCCAGTCAGATCTACAGTTACTGAGAAGATAGAACATTGATTAGTCAATGTAAAAATAACTTATGTATTCTGAATCTTTATTTAAAAACCACAAGTCTTTTAATACATTGTGTCAGATTATTTTTAAAAATTCTGTAAGACTCATGAGTTTTCACATTTAAGAGTAACACATCTATTTTTTTAATATGAACATAATAGATCATTTATACTAGTCTAGACTATAGACTTGAGACTATATACATATTCTGCATTATTATTTTGATGTATATCCCATTTTTCAAACATTAGTGCATTCATGAGAGTTTATCTCTGGGTAAAATTTTAGATGGTAGGCAGTAAATTAGTATGCAATGAACAAAGATGATAAGGGGTCTGGAGGCTAAACTGTACACTGAATAGTTGACAAAACTAGGTATGCCTAGTCTAACAAAGACTACTGGGGGTAACATGATAGCAGTCTTCTAGTACTTAAGGGGCTCTCACAGAGAAGAGGGGTTGACCTATTTTCCAAAGCACCTAACATCAGGACAAGAAATAATGGGTGGAAGATCATTAAAGAGAAATCCAACCTAGAAATAAGGAGAAATTGCCTGACAATGAGCACAATTAATTAATGGAGAGGCTTGCCCTCCAGAAATTGTGGGTGCTCCATCACTGGAGATTTTTTTATTATTATTTGATTTATATGCTGCCCTTCTCCGGAGACTCAGGGCGGCTTACAATGCGTTAAGCAATAGCCTTCATACTTTTGTATATTTATACAAAGTCAGCTTATTGCCCCCCAATCCGGGTCCTCATTTTATCTACCTTAGAAAGGATGGAAGGCTGAGTCAACCTTGAGCCTGGTGAGATTTAAACTTGCAGTAATTGCAGGCAGCTGATGTTAATAACAGTGCTTTAGTCTGCTGCGCCAACCAGGGCTCATCTTCACAAAGAGATTGGGCAACCACTTGTTCAGAATGTTGTAAAGTCTCTGCTTATTATTCTGTGTTCTATGTTGGTATTCTATGGTCTCATTAAAGGTAAATTAGCATTTCAGCTGGTGCAGAATGCGGCCGCACGGGTTGTAATGGGAGGATCCCGATACTCCCATGTTATACCTCCCCTGTGCAACTTGCATTGGTTGCCGGTTGCCCTCCAGGTGAGATTCAAGGTGCTGGTGTTAACCTATAAAGCCCTTCATGGCTTAGGCTCAGGATATCTGTTGGACCACCTGCAACCAGCATCGACTTCCCATCGCCCGGTGCGTTCCCACAGAGAGGGCCTACTCAGGGTGCCGTCGGCTAGACAATGTCGGCCGGCGACCCCCAGGGATAGAGCCTTCTCTGTGGCTGCGCCCATCCTTTGGAATCAACTTCCCGTGGGTCTTCAGCTGGCCTCTGACCTTCGTACCTTCCGCCGTGAGCTTAAGACCTGGCTGTTTAAACACCCTAGCCAGGACTGATGGGGTCTACTGTTTTAAATTGGTTTTTAGTCTGTTTTAGAATGTTTTAATTTGTATTTATTGGGATTGTTTCATTTGATCTGAGCGCCCTGAGTCCTTTGGAGAGAGGGCGGCATATAAATCCAATTAATAATAATTAATAATAATAATAATAATAATAATAATAATAATAATAATAATAATAATAATAATAATAATAATAATTTGTGATATAATTCTAGATCAGTTAAATATGAGCAGTTGATAACCTTAATTCTGATTTCTATTACACAATTCTTCAGGCTATTATTCATTTGGTTTTCTGTAATAGATAACGTCTATGTTCTTTTCATTCATTTAATATTTTATTATTGTTCAAGGAGTAAATTTCTATTTTTCTTAATCAGGGCACATTCAAGAACACCAACTAGTAGTCAAAACACACAATGAGAACTGTTTAATCTCACAACATACTGACAGACTCAATATAGTTTTAGTTTGGAAGCTGTGAGAATTCTAAACCAGGCTAAATCCAAAGAACAGGAATCCCTAGATGCTTGACATTCAGACAAATCAGCCATTGGTGGTCACCTAGAGATAAACTAATTTATACACCATTCAAAAGATCCAGATCCAGCGAGCAAGGGGTGTGAACTGCACAGAAAGTACACTTTTGTTTGGTTATGAAGAAACCAAAGTCACATGTACACTAAATGTAGACTAACTTTTAGCTACACATCTTCCCAGCAAACAGCAAATTTTGAAGCTCTAGGTAAAGAGGATTCATTTTAGGATGAGTAACCACAGTTTGCATGTTGGAGGTTCCTAACAGAATGCTGGGAAACTCTGTATTTTAAAGAACATTTGAGGGAGGGGTGCAGAATAGCCCTTCTCTGCCTGAGGCTGTAGAGACCTGGCACCAATCAAAACACTGTGAAGCAAGTGATCAACTGACAGGGTAAGCCATTAGTACATGAAAATACTACCACTCCCTTCTAGTACTGATGATTTTACCTAGTTTGGTAATGAAACATCTGCAAGAAAATCATCAAGCTTAGAGGAACCCAACAGTTCAACCCTGAGCTACAAATACTCTCTTCTATTGATAAACACTTTTTGGTTAGAGGGACTCAGAGCCTGCTTTATATGAGATGGCTCCCAGTGGATTTCATTCTAAATTTTGATATGATTTCTGTAAATAAGGAATGTAGAATTATAATGGCTGAGTCTTTGATCCTTCATACATCAAAAAAATACAAAGCTAGGGGATAAACAAATAAAAACAGATTTGAAAAAAGAAAAGGCTCAGGAAAGAAAAAGAGTGAAAGTGTAAGAAAGGAAAAGAAGGAAAACCGAAAAATAACGACTTCCAACTTTCTTTGATACAGATATAAGTAAAAAAATATCAAACTCTTACTCTAAGATTAACATTTGTCTACATTATTTCCATAATCCCATATCTAACCATCAAAGTCCAGATCAATTTTTAATTTCAGTTTCTCAGAAAAAGTCCAGTAATGCTTCATATCGCTTTAATCACTATTTGTTAAGGAAACCACAACTGCTTTATTTAATTGCAGCAAACTCTAAATAAAACAGGAATGGAAAATCCTAAATTCTAGTGTAGACCCATGCTTCTCAACTTTGGCAACTTTAAGGTGCACGGACTTCAATTCCCAGAATTCCCAAGACAGCATGAAGTTTGCCCATCTTAAACTTGCCAAGACTGAAAAACGATGATCTACAGATAGGGATTTTTCCATTCCTCTTTTACTGATTCTTACTTACTTATGAGCAATCATAATGCAAGGCCGCCCAGGCCAAAAACGGGCCGCAGGGGAGGGGGGCTGCAGCCTCCCAGCTGATTGGCGTAGCCAGTCCATTCACAGCTTCCCAGCTGATCAGCATGGCTCCCAAACACGCCCCTGCAGCTTCCCCATCCTGAATGGCAACCCTAGTGGGCAGGGCAGGGCCAGCCAGTGGTGGCCAACCTGTTAGCTGAACTATGCAAAAAATTAACAACCGGTTCAGCTAAACCAGTCCAAATCCCACCACTGCATCTTTTTCTGTAGTCAACACCCAGATAAACAGGGATTACCAACAGAAAAACAATCAAACAGAAAACAATATCCTAATCCAGTGATGGTGAACCTTTTAGACATCGAGTGCCCAAACTGCTTGTGCACGCATGCCCAAACTGAAATGTGTGTGCGCGCACATGAACGCACCGACATGCACACATGTGTAGCAGAGACCCAAAGACCAGCTGGCCAGCGGGAGGTGGGGCATCCGAACACCAGCAGCGCAACAAGAGGTAAGATTTTTTTCTCTGTGAGCTTCTGTTTCATCGTTTGCAGGGAAACAAGCTCACGAAAGAAACACCACGGAGATCTGACCTGGGGCGATGGAACACATGCCAGTAGAGAGGGTTGTGTGTGCCACCTCTGGCACGCGTGCCATAGGTTCGCCATCACGACCCTAATCAAAGAATTACCAAGCAGAAAATCCCCAATCCCACCAACAGACAGAAAAGCTATTATACGTAAACAGGATTCCACAGTATAATCCTCAGACTGACTAGCTGTCTATCTGTCTGTCTGTCTATCTGTCTACTTACTGTTGGAATCACTGTTTAAAATAAATCTATTAACAGAAAAATATTTTACAATTAATGTAATAATTGCCATTTAGAAAGCATTTTGGAATTTATTACAAAAGATGCCAAATATATCATTTGGAGAGAAAATTATATATTGGAGCTAAAATGATATCGGGCTTAAAAACCATTCAACTCTAATCCATCCTCACCTATTAAAGCTCAGGGAATGGTATTGACTTTAGTGAAACCTACCTCACAAGAGTTCTTGTGTGAAAAAGTAGGACAGTGTACCGGCACCCCGTTTTGTCCACTATGTTCCATTGCTTTCCCTAGGGGGGAGGTGTTGACCCCCTTAGAGAAGGTACACAATTTGGGAGTCCTTCTAGACCCATGGCTTAGCTTGGAAGATCATTTGACTGCCGTAGCCAGGGGAACCTTTGTCCAGGTGCACCTGGTTCGCCAATTGCGCCCCTTTTTGGACCGAGATGGCTTACTCACAGTTGCTCATGCCCTCATCACTTCTCGTTTGGACTACTGCAATGCACTTTACATGGGGCTGCCCTTGAGGAGCATTTGGAGACTTCAACTGGTGCAGAATGCGGCCGCGCATGGGGGTGCCTTGGTAGTCCCATATTACACCACTCCTTCGCGGTCTGCATTGGCTCCCAGTTGTCTTCCGAGTGCAATTCAAGGTGCTGGTGATCACATTTAAAGCCCTACGTGGCCTAGGACCAGAGTACTTGTGAGACCTCCTCCTGCCACCGGTAGCCTTCCATCGCCCGGTTCGCTCCCACAGAGTTGGCCTCCTCAGGGTACCTTCGTCTAGACAATGTCGACTGGTGACCCCTAGGGGGAGAGCCTTCTCTGTGGGAGCCCCTACCCTCTGGAATATGTTACCCCTGGAGCTCCGGATAATCCCCGACCTCCGAACCTTCCGCCGGGCCTTGAAGACCTGGCTCTTCCAACGGGCGGGCCTGGGTTGACTCTAAACTGATTTT